AGTTGGAGTAGGAATCTTCTTCTTCCAGGTGATGAGAGTTTTCTTTATAGTCGTCTTCAATTTCTCGAAAATGAATATACAGTCAGGGAACTCCTTCTCCAACATATCGATAGCAACATCAGGAGTGATCTTGCTGTTTGGAATTTTCATTTTCTTCACAATAGTAATCATGAAGAATATAATGCGTGTTGTTTTTTCCTGATCTACATTCTCAGTCAGCTCGGTCATTATATCAGTGGGAATCTCGAAGCTGCCTTCTGGGGTCGTTATGGTGATTGTGCCCTCTACTGTGATTCCTCCACCTGTCTCATCAGGAATTTCAGGTAAGTTATTGGTTTTTTCGGGTACTCCTTTATGCCAGTAAAGAATGAAAATCTTCAAAAATTTCTTCACCGCAGGTGGAATTTCCGATGGCCAGAGAATTTTTAGTTCCTCCGGTAGTGCTATTGTGAAGCGATTCACTTTGTGCTCATCCAATCGTTTTGTGAATCTTATAAGTATTTGCAGGAATCTAGTAATATCTTCTGGTTTAATGAAGTAAATTTTCAATTCCTCAGGTATCTCAATATCCTCTGGATTCATTTCGATGGGATATAACTGTTCTGGGATCGGTTTGCCCCAAGTTATAACTAAATGACAGACATAGTGGATCACTAGTTTAGGAATATCTCCCTCGAAGACTTCATTCATTTCTGTTCCTATTTGGGTTTGAATGGGTATTTTCCCAGGTGATTCCAACTCAGAAATCAAACGAATGATAAATATTATAAACTTTTTCTTCTTCTGTTCATCTGGTATGGCCTCATCGACTTCTTCTGGTAATGTTAAGTCAGTCACTTCTTCGTACGGTGGATAGTCTCCGTCTATGATGTCATCTTCTGTTAGTGGTTCAGGACCGCAATAAACGAAAATGAGATTATGCAAGTAGTTATTGACTTCTTTGGGAATATTTTCTTCTTCAAAGAACCCAGTTATTTCGCAGGAAACTGTAGAATAATCGATGGGTCCATCGCTGCATTGCATGATTTTCATTATTATAGCAATGAATTCGGTTGGTATTTTACCACCTGGGAAGTAAAGAGCAAGCTTAGGATTCATGGGCAGGTATGGAGTTGATGTTTCATTATTCACCAGCGTGTATAAGTACAGAAGAATTTCACCTGGAACATTTGCGTGCGGGAAAAAATTGAGCACAGCTGGCGGAACTTTCATAGTATCAGGAGTCAAGTTCACTGTGCGTACGATTTGCACGAGATGTTGGCAAAACAGTGTGAACTCATTAGGAATTTGTCCATTAAGGAAATATATCGCTAAATTAGATGGGACAACGACTTGCGGTAATTCAGCAGAGACATCCGGCATTGTGGAGTCGGGAGTGTTCGGTCTCCCAAAGATGATGTTCCAATCAAAATGAGAAGTACCAAAGTTGAAGAAAGGATTGATGAACTGACTAAAGCTTGTAGAATCAACTGTTCCCGACCCAGGCAGATTTAAGAAGCTGAAGATGTTCTTCGGGGCCGACGGATCTGGCTGATCAGTAGGATTAGTTGGTTGTTGAGTAAATTGCTCATTATTCCATCCTATCATAGGATTCCAAAAAAGATAACCATCCATTGACCAGATTACAGAACTCAAAGTCGGATGAGAGACATCAGGTGCGTATGATGTGCTGCCCGGCATATTTCCAGTACAAAAATAATAAAGTGGGCTATAAATAATAGATACTAAAGAGACTTGTATCTGCTGTAAATATGGATTGACCGGAAATCCTGACAGACCGCCCAGAATTTGTCTGATTTTGGCGAACATTTGGTTGTTCATGTCAGTGATTTGTTGAAACCCGTATTCAGCTACTGCCATGGCTTGATTTATTTTGGTCTGACACGGTTCTCCATCCTGTGGAGAGTTTTGTGAATCTGCGATGAGAGTCATGGCTTGATTAGCATCAAAGCTAGCGCTAATAGGATCGCCAAGAAACATCATCATTCCAGGGTTGGGTGTACTCCCTCCGAAACCGTTAAGATTGTACGTTCCGCCATAACTTTTTGAGAGCAAAAATGGAGCACTAAACTGATCGAAACTGTTCCCGGAGAACAAAGATGGAATATCTAAAACAATAGAATAACTGTAAACTTAATCAAATACGTACCGGAAGAAACAGGCCATAAGCCTGATCCGGAAACGGAGGCAAGGCCCAGTACCGCTGAAACACAAAGTTGAATGTTCAGATTAAGTTATTTGAAAGCATAAAATGGTAATAATTTACAAAAACTCACCTATCGCGAAAAAAGACGATAGCAGCCGGAGATGCATCGTTCCACCCGAATGAGGTCCGGGGTCCTGCGGGAGACTTTTAAAAAAAAAAACGAAGTATGTAAACAAATTTGGAATGATAAGATTATTACATTGAGCAAACATAATGATGGAAATATAGCTATTTGTATACTATGTGTGACGCGAAAGAAAACAGGTTGCTTTCAACATATTAGCACAAGAGTACATCGACATTAATTGTTGTAGGTGCTACTGCTTGGGATTTACTCAGTTGAACATAGTATGACAAGCAGGTTACCATGATGAGGTTTCAGTGCAGCAACAAAGAATTTGGATTGGAACTAACTGATTACAAGGAGCAGCGCTCTGATTCATTGGTGGCTTTCCTCGCAGTCGTCTCCCTCAACATGTACCATCTAGATGGTTCACTATGCCAATTAATAAGTGTTCTTTACTGTCATTGAACTTATTGTTTTCCAGTTCATCACATCGTTCAGATAAGAAAAAAAAGAAAATTTGTTTAGAAAATTCATAATAATGAACTTGTAAAACAGTGATATTACGTAACAAGTTGGTTTTTATCTGAGCTTGTATAATAATCGAATTACGGTATAATTTCGTTATAATCAGAACTACGGTACGAATGATAAAGAAAACGTATCATAACAGTGGTAATCCCACCAGCTTAGTTTTGGGTAAATCAAAATATTTTTTATTCATCGTTCTGAACCAAATAAGCTTTTATTTTTTGTGGCGATTAATCTCTTTCGCCAACAAGCATTCCATCCCGTTGTTTTAATGAACTGAGAACAAGAGATGATACGTCTCAAGTACTCATATTTACCTTTCACAAATATTTCCTTCAAACATGTGATGATTTATAGCCTGCCGATACGGGTTGGCTACTGCTTATTACTATTCCAGGATGAGTAAGGCATTTGAATTGCAATAAGTTAACAAAGAAAGAGTTCAAAATATCTTTTCAGAGCATTTATTATCAACGTTTCAAACGATATTCATTTACACAATGATGTTTTCTTGCATTTTTTCATCATTCTCTTAGCCATCTTCTTGTATTTCTTTTTGTTGTTCATCTTCCTCGGCTTACAGAAGCTACACATTGGACCAGGCTGATAAGCCCACTTATTAGCTAGATTTCCCCTGAAAATTTGAAATCATCATCAATTTCTTCAGAAGTAATAACTTTGGAAAATAATCACAGATAACAATGGCTTCTTTGCCTCCATTGCACGTTGCCAGTGCACAACCTATTCTACGAGTTCTTGCCCATACACACTGAAAAAAAAATTGTTCGAACACTGTAGCTCTTGTGTTCAACTTGAATAGCATGTATAAGTTCCGACTTTGTCTTGTATTCAGTGTCCCACGGAGATTCTTTGAACTCTTTAAGCCATGCTCGTATAGCTTCAATGTACTGTAAAGTATCTCTATCTGTCTATCCAACCTTAACCAAAAAACATACGAGTTTGTCCACATCCGTAATACTACTGTTTGAGGAAACGGCAAATTGGTTTTCTCCAACATCAGGATTTTTTGGATCTCCCATTTTACATTTGCTAGCTACTGCGGAATCTTCCGCATTTTTTTGCATCTTAGCATCCCAAACCTCAAGATAATCAATATGAGAAATAAAATGTATAATCATTCACCATTCTTAACATTTTCCTGGCCGATTCCATGGTCTTGCCACCTTTCTCTTTGAATGTCCCATTGGCGACTGAACTACGAATGTCATTATGTTCCTGAAATGAACGTTAATAGGAGAAAAATTGCGATAAAATCCTACTTTAAGTATAGATTCTTTCATCTCAGGCTTAACAGGCCTCAACTCCTGAGAACCAACTAACTGGCATAGTGCACACACCAAAAACAGCAGATGAAATATTACTTGAACCATCGCTACGGCTGTCGTTACACAACGATGGCACTTTTTATATAAATGTGTCAGTAAATATTCCGGAGGTGATAAGATTCAGCGTTTGCCTTCCATAATAACAATCATCGTAATTAATTGTTTTTTTCGTTTTTTAAAGCACATTTATTGTACAATTCTGACGTTAGAAGGAAATATTCATTAAACAAACAGTTAATTAAAAATATTTTAATCAGCACGTTCCGATTTACGATTCTAATGAGCAGATCCTAACTCTAGGATGTAAGCTAGTAAGGTTTTGACTCCTTCAACGTAATTGACGATGTTGTTTTTCTCGTTCTGCGAATGAGCCATATCATCCGAAGCTCCAAGAGGCAGAAGGAGAACGTTCTTGCCGGTCAACTCCTGTATCAATTTAAATCTTCATAAAAATCGGGTATTCAAAAACCTGGAAGGTGAGGGTTATTGGGATGCTACAACCCTCTCTAATTAGATCTGGATCAACTCCGTGAACTGAAACAATCTATGACTATTACTTTCTTGGTTAGAAATTACCAATGTTCATAGCTCGAGTTCCAGCAACATAGTTGGGATCTGTGGTTGAAGAAACCCATGGAAGGAATCCTTGATTACCAACCGGCCTGAATTTCATGAAACTGATTTGACTCAGCAAGCTTGCTTACTTGAAAACGTTGGGTGAGTTACGGTTCTTCCATAAATTGTTCAGATAGTCCAAAGTAATTTTTGTGACTTCATCTGGTTTCATATCCGGTACAATTCGAATAGAGAACTTTCCGATCACTTTTGAAGGAATCACAGTTTTTTCCCCTTTACCGGAGAAAGCTCCTTCAATTCCATGAATAGACAAACTATAAGTTCTCAACATTAAAGTGCCATAGTGAATGATCACCATGGTTCTCTCCAACGTCTGATCAAAACGGTTTCTTTGTCCTCAACAGGAAGTTTTTTGGCACCAATACTGTTTTTAAACTCGTTTACATCGAAATCAATATTTTTGTATAAATTTTCTTCTTCGTTTGTGAAAGGAGCAACACCTTCATAAATTCCTAAAGCATTATTATTATACTCATTAGCCAGAAGTTGTATTTTGACCGACCTGGGATTTGAATTCTATTATCGATCGTCACAAGTTGAGATAGGATCCAAACCAAATCGGACATGGGTTCATGACTGTAAAAACAGTTATATAAGAACACGGTTTTGAGTCTGCTTTACTCACATGATACCTCCATATACACCAGAATGTAGATCTTGATTGATACCAGTAACTTCAACAGAGAAAGAACATATACCTCTGTAATGTTCATCGTTGTTGATAACTAGGTGGTTCTTAAACCATCACCTTAATCCATAAGTCAAGCAAGGCTTAGTGTTTCCCAGCCAATAACTGTCTGATATACAACAGAAATCGACATCAGCGAGGAAAGTATCCTTGATTCTCACAAGCAAACTCTGACGAGTAAAATTACTGTGAGAGTTAATAACCGTATGTATACTTCTAGTCCTTCTGACCCACTCTCTTCCATTGCTTCGAAACAGAACTTGATGTTTACGGGTATATCAACATTGTGCTTCTGAAGCATGGACACAGCATGTAGCCAGCATAACACGGGCCCTTTATCATCAGAAGAACCTCTGCCAAACAGTTTGCCATCTAAAAACAATGGAATTCAACAAAAACAGGAGCAAGTTGGTTATGTTAATTTTTTATGTTTTTTTTCTGTGCATTCATAGCGGTCACTTGATTTATGAAGTATCAAGAAGTTTGTACCTCTCTCAGTTAGCACAAAAGGTTCAGAGTTCCAGCCATCCTCTTTACTTGCAGGTTGCACATCTGAACTGATAACATCATGAAACTATTAGCTATTTGGAGTTTCAGCCTTATCGTTGTTGCTGATACTTCAAAAATCAAAAGATTGATATACTAACCGATATGACCATAGACCAATAGGGTTTTCTTTCTCTGATCATGCCCAAGAGTTCCAAGAATAACGGGAGGCAGTGGAACCTGCATGGAGGAATAGAAACAAGAAACACTGAGTGTGACAAACCACTTTCCCATCAAGGTTTTGTGTACCTATATCTTCAAGATGAACTTCTATTCCCAATTTCTCCATTTTAGCTCTATTAAATCATTTTTTAAGAGAAGAAAATTCAACACTGACTTCATCCAGTGGCACATACGAATAGTATCATCACGACGATTAGGATCTGATGATACGCTTTCTATGGCAACTGCCTCAGCAAGGACATCACGATAAGCGGGATATGTTTCATCAATATCTCTAAAATCATTTCATAAAATAGGAGTTCAAACTTACTTACTTGAAGATCTGTTTCAAGTCCGCCATGAGTGACTACTGATATAAATTAAAATGAAGATTTTTATCAGAAAATTGTATAATCAACACAAATATTTAATGTCATTCAAGCATTTCATCGATAATGAAATCGCGTGATTTATATATAAAACGTAGATCGGAGCAAATTGTTTATTTCTCACTTCAATTCAACCGCTTCTACGGAACTGAAGAAGGTACGAGCATATTCTTCAGTACTTTCATTTTCAAAATAATATTTAAAATCGTAGTCATCCAGGCCACATTCTGACAAAGCGTCATCCACACCAGCCTTGAATTTGTATCCACGTTTCTCACGGATAGGTATACTAGCCGAAATTCGGATGGTCGTATGATCGTTCGGAAACTGAGATTGGAAGTAATCTAAATCAGATATTCGGCGACAATCAGAAACAATCAGAATATCACATTCTCCTGCCATTCTCACTGCTTCCCTGTAATAGATCATACACAGCACAGAGAAATTCTCTACCGGCAGAAAACGCTTGGATCTTTCTCTCGTAACTCTTCTCCCCATACGATCATGTTCTCTCTGTACTGTTCTTTATAAGAGCCTTCAGTGAGTAACTGTTCATAAGAAAGTCCTGAAATCTTAAATGAGAATGCTACTAGACACGAAGAATAACCAAATTGCTTAGCATATTGATGTTTGAGACTATAAGAAACTCCGACTATCTTCACGTTATAGCTATTCTTGAGGATTTCATAGAGTATACTACAGCAAAAATCTTTTCCGCATTTTCGTTTTCCTGATATGAGGAACACATGTTTGACCATCCCCGTCAATACTGGAAACAATGACTTATTCGATGTTCAAGTGATCCGTTGGCCGTATAAGAGGAAAAGTATCTGATGATAAAACAATTTATTAACGGATCTACTCCGTAGTTCAAAAGGATCACAGCTTCACAGCTTTATACTTTAACATAGAGCTACAATCTTGACTTTAATAATTTAATTTAGGCCCGAAGTAAGGAATAACGATGAGAAGTTTTCTTACAATAACCGTTTCGCATAATTTAAGCACCAACGATGATGTTGTTGATGGGGATATGGATAAGCTTAACGAAGAAACCGATGAATCCCATGATAGCGAATCCAATAGCAGTAGCCATAGCAATTTTCTGGTATTCTGAAACATGTTCAATGAATGAATGGGTGTGATGAGATGAATTTACCTTTTCTGTCAGGCTTGGTACATCTCTTAACGAGTCTGTAAGAGTCCTTAGCGAATTGACGTCCTGGTTCAACAAGAGCTTGGAACTGATCCATATTACTTCTGTAAATGAATAGAATGAGAATGAAAAGATGCGACGTATTAATACAAGATATCAAGACAACATCAAGACGAACAATCAAAGAAAAGCTATTGAAAATAAAATAAATTAAGAGTTAGAATAATAATACTTCAAACCTGTAGGATAAAAGACATGCTAACACCAAAGAAATGAGAAAATAACTACTCGAATCCTTTGCCTTGGCAATATGGCTATGGAGTGCTGGCCAGTCAATAGCAGAGAGCACGCGTCAATGAGAGAAAGAAGAGTTCTACCGTACCCGAACTGCAACTGCGCGCGGCGCGAGATTCAAATGGTCTTTTTTCCTACCAAACTGGTTATAAGGATAAAACTCGCTTTAGATGAATGAAGGGGGCAAAGGAATTGAAATCACGACGCATCGTAATTAGTTTAGCCAGCATCGTCAGATTGTGAGCAGTACATGTATTAATAATAGTACTCTAAGCAAAAGCTCTTCTGGTATTATTCATACCATGGCTAAGTACTTGCTCGCCTTAATCTGTATTACTTTACTAATCTGCGGAAATGTGAAAGCTGAACTCCCAACAGAACTGGATCCATTTATGGATAAATTGTTCGAAACAGAAGAATGTAGGTGTATTGATTACTATTTTTTAAGTCAATGTCTCATCACACAAGCTCCTTCACTCATTTTCCCTGACCTGCATCATTTATTTTTTGAAAAAGTAGGAAAACAAAATCATTCTTACATTGTATGTTCTCTTATCTGTAAACCGGAAAGATTCCATACAAAGAAAAATCAGAAAAACGAGTGCTATATCTTTGGATTTTCTTGTTCCTCTTGACCAATTCGTCAGATTATGTTCTCAACCATACATCAAATTCGCACGCATTTTTACTAAAAATTTCAACTCTCGCTCTGTTTAACGCTGCTGCAAAAGAGAAAGTTCGAACTTCAACAGTGCTAATTGCGATATCTTGATTCTCCCGGATTTCAACTTTCACCTAATTGTTTTCTCATTTGCCAGTTGATGTGAACTCAATTTTTATAGTCTTGTCAAACTTATGCATCGCAATTCTTCTTTAATTCGACTTCATAATTTAGGTGAAGACTTCATTTCGGGAGATTTCACACCTATAGGCACTTCACAATGTCTTCCTTTCAACTGTGATTTTCCGAGACAATTATGCGTTCGACCAGCAGCTAAGTCAAGTGATTCATCAGCGAATCAATGCAGAACTATCCCAACAGCGGTAAGTATCTTGAATTCTGAATGTTTTACATCGAAGAGAAAAAAAGATTAAATCTATATTCTTATACTTCTTCCCGTCTCCCGGTTACAAGCATGAACGATCTCCTTGAAAATGCGTGTTGTAATAGATAGTATAAAAAGGAATAACAAGCTTCTTGAAAGTTTACAGCACCTATCGTTTTACATCGCCCTAAAACTATACATATGCAAAAGTGTAATCCTGTTGACCCGGTACAGTTCCATGGCGGCAGTAGAGCATGCAAGCTAGAGAAAACTGGAAGCCATGTTCATCTTACAGTGGCAATTATTTGTATGCGCTCGAGTCTGTAGGTGTTGCCAAAGAGTCTTATCGGGAAAGAGAACAAACATTCATCAGTGTTCGGTGGCGAGGCGATAACCCTAGGGGAAACAAAGAAAAAGAGGAATGATAATTACATTCTCCTATATTTTCTATTTTAGTGTATAACATCAGCTAATGGTGGCGTGCCGTTGGGCCCAGCGACGACAACATCGCCGCCCGTACAAACCAAACCGGGAGGTGGTGGTGGACGGGGTCAAGGAGGAGGCCAACGAGGAGGACGTTTGGTCAAAGGAATGAAGCAAGGGCGAGGAGGTATAACTTTATCAGATTATTCAGTTTGTTTTTCGGCGTGAAAATAAACTTAAAAATACGTTACGTCTCCCATGTCAAGCATTCTGCAGAGACAGATTGTCGATTGACATGGAAAAAGATCATATGAAACAAATTAAAAGTGACGAAAAGCTTGAAGCACATTTTTTCTGGAATTTTCCGCCTAATCTTGAACTTTATCTGTAAAGTGCGGTTTGGAGCATATGAAATCTTCTAGGTGAAATGCCAAGCCCAGAAATAACAAATGAAATCTGTGAGATGGGAGCCCCTATGGGTAGATTCTGTGGTTTCAAAGTCATGTACACCTATAACAAGGTAAACTTAGCAATTTAATTGTTTTTTGAAAAGATAAACTTTTCTAGGAAACGCGGAAGTGCGATGAATTCTGGTTCCCGGGTTGTGTTACACAGGAAACCAATGCTAACCTCTTTGAAGATTTGGTGTCTTGTCAAAAAATTGTAAAAATGTGTAGATGTGAGTAAGCTTTCGTGATCGAAGTGAAACTATTTTTAGTATCTCATGGAGCCACATCAGCTCCAGAACCACCACCACCGCCACCAATGACTCCTCTTCCGCCAACTCCTCCACCTGTGCCTACTCTACCTCCGTTTATTCCACCTCCTCAACCTGTTCCCACAGGGCCTAGAAATGGGGGTTGGGGTGGCATGAATGGACTTGGAGGAGCTGGAGGAGGTGGCCACGGAAATGGTGGTGGAGGTGGTCATAGAGGTGGAGGAAACAAGAATGGAGGTGATGGAGGAAATTTCGGAGGACTAGGTAACCATGGTTATCTTAATAACCTTGCTAGAGTTACCTGATCAGGATCGCTAGGAGGAATGTTCGGAGGAAATGGTGGAGGCGGCAATGGAGGAGATATTGGTGGCCAAAAACCTAAGAATGGAAATGGGGAGGAAGAAGATCTGGGATTGTTTGGATTAATTCAAAAAGGACTTGTGTCTGCACAAGCCATCAAGCAAGGTGGACCGAAGGTATTTAGTTTATTATTTTTCGCTTTCTTCCATCCAAACTAGAAGTCATATTTGGAATTTCAAAAATTTAATAGTTTTTTTTGATTAAATGTAATAAACGCTTCGTCCTAGGGAAAGGAAGCTGCCGCCGCTGCTGCTGGTCAACTACTTCAGCAATTCACAGGCTTCGATCTCAATAATATCGGCGGCAACTTCGGTAATTTCTTTAATGGCCGATAATCAAGTTTTTTTTCCAAATTTTATTTCTTCAATTAGTTGTTAAGCGTAAAGTTAATCGTTATCATTCCCCATTAATGTTTTTGATCGTCTGTATATATTTGTGTTTTTGTACTTACGCGAGGTCTCATCATGTCTTCCCGTGACTTTCATCCACTTTAAGTAATCACCTAGAGCTATAATCATAAGCTGATGTTTCCATTGAAACCCTATGGTCGTTCAAAAACTTTAATATTCTTCAAGATATCAGAAGTGCTTTCCCTCATATTGCTCTCTCTCTCTCTCTCTCCCTTACTTAATAAAGTACATACATACATTTAATAAAGAATGAGGATCCTATTTTAAAATTAACAAAATTTCGGTTTAGACGTTTGCATGTGAACTATTTTAAAATATGATTTATCAACTTGTTCTATAACGAAAGTTGATTGGTAGTTGTCACATTTGATTAGAAGAGGATGTAATCAATTGCCTATCAAACGCAACTTGAACCCCCACGTAGGCAGTGGAACATTTTGTAGAAATCTTTTCCGTCATAGGCTCACTACTTCAGATTCTTGTCCAGTTATGGCTACCCGTAACAGCTATGTCAGATTCGATGACTCGGGTAAGTTCCTGATTTTTATTTCATTACTATGGGATCAAAGAGCTATTCTTGAGATCATGCTTATACCTTACAGTTGAAGGTCAACTTCCGCTTCCGCATTTACAATCTTTTGGTTACAATTCTTAAAAAGTCATAATCGATTTCGTACACTTTCATAACTTTTGGAATAAGGTGAAACCAGTAAACCAGAATTTATAACTGTTTTGTCTGAGGCCGGTTTCATTCTAACTTTCTTTTCATCAACTTTGGTTATGAAGTATACCAAGCTATGTTCTCGAGAATTAGTACATCGAGAATTAGTACATCGAGAAAGGATAATAGTTCGTTTACAAGCAAATGAAGCATGGATCACTTGTCCAAGCATATAAGCTTATCTTCAAAAGGAATATCAGTTTACAAGTGAATCAAGTCTAAGACTTTGTCTTTCAGACGATAAATCAGCTTTTAAACTTTTTTTCTGAACATGTTTCCATTCAGGAAAAAAACTGAAATATGGAACAATGACTCAAGCAGTCTGAATTTTGTTTTTTTTTTCTCGCTTTCTCGAATTGAATAAAATGCTTCAATAAAAGAGAATACAATGACTTACGTAAAAATAAAAGAAAAATGTCTCAACTGATATTGGCCTTGAGCGACTGATTGTTAATAGCATTGAAACCATTATCGTTCGGCCTAGATTTGACCTTTAGCTGTAATTCATATTCATTAGGAAGTTAATTTTCTGTCTGATATTCTGATTAAATATTCACTTAATAATGCCAGTTGCCGTACGTGTAATTCCTGAATGGATCTTGGACAACAAGAAGGATTTCATTCCTCCAGTATGTAATAAATGCATGTGAGTTTAGCAAGTTTTGTAAAATTGAGTAGAAGCTCAGATGAGCTAACACACGATCTCATTTGAATATGCACAATTCCACGTGAGTTCACATTGCTTCACGTGGATTATACTGAAGTGTAGCCATTTGTAGGGTCAGACATATATAATGAGCGGTTGATAAAATCAGATCTTCTGTTTATCCAAGTTATTTTCAGGTTTTCTGATCAATTGAAGGTTTTTTTCGTTGGTGGACCTAATTCTAGAAAAGATTATCATCTGGAAGAAGGGGAAGAAGTATGACGTCAAAAATAAAAACCATCAATTTATGTTATTTTTGTAGTTTTTCTACCAAAGAGATGGCGATATGGTCCTAAAAGTAATAGAGAAAGGTATTATGAAGGATATTGTAATCAGAGAAGGTATGTAGTTTGCTGTTTGAACTCGTAAATCTATGATTAACAGGCGAGATATTCTTGTTGCCATCAAGAATCGAACATTCTCCACAAAGATTCTCGAACACTGTGGGTTTCGTCGTAGAACGCACCCGTGACAACACCGAATTCGATTGTGTCAGGTATGAATCAATTTATGAAAAAATTATGCCACAAGTATTTCAGATATTTTGCTGGCCATTCAACAGTGCGTTTGTATGAGCGATGGTTGCATCTGGTAGATGTGGTCAAAGATCTTCCACCACTTATAAAACAGTTTCACGAATCGAATGAATACAAAACTGGTTCAATATTTTTTTTCCCGAGTTCCATATTTAATAATCTTAGATACTCCCGGGGAGAACAGTTTCAAGATAACTGCACCATTCGAACCTCGTTACATAGACTTGGACAAACCTATCAACATAAAATCTTTCATTCTATCGCATAGTGCGCAGCTTATGTAACTTTTTTTGATGAAAATAGAGATTTAAATTAATCTCTCAGGACTGGGCCAATTCAAATTTATGGAGCTCCAAAATATGACACAGAAGTTATGCTTCTTGGCAAAGGAACTTATGATATGCATAGCGGTAAAGTAGAGCTTCTGCTCTGGATTCAGGTTACCAAGTCAAGTGAATCAGCATTGATATAGAATTATCATTTCAGCCAGACTCCTTCTGTGTATTGATGACAGGAGGAACAACATATCCTATGCAATCAGAAACTATCGCTTGTCTAAAACCCGGAACAGAGTGAGTAGACTTCTAACAATTTTCATACTGTTCTGAGTAACATTTCAGTAGCGTTCTGGAGATCATAAGAGGACACGTAGTTTCAATCAGAATGGTTCATTAGTATCAGTATTAGCATTCCAAATTCATGTTTTATAATTAGTAAATGATGATGCTTGGCTTTGTCAATAAGAAAAATATATACAATTATATAAAAACCTGTAGCAGGAATGTTAAGATAGATTGAGAATACCAGGAGACAAAGGAACGATCTTTCTCAAATCGCAAGGAGCCCTTATTCAAAGAGAGCTGCCATTTCCTTCAACGTTTTGGTGAAATTTTCAGTAAACCTTTTAGAGCTCTGAAAAGAAAAATGAAAGTTTTTCATTTTCGTATGAAAACATGCCGTGTTATCAGCTGAATGGAAGCTGGAAATATGGGCAATGATAGAGTGGTTTCCTCCGAAACGATAACAAACACCTGAAAAGTTCGACTCAGCTCAAGCTGTTTCATAACTTAAAATACCATAACCGTTCTTGGCTACAGCTGCGAAACTGGCACCCAGCCAAGTGTCTTCTAGAAGAGCATCTTCGTCAACTTGGTTAGTAACATTAGGAACCTTAACCATAAATATTTCTTTGTAACTTGTAAGTATCTTACGTGAGAGGTAGAAAGAAGCCATTTCTGGGAAATATAATAGTCCAGGAACGCTGAGGAAATGCCAGTTCCTTTGCTCAATATGTACAACACAAACAAGTGACGATCAACTCCTTTGCCGACCATACATTCTCGGTTTCTAATGCCATGAGTAACGCAAGCTTTCTTCAGTTTTTCAATTTTTTCCTCTTTCTGAAAATGAAACCTTTTTCAATATATATTTAACACTCCAAATACCGTTATTTCAGCATTCATGAATGATCTGACGAAGTCGCACGACTCATCGGAAACAGTTCTCAACGTTTCCGTTCGAGAAAACTTATAGAAACGAGCTGAGGCTGGCTCGTATGTTAAGACGAATTTTCCTTGATCCTGAATCAGAAATACTTTATCATCTACGGAAGATTTTTCTTACATAGATTTGCGCTACTTGAATTGCCATTTGGATGAAACCATCAGGAGAAACTCCAAACTTCTTGATGAGGCCTTTTCCAAAATCTCTGAGACGATTTGAAGTTCAGTATGGCAATAAGACACAAAGGATACCGGAAAATGAGACTCGAAATATCAACGTCATCCGCAGCTTGAGTGTGAGATAACATACATCGTTCAATTTCGGAGGCCATCTTGAAAATGATTAAGAAATAGGAGCAAACAGTGATCACACACCTCATCCGAGACTTCGATTTCTAGCTGTTTAGCGAAAATGAGCTGTTTTTTCTCCTCTTCAGAAATCTTTTCAATCTTTTTCTGTTCTTCTAATGAAGGGTATCTGTAAGAGTGGATTGAGTGCTGAATTAGTGGGATTTCAACTTTAAAATTTGTGTATCCATGTAAACGAAGTTTTCCATGATATGATCAAACTCAGAGCCATCAGCAATAGAATGTTCAGTTGTTCCTCCACACTGCAAATATAGACAAACAGTTTTACTTTTGAATGGAGTCATAGTACAACCGCGTGTGCGCGTTCATCGATGTAAAATGATTGAGCTTCAAATTCATAATCTAACTTACCCTTGTGTTCTTAGCGACTATGTAATTGAGAGATTTATCGGACCATCTATTAGCTCCGTTTCCAGTTAACATATTTCTCATATAGTTAGATAGAACTTCTGGCTTGTCCTCAAATTATAGAATCTTCCTCTTCTTCACCGACATTAACTTACTGGATTATATTCATACTCATCAGTGTCATCATAAATGAGGAAAAATATGGCACTTTCTATCTCTTCGAGTGTTTTTTTATTTACAGGGTTATTCAAGAAGAACTTTTCACGGTTTGCAGCCCACTTATCTCTGAAATCCGCAAACTCAGAGAAAAATAAATAATAATGAAAACCTTGTATCGCAGGTCAACGCGGCCACATGTTTTGTTTTAACTGATTGTTTTTCGGCGTTGTCTGCATCGAGTCCTTCTCGTGATACAAGTTCAGCAAAAATTCTTGAAGAAGCAGTGATTGAAAATGATAATCAACACTAATTTACTTTGTTAATTGATCCACCGAATACATGTTATTCTTCTCATCGCAAACTTGTATTTTGTAGAAACTACCTTTATAGTAAAGAACCACATGCTTTGATATTCCTTAAGGTGATAATTGGATATTAGAACGATAGGGAGATTCTGGATTACCGTAATTCTTCAGATAGTCGCATTGTGCGTCTGGGACTCTGGTGACAGCATACATTTTCTCATAGTGTCGTGCACATAACAAGCCATCACCAAGCTGAATGAATAATCCATTTAAGGAAAATATTAACAATCAAAGACTTACAGGTTTGAATTGTTGACGATCAATAGCCAATTGAGATAACGCTTCAATGTACAATACATGAGCAGCTCTTACAGGCCAAGTTGCAGGTTTATCTTTGTACAAATCAACATGAGCTACACTGCTATTTATGAGCACAGGTGCCCTGAAGCATACAACTCCAATTACATTCAAACAAATAAATTGTCAGATAAAATTGATAATTTTCTGTTACATGTGATTGCTTGAGAAAGATCTATTGATAAATAAAAACTCACTTGCTGTATAAATAAGCATATTTCTCCCAGAAAGGTGTGACATAGTTATCAGCAAACAGTGAGTACATGCGAGCATACGTATGCAGCTTACGACCTTCCTCTCGTAGAAACGTTTCTGCTTGCTCAGAGACTAATTTGAATTCTTCCTACAACCAATCCTCTCTACTCTGAATAATATCCTCACAAAACTACCTCATCCAATAAGTTTTTCACAGAAGCCAAGTATCTCCTGACAGTATCATCAAGATCTGGGCAAGATGGACTTGGCAACAACTTATCACAGGATTTGAGGAGTGGAGGAGTTAGTGAGAGAAGAGACCGCAGAGCCTTTACAAAATCATATTTTAAAAAAAAATTATCTCATAAATCAACTTACGCCCCATATTTTTGTTGTTATTGATGGCTTTTTTGGTTGTTCAAAAAGAAAACCTTTGTATGTGAAATAGAATCGACTGAGGAACTGTCTTACAATCCAAATAGGAACATAAACGGATGAGAATGAGACTAAGCCAAGCTTTGCAAATTCCAAATATTTGTTTTCAAATTTTGGAAGAAGTTCCATTTTGTAATGATAGGCAGCACTTCCAACAAGAGACAATGAGAATAAGGATGGAGGCATTGGCCAGAGGCGATTTTCGAAAGCATTCTATAAATGTTAAAGAAATAAATATTCTACAGCGATTAGAGTAACTTACATATACTTTATAAGTCGCTCTTTCAAAACGAGTTGGAAAACGTTTGTACAAAGGAAAAGGAGGTCGCAACTTTTTTTGATTCACTTTATCCATATCTTTCACTAAAAAAATAAACAAAAATAAACGAAAAAAGGGAATGTAAGTGATGATAATAAAGGTTTTTGTATGATAAGAATAGAGAGAAACATTAAAGTTTGAAGATGATAAAACGAGAGAAAAAGGAACAAAGTGCAGAGTACAACGTGTGTTGGTACAAACAATTTTTTCACGAAAAAAAGACAAATCAAAATGTTTAAAAAGAAAATAACAAAACAGGAAATGATGATAGCAGTATGTGGACGTTATGCCATGCATGTGAAAAACGAAAAAAAAATGGAATAAACAAATGTTTCTTAATTGATAATATTGTGTTTTCTTAAGCTGACGTACAACACGCACACACGCACAGACACTCCGTCATCTGCAAACGCTTGCTTATCCTGATGCAGAAAGGTGTTATAGCATGGGTATGAGAAGAAAAATGATTGAAATTCATGAAATTAACAAGACTATCGACTGCCACAGCTCTTGTTCATTTCAAATTAGGGCAACAGGTCGACTACAACAGCTGAACGACTTTTACAGCAAACTATAAAATATTGACAAAACAAAGAAATATTTGTGAGCGTATGTGAGTGTGAGCACGTGCTGTCATCTCAACATAGTGAAGCTTAAAATATTTTTTTATTTATGACATTTTAATATAATTATTATATATTACTAATAATCATTTAGTAAAGTCATTTTTAATATTTCAAAAGTAATCAAACCAATTTACAATGTTTTCATACAACCGTAGGTCTGAAAAAGGAAGAAGGCTGTTGAAAAGCCGGAAAAAAAAGGCTTGTGAAGGAAAAAAATCGATTCGGAAAATAGTAGCAAAATGGATGATGGAGACTAACACAAAAACAGAGAGTGGAAGAGATTGAGCAAACGTGAAGAACAAGAGGTTGAAGACGTTCAGCTAAAACTGAACGTGTGAGGTAATATCTGAATAGAATAAGTTTAAAACAGAAGAATAAAATAATAAAAAAATGAAAGAAAGAGAGAAAAGAAAAGATTTCACTGGGTAACCTAATTCTCTTCTGGATGCAAACGGCCTTGTCTACGTGAATGAGAAGTTTGTGCACTCTGAACTAATTGATAATTTGGGTTTGATAAACTAATCTTTATGTTTAAAAATTCACAAAACACGTTTCTTGACCGTTTCTATGATTGAATTTGACAAAAAACAAAAAAAAACAGAAAAAGATATTTTTTTTTGAAGAAATGAATGAATGGCCATAATACACTCCTTGTTTGCACAACAAAATTCTTTGAAAAAGCACATTTCACTCCATATTCGCCATTTCTCGATGTATCTTATCGAAGGATGCTCCTATTCTTGACCCAATTTTACTTTTAAAACCTGTGAATGAGAAATAGAAATATCTCAAATGAAGTTGTTTAGCGGAATGAGAAGCTTGTTGACTCAGGCTCTTAATGAGTGACCGGTGAAGAAGTATTTTCGTAATGTTGATGTTACCTATTGGAACTCATTCCAATATTACAATAAACATCTTCAATTAATATCTTTGCTGCATACATTATGCTAATTTCCATCGCCGTGTGAATTTCACGTTTTGTTTGTCACAACAGTTTATTGATGCATGTTAGACGTTCAGAACGGTTGTATTTCTTCTTTCTTTTTTTCTACATTCTCAAGGGTTCACCATATCTTTCATCATTTTCCTTCATGATTATGAAATGAGCTTAAATTGATGCACGAATCGCCGGTCATCTCATACTCTTGTTAGACCCAATAGGGCTTGTTTTGCTGAGCAGAAGTTTGAACGCTCTTGGTACTTAGTTACAAAACGCAATTAGAATTTTCTCGTAACAAAAAAAAATTTAAGAAGATGACAAACATAGCTACGACTGAACCGAAAAAATGCTGTCGGTAAACCTATGTTCTTTAGATAGAAAATTAGAACAATAGCAATGCCCTGAAGCTATGTTACGAGACAAAATACATAAACACACATAGTCGGTGTGGTCTGTAAAAGAAGGAGATATTTCTACACGATCTTTACAGATGAAGAGCTTGAATCTTCTTATTACTATGTTCTTCTTATTATAATCTGAGAGCTTAAACAGAATTTAACGAAGCACAATGACCTACAATTTTCCTGTTTTTTTTTGCTCTCTCTCACTCTTTCTCTCTCTTGAATAGCCGCATTGCCACTTCTGAGGTATTTCCTGTTATGGAATAATCTTCCTTGTACTTCTTCACATCTATTCCTGTTTATGTTTTTACTGTTTTCCGTTAAAGCTTTGTGCGAAATCAAACTTGGTTGCTGTGTTTAACGTTTGAGGAAGTAACTTATCAATCACACAGAATGATTTACTTACTGTCACTCATATGTTTTTCATCTTTCCACTACAGTATACTTTAAACACATAGAAAAAAAGATGAATTCTTAATGTGTGACAGTATGAGGAGATTTGATAACTATGCCTTCATAAAGATATTCGAATGTAAATACGAGGAAAGTCAATCGTAGAGTAAACAGCAACTGTCGGCTGTTGCCTCTTTTGCTTCTTTTCCTTCTTTAGAATGATGATGATTGCTTATAGGCTCCATAGAACTGTAGCGACTCAGATGAAGGGAAAAGAGCAAGATAGAGAGAGAAAAGGAGAGAGAGAGTAACAATTATTTTCTTTTGCTCAATCTCTCTCGCATTTTCTTTTTTTAATTTTATCTTTTTCTTTGCGACTGTCCTGACGTCTGCCACTAATCTTACGATAGACATCTCATTCTCTCTTTTTCTTAGACTTTCCATCTATTTTTGACACTTTCATTCAATTCCCTCCACCTCATTTTGATCCGGACAATATTTTATTTTGATTGCTTCCTTTTTTCACATCATTCAGTCTTGCCTCTGTGTGTTTTCGGTGCTTAACAATTGGGAATCTTGGATGAACTTCTATAGCTTGAGCAATTCACTTCATCCTGGTCAGATTTACAGTCTAATCACATCACTTCAGATTTCCTCTGTATTTGTCTTTTTGTGCCATTTTTTTGTGAGAATACACTTAAACCCTTGTCCTCTCGTTGTCCTTTTCTTGTCATTCTGTCTTTTGTATCGAAACATCCTTCATAAACTCTTTTTTTTCCTATTTCAGAGCTTTTCCTAATTTTCGAAGCTTCATTGAACCACTAGGAACAACTTTCAAGAATATAACTTCATAAAGTGAGTTTACATAAATTTATTCATAATATCTTCCGAGCTGTTATTTTGAAAATGAAATTTTGATGAAAAACATTAGATTGGCTGAATATTTCATGTTTCTCGCAAATTAAGAAATAGTCTGAAAATGAAATAAAAGGTGAAAGTAGAAAGGTGAGAGAAAACTAATTACTTGAATATCAAATAGTTAATGAACGATAGAGAATAGAGAAATTGACGTAGAATTATATAAGTAGAGAGGTAAGGAACGAACCATTTGATTGAGACCGACTACATAGCTTTTCAAACTATGCAAACAGCATGGCGGACACTGGACTGTTGGAGGGGAGATTATGCAATGTTAGAGAGAAAGGAACGAGGCAAAAAGTCGTCTGTAGAACGTTGAGAGAGTTGAGCTGCAAGCAAGATGAACAAAGCTTCGAAGGGGGGAACTGCTCTCTTTCTGTTCAGACCGGATTCTTACCGTTGAGGACGGTCGAGGAAGATGCGAAAAATATAAGAAAATTTTGAGAGTGCTCAAGAAGTTTGACGAATGAAATATAACTATTGGATATAGAAAGTTGATGAGAGAGATAGAGCGAGAGAGACTATGAGGTAGCGCCCTACTCCTTCTTTCATCTTGATCAGTTGGAGCAAAATTCGATCGGACAGTATTGATTCAGGTGTTCTGATGCTATTCTACTCCTCTCTCAGCAGTCCATATTATGAATGCTTTAGAAATACTTCAGAGTTCTTGAATTTCCATTTCTCTGACAATTTAGTTCTATTTCCTTGATTTCATACACTAGGTTGGTCATGTAGATAATGTTTTAATGTTATTGTAATCTTCTAATCTCCCGTATCCCATATGCGTCATACAGTACAAATATTTTATTAAATAAGTGGGAGAGTGTTGCTCAAAATTAAATACAAAAAATAACAGCTCGAGAAAGAAAGAAATGAATGACCGAGTTAGATCATGCAATCGTTCAGATAATAATATGAGTCGCTGGGATACATTACCTTCTAACACACGGACAAATCCGACGTTCTTTCCGTAAGCTTTCTGTTCTGTTCGAAACGGAAAATTAAAATAATTGAGACAGTGATTGTTTTCTATTGTTCTTCATGCTAAATCCTTGTTCAAAAAAATAGAGAACATGCTTTCTTACGTGTCCATCTGGTTGAAGTCAACGTTGCATTCTGGCTTTTCGTTCAAAGTTTTTCATCTTATTTCTCGTCCGCCTCTTCATAGTCTATCATCCACTTTCTTCCACTTTGTTCTAGTTGGAGCTCCGCGCAAACAGTCTTTCCTTCGGCAGCATTCTCTCCCCTTGTTCCAACAATCCAACAAACACACCTTAATCTCTGTCTTATTTCATGACTTAACTCACAAAACAACATTTCTCATATACGATTTTCTATTACCTTCCCTTAATTTGATTATTTCTATTTCATTTTCATCTGCTCATGTTATTGTCAAAGCTATTTCCTTCTATGATTCTAAAATAACTTTTCTACTTCTTTCAGACAGAACAATCCTATCAGTAGTGGGCCGGAAATGTCACAACCAACAGGACAAGTACGTTTTCTTTTTTATCTAAATTATGTATAGACTAAGCTCATATCTGATTCTATAGTTATTCAGAAAAAAAGAAAACAATCTTGAACTTTTCATAATGATATCTATCCTTTTTAGATTGCTCCACTCACTTCTGCCGAAGTAGACCAACATGGTAGCATAGGTAAATATCTACGACAAGAACTCGAAGGTATGGTTTAATCTAACATCATATTTCGTAATAGTCCAAATGAGTGTACGATCATGACTCATCCTAGCTCAATGTGTTACTTGACGTTTTATTCTCTTTCATTTGGAGCTCTAAGCCTTTAGTCATGAGGTGTAAGCCATAGTTGCATGTTCGGCAATAACCGGTCTGGACACACTCCACGTACGTGTCGTCGTCCGAAACTCTTCTGAGCATTCTGAGTTCCGTTTGCTTTCTTTTATTTCGGTCAAGTCCGGTTCAGTTGGATGATCTCACTTTAGACTCATCAGTTGATGTTTCAAAAAAAAAAACGAAGAAACGCAAAAAGGGCTTCTATGAATCGATTCGAAGAAAGAGAGAAAGAAAGAAAGAGAAAGAACGACGATGTTCTGTTATAATTTAATTTATCATTTTGGTTCAACCGCTCTGTATGCATGCGAGACATAAAATGGAAACTGCTTGTATATCACTCACGTGTTATTTACGTATTCTAATTATAGGAAGTTACTCTGGATTTATCCGTTGTATTTATGAAGCAAAAAGAACCAACAACAAAATCGTAACAGTCGGGTAAGGAATTATGAGGAAAAAAGCGTTTTATCAGCAGAATACTTAAGATGTGAGCGAGAAGCCGGTTGTTGCGCACATGGATGTTGTGCCAAAGATCAGCATTGGTAGTTTCTAGTCATTCTCAAGTGTTACCATATGAAATATATTTAAGGATGGCGGGTGTTTATGTGTTGTTAGCATTTGTACTCGTAGTGTTTATTGTTGGTACAATTCTTATGATCGTCTGCTATCAGCGTTCCAAAAATCGTCAAAGAAAAGAAGAAAGAGAATTTGCAGCACAATACAATGGATATTCAACAAATTCACAGGTATCATATATAATATATTATTGATTGATAATTAATATAATATATTAAAGGTTGGCGGAATGGGTGATTATACCAATTACGGTGGGCCAACATATTAAGATGAAATGAGAAAGAAAAAAAGCACCCACCATAATATATGAAAACCTGCCAATATCTGTATAGTTTGATAATAATTTCTCTTTTACTAAAATTATATTTAGAGAAATCAATTGTTGCTCAAACAATCTGTTTATTTCACTTACTCACATTATATATGTATTTCAATGAAAATATATTTTAATAAAAGAAAACAAATAGATTTGATTTTCATTCGTTTCATTTTGACGAAGAAAGAATAAAAATGAAAATGTTTGAGAAGTCAAGCTTTCAACTTCACACAAACATATGTTTCAAAGAACGGCTTCTCATAGCTTAGATTGCGATTGAGCCATTGTTAAGTTCGTTTGATTTTCCTACTCTTTACCTTCATTATAGCACTTTTTCTATTCATCTCTCCCAGAATGTAACATTTAATTGGAAAGTATGAATGACAACATTCACTTCACTTTTCTACTTCCACATCTTGATTAGTTTGAGGACGAAAAAAGAAACTTTTTTTTTCACTGTTCATACTTCTAGAAGAACAATGAGTTTAAAGTTTAAGACGACAAACAAGTAGTTTTAAGTAGAAAAGATGAGGAGAAAAGGACAAGAACAAGCCATCTCCAACGGCCCTTAATTCACTTTTTAGTCCAATTTCGTCTTCAATTTCATTGTTCTCTTAGAGCAATACCCTCTGACACCAACTTTGCTTCGTATCAACAGCTTATTTTTCCAAATTCCTCGTTAATTCACTTGAATATCGTTGTCGTCTGCTTCAGATTACTTTCATGACAAGGTTTTCAAAAGAAAAATATTATTTTTTTCCGTCCTCCCACATCCTACCTTTCATTAATAAACTTTTGATTTTTCTTGTGTATAGCAAGACGATTATCCTTTATCAAATCTCCTTTTCCTTTTTTTTTTTCTTTTTTTTTTGTTTTCATCAGAATATGCTTTTCGTTGTATGTGCCATATAGTTTAGGTTGTTCGTTGCTTTCTCAGATTTTTGAATCTTATTCACATCCATTTAGACAGCGGGGTTCAGCTAATTGACTGAAAAGCTGAAAGATCGTTCTTTTTTACAAGCAAAAAAAAAGTCTTTTTGAAAGTTTTTATTCATTTTAAAGCTTTTTTGTAACTACCTCAGTAATTCGTCAACGATGTATCTAACAATCAGAGTTATAAGCATCCATAATTGCTTCCCCTTTTCATAGATTCTCCTTAGGTCAGGTCAATTACCTGCAAGATGTTTGAGCATAATGCAAAAAATCATTATTTTATTTTGGCCTCAGGCCAGGAATGACTTATCCCTCTTGTTCTCTGTCAATTGTTCGTATAATCATCCTATTACGGCTCCTTTTTCCTTCATTTTATCGTCTTCTTTTATTCGTATTAAAGGAAAAGTATTTTTCTCCGTAACCAGAATAAAAGACTCGCAAACATCGAAATAAATAGAGCAGATGAGAGAGGAAGAACGTAAGGTTGTCCTGGGCAACCAACATGAAGCAGATGAGAAGACGAGATAAACTACCAACAAATATCTTTCAAAACTGCCCAATACGAACTTCTCCTGTGCTGTAGATTGATTCTAAACACTAAATAGTTGGAGTAAATCCGAGAATAATTTAAAAATATCTCTATTCTACCCTAAATTAAAACTTATAAAGCCGTTTGGAGGATATATATACGTTTTTTGGTGTTTTCCTCAATCAGTCTGTTCTTTTCGTCTTCCACATAATTGAAGAACCCCATTTGGCTCTTCTCTCTACCATTTCGTACTTCCACAACTTCATAATTGTCTGTCTTCTTTTTGCTCATTGGTTCTCTTCTTATCCTTCTTCCGGACGAGAATATAATTCCAATCAATATTACCAGGTATTTCGAGCGATGCTCACCAACTTCTTAGTAACCAGAATGAATTTCGCCCTGAATTTTGATATTTTGCATCAAAAACCTCGGACGTATTAGCAACTTGCCAAAAAAAATTGTTTTTTATTCGACAACAGAGAAAAAGCCAAAATTTCTTTGAGATGTCCTAGTACAGAGGATGAGAATGAAGAGAAGAGAGAGAAAGGAGTTTCCAACTTCTCACGTGTCTTATGTTTTGTCAATTGATGAGATTATGCTTTAGTTTTTCCTACAATCTCTGAGAAAATTAACATTTCCGAACTTTTTCACATTTTCAGAGAAAAGTTCAGAATATACTTTGTTCAGAGCTGGTGATAACTGCTGAAAGGAAAACCATGTCATGAAAATTTGATTTGCAAAAAAAATTTGACCTAAAGAACTGAAGCTGTGAACGTGCTTTTCCGGTGGAGCTCTAATGAGTCAGCTGGCGGAGAGTCTTTTCGAGCTTAGGCCAATTTCTTAAGCAATTTCATTGGCAAATTGGTCTTCCGTTGACTAAACAGAACACATCGAGCTTCTAATCTCCATTAACTATTTATGGCTTTCACATCATACAAACCATACATATAGATACAAATATACAAGTCATTAAACTATGTGTCAGTTTTGAGTAATCATAAATGAGTTATATCAATTACCCATTTGACATTGACAAAAAAAATTTCTTTGCTTTCATTTCATGAAAATGATAGACAGATGTTTGAGTTCCGAATATTGATAATGAATTTTACATCAGAACCTCATTTTTTTAGCTCGTTATGTCAATTTTATTAGCTTGCTTACTTCAAACCCTTTTAAAGTACTTCAGCAGCTTTGCTTTCAAACCGAACGAGAGAGAGAAAGAGAAAAAGAGAAAAAAAAGTTCAGACCAATTGTTTATTTTTTATGAAATGAATGTTTTTCTATGAATTTTCTTTGATTCCTTCCTTTACTCTTGCTTATATCAAATCAAATTTTCATTTTTTTTCACACGAGCCCTCGACTTTTAATTATAATTTTCCAAATTAGTATGAGATTGATATATCTTTACGAATAAATTATATTCTAAGCCATAAAATGAACTTTAAACAATTTTTTCCGCCAATATTTCACGTACAAGTGGTCGGCGGGCACACACGTTTCTCATTTTCATATTTCATTTATCTCTTACAGCGGTCGCATTCGAAGATGTCCTTACGTTAGGAAAGAGAGAGAGAGATAGTTCTAAAGAGTGTAAGAGAGTAAAGAAGAGAGGGAATTAAGAAGTGAATATTTTTTGTTTGAAAAACATTTCAAAATGATGTTTTCACTGTTTCGTTCATTTAGGCGTTCCCACTAACAATACTTATCTTTAACGAAAAACTATTTTCTTCGTTCTTCTTCTTTCGCTTTCGTTCTAACAAGAAAAAAAAAGGCCGGATAATTATTTTTAAAATTAGCTAAAGGTTAAAGAAAAAGCTTTTTTTTTCTCTCAATGGTGAAAAATAAAAAAGTAAGCAAAGCAAAGGTTTTTCTATGAAATTTTTAGTCAAAACGGACAACTTTTGCAGACACGCTCATTACCTATGAATTTGAGTTCATGACAGCTGGCTCGCGTCCTTCATTGAGCATTCGCATCCGAATAAAATGAAATAAAAAAAAAAGAAAGAAGAAAGAAACTTTGTTTCTCTTTATATTCCATTAAAACTTTGATTGAATTGTATGAAAAACATAAAATGAGAGCTCGAATGTTGTTTTTTGTCTTGTTTTCATCTCATCAAAATAGATTTTTCCTGTAAATTGTTAGTAATAACTATATTATTTAATGGATATTGAAATTCATATAATCTCGATCAAAATCTTTTTTTTTTCGCCTTGTTTGGTTCTCTCTCTCTCTTTCTCTCTCTCTCTCTATCCCTCTCTTTCTCTCTCTCTCTCTCTATCCCTCTCAAGGTTTTCTCGATAATAATAACTATATGGTAACTATTCATAAATTTCTTTAATGCTTGTACTTTAATGAATAATTAATTATAAATTACATATAATTAGCTTTATATGTAAGAGATTAGCAGGCATCAGCTCTGTGTTTGGGTTCAATCTCTTCAACCAGGTTGCTATCTCATTTCGACGTTCTCATAAAGCCTTCTATTACTATTATAAATGGACTGTTTCTAGCGCTTTTCGAGCTTATGGCTCTTTGATCTTGCACCACACCTTGCATGCCAGTCATCTAAAACAGTTGTTTTGAACGCAAATGAGATACGTCAATCGCTTTCTTCTTGTAAATTCTTAACTTACAACACTCAGATAATTTTGACTAGTTTTGGTTTTCTAAACTTTAATAACTATATACATATAATATATCTACTATACTATATATACATATAATTTAATTTCCGAATACATGTTTATGACTAGTTTTTATGATTTTCTCATAAGACGAAAGCATAGGTCAGTTTAGGTGAAAGGCTTTCGTTAAATTGTCGGAATTTGTCGTCAGATTGTTGTGTGGGTTATAAGTCCTTTTTTGGACATTACATCGGGAGCCATGATGAATTGACTGTTGTTTCGTTTTGTCTGCTATGCCCTCAGGATAGATATGAATAAAGCCGAAAAGAATTATCTGGCTTTTTCTTTCCATTTACCACAAGGAAAGTTATGAGAAAAAAAAGTAAATTAGGCATTCACAAATGCTTCCCAGTGTTCATGCTTTTGAGCTTCTCCGCCAATCTTTTGTGTCTTTATTGCCTAATATGTATACCATAATTTTTAATACTTTTATTGAATTTCAAGTCTCAACAAACGTTTTAAAATGGTTTATGTTCTGAACATACTTGATCTCTGATACAATTGCATCTCTCTCTCTCTCTCTCTTTCTCTCTGCCCCCCTCTCCTCCCTTTCTCTCTCTCTATATTTATTCCACTTTTACTCTCTTTACTTCACTCCTGTTTTTTTCTCTCTTCCAATATAATTAGTAATAGAGAGCCTTCGAAGCTTTTTTCTGATAACGTATTCATCTGAATGAATGCTTAATTTTTTCATTCTCTTACCTTCCTCGATCTCACACCTTCTCTTATTTTGTCCAACACACCTGTATTACCCAATATTATCATTTTATTAGAAAAATAAGCTTTTCATCTAAACAAATCTTTTACAACTCTGTTTGACGACGCCTACTTGCCATCACGTGTGGCTATTCCTTTTCACGTGGTTTACACACGGTATGCTAATGTTGATGCTATTCATTCTGTTACAAGCTGGCGTGGGAATCGGTTGGACATTTTTAAAAATTTTCTTTATGAATGCCATCATATTGCAATTTTTTATTAAATTTCCTTCTCCTGTTTCAAACTATCGTTGATTTCGGACGTATTTTCTGCCGTCGCGTGCTTATATGGCTCTAAGAAGAGTCTGCTGAAAGAGTGTTGAAATAGTATTCGAGAGAAGACTTATGATATCTTATTCATTCCTTAAGCTATCCTCTATCGTTTTAACTTCCTGTCTCTGGCATCCTCCTCGTCTAGTCTTACTAGCACTATCAGCTTCTCTTAGCTCTTTCCACCAGAATAGAAAACATGAAAACCTAAGTTAAAGCTTCTTTATATTGCCAAGGCAACTGAGCTATTCTCTCATCTCTCTTCCTCCATCTCTCTCACACTCTGTCTTTTGCTATCCATCCTCCCCCTATGATAGTCTCTCTCTCTCTCTCACACCTTTTTATGATTCGCTAATTTTCTTTCTCACTTGTCCATTTCTTGTGTACTATTCAAAAATCCATACATGTACCTCGCACATGTGATTCAGTCTAAGAAAAATACTATTTTAATTTAATTTCTTCCAGGAAATTATCTGAGAACGACGTATTTTAATATTATTGTTGTCTTTTTTTCTTTGAATTATCCTACATTCTATGCATATTCATCCAGCTGGCATTGTTTTTGCACCGGTCCGTTATCTCAATCTCGCCAATCTCATTTTATGTAATTAATAAGAGTGGAACTACTCAAAAATATTGCCTTTTATAGGTTGTAAGTGAGGTTTGTAAATCAAAGATATAGTATTTTTCATTCTATTAAAATACAACTTTTTCTTGCTCCAAGCCTCATATTCGTGAGTTTTGGGAGTTTCAAATGCGCTGTTGACAATGCCGGTTATAACTACCTTGTATGAGGTTTTTCCTAATGTAGCACCAACGATTGTACTTCAGCACAATTTCATTTTCATTTCTCATATTCCTAATCTTCTTCTTAATCTCTTTTCTTCATTCAGTCTTTAATAGCTTTTTGATTCGAAAAAAAAAAGAGAAAAAGCTAAAAGGATGATAGAAAATTTGAATAATTGGCTTTTCTCTCTTGTTTTTGCCAGTTATTTCGAGATTGTATCCGTTGTGAACATATTATTAGGTTAGTAAAAATTTTTTTTAAAAATTGCCTGAGAAGGAAGAAAGAATGGAGAGAAAAGTGATTGAAACGAAAAAGGAGGAAAAGAAGCAGGGCAGAAGATATAGAAGATGATGGAAGGAGGGAGAAAACGCAATGAAAGATTTTGAACAGAAGCCATTAGTGGAGAACAGATAATACTAGAAATGCTTGATTATAAGCTTCTTACATCTGCTCTGTCCTTATTTATCAAACAACGTATGTGTGGATTATCTTTTTAGAAGGATTATTTATTGATGTTACTTTTAATATTATTTCAAACAAGACATTTATCATATACACCCAATCGGAGTGTCCCTTTAGAAGCAGAGCAAAAAGGCCAAACCTTTTGCACCTGTCCGTTCCGTCATCGTGAATCTCTTTATCCCGCTCACTTCCATTAAAGCCCATTTGATTGAAGGATGTCTTTCTCTTCTTTTGATTCAGAGTCCAAAATCATGACCAGCGATTCATACCTTCTTAAGACGGTTCAAATGAAAACAGCCAAGTTATTTTTGTGATCATGCTACTTCTGAGAAAAATGTATTATTTCCACGATTTTCTGGCAAAAATCTCAAAAACTCAAAATGGCACTAGCCATCAGGAAAGATGAGAAAGCCAACATATTGCGTGATCCCTCATGCTCCTACTCTTCGGTTCAATTGAGTTTTTACATCTGTCACTAGTGAAATAGTTTTATAAACTTTCATTGTCTAATCGTTTATTTCCATATTTAGAAATTGACATGAAAATAGAACATGAAGCAGTGAGAACATTGAAAGAGATTAAGATGAAGTAAGAGAGTGAAAGAGAAAGAGTGATGATGAATGATGCAAAGAGGAGAAGGAGGAAATAGTCAAAGATGAGTTGAAGGTAATGGAAGGTTGAACGAACCTTCCAGTCAGTAGTCCACTTTATAAGATTGCCAGTTTCATACATAACAATCATTTCAATTGTACAGTTCAAGCAATTTATAGAACATTCTACTCATTCATTTACTTATAGATCTTCTCAGAAATTTATAATTTTTTTATTGTTTCATAATGTTCTTTTCCATCTTCTTTCATCCTTTTCTTGTTGTCAATTTGCTGGGAACATCCTTTATGCATTAGTACATCATAGATGAGAAGCTGAGATGATCAAACTCTCAAAAAGCTTATTCTGTCTGACCATACTAGACTCTTATCAACTTTTTCTCATATCCTTCTATCTCTCTCTTTCTAACACTCGCTCTCTCTTGTTGTCACTCACCTTCTTACTCTTGCTACTTCTCCTGATTTCCTTCCAATCCTTTTCTTACTTTCTTCTAACTTTACCCCTCACTGCTTTGAGAAGAACTCCAGAAGACAAAACTTGATTTTCTTTTTCTCATCAGCTCATTTGAATCTCATTTTATTACTTAAAGCTAACTATCTGTCATTCAAATCAGATTATGTCCTCAAAAACGATTTATTTATTCTCGTTTTTTTTCCTCTCAAATCCATAGATGAGTATCTTTACTTGAGTCATTTCATTTCTTTCATTTTACCTCTTCTCTCTTTCTTATTCTCTCTCTCTCTATCTATTTCTCTGGCTCATAAAAATATTCATTCACCAAATGCTCTCTGTCTCATAAGCTTTTTCCCTCTAACTGTTGTCCTTTTCTCACTATGTCCCTCGCATTCCATTTTTTTAAGCTTCTTTTGTTCTCTGTTCTTCTAATTTCGTCTGTCTGTTCAGTCTTCTCTCAACAATCAGAACAAAACTCTGAGACAGATAAGTTGCCAAAAAAAATTGAAAAAAATTGCTGCTGAGAGATTTTCGTTCATGCTACAGATCTCAGGTAGTTGTTCATGGTCACCTCGCAACCAATAGCCATATTTTTATGATCTTTTAAGAATATGAGAAATTTTTATATTATTCTATTATTTAAAGTATTCTATACGATTTAGCTATAGGCTGAACGTGCTGCTTATTTTGGCCTTCTGATTATGTGAGCCGAAAAAACACATAAAGTATCAGAGACAGTTCTATCCTAATTCATAAGAATTCACTACATTCCCAATTATTTTCTAATTCTCTTAACTACAAAACTATTCATTATATATTTATGTTTTGTTAATAAAAAAATAAAACTTGGCTTTGCTGTTATCCTCTCCCCCCCTCCCTTTCCACCTTCCAGCGTACTACTATTCCAACTTCATCCGTTAACTTCATTCATTCTTCTTCTTCCTTCTTCTTCTTCGTTCCTCTATTACTTAATACCTGAAATGAGCATTGTTTTCCAAACTGCTGCGTATGGTGACGAAAAAAAAATAAATTATATATAAGGCGTTGGTAAGAGCTGCTGGCCAACAGAGTGAGTAGCCTGGCATCCGGACTTCCTGCTGTCTCATGGCTTCTGGCTCACGACGCACTTCTACCCTTAGCCCTCGAAGGTGGGAGGCAAGAAGCTAGAGATGGCGAAAATTTGAGAAGCTCTCATAATCGGCTTAAGCTTTCTTCTTGTTTACATTATATTATTCTTTCGTTATTTTTTGGTTTTTTTCTCTCTTAAATGAAAGAGGCGCTCTTCAGTTATTGAAGTTGCTTGTTCTTCATTGCTTACTTGACCTTATGAAGGATATGGCATCGAGGAATAGAAAGATGATCCGATGAAGCTTTTAGTTCTTTCACACTTTATATATAAATAGTCAGAGAAGATCCGTCTTCAATGCTTGCAGCAAATTAAGAAAACTTCTCCTGTAGGAAGTTTAATGAAGCGAGTTCATTATTCACTCATCTGGAACTTTTCATATTTCATTGTTTTTTTTTATTGTCTATTAGAAAACGAAAGGCATATTCGTCCATTTCAACATGAATTTGTTTGAAAAATGATAATTATAATATGGTTTTCATACATTCCCCAAATAACTTGATGTTTAAGATTTGTTCCACAACATGCCATTTACATTCTTTATTATTGCAGGAGATATAATTTTCTGAATTTCTTCCTTACCCCCCCCCCTACCTCCCGTCTCTCCCTCTCCCTCCCTTCATTGCATTTACATCGTCTTCAACAACAAAAAAAAAGAAAGAAAAACAGCATAAGCTCAAGACTTTCATTCCATGTTTTCATCTCTTTGCTAAGCTTTATCTTATCTTCGTGTGACTATTCACTCCTTAACTTCATATAAATCAATTTAAAAACTAAAAAATATACTTTTTTCCAATTTCTAAGCAGCATTCCCTTCTGACAATAGTTAGAACCTCAACCATGAAATTTCTTTTTCTTCGTTTGTTTTTTGTTTGCTTTTTCTACTTCATTTCTTCACAACAAGAACTTTCAGTTAGAACAAAAAGTTTCTTAAGGAAGTTTGAACTGTGCTGGTTAGCCGTTCTTCTCATGTGATATGCCAGTGGCTAAACGCGGCCTCGTCGCACCACAGAATACTTTCCTTGAAAACGTTATTAGACGTTGTAATAATGCAGGTACAATCACATAGTTAATAATTATATTAATTATAAATTATGTTTTAGATACATCTTTCATACTTGCCAATGCTCAAGTCGTCGATTATCCAATCGTGTATTGTAACGATGGATTCTCTAAGCTTGTGGGGTATTCTAGGGCTGAGATAATGCAAAAACCTTGCTCGTGAGTTATTTCAAAAGATATGATAAGAAAACAGGAGAAATGCTTGAAAGTTCTGAGCATAACCAGCGGGAAGAACAATTGTCTCCGAGAAAAACAAAAATAAAACAAAATTCCGACTGTCAACACATCTCATTAGCATACCATCACATTATTCAATGAAGCTGATGATTCGGTTAGCATTGACTAATATGAGCAAAGACTCTAATCAGAAGATGAAATGATTTTAATTTCTTCATTCATATTTTCAGATTAGCATTTTTACATGGAGATCATGGTGAGCCAGGTAGTTTAGCTCGTATGCAAGATGCTCTGGACAACAGTCGGACCGATCAGGCTGAGATAGGCTTATGCAAGAAGAACAGTTAGTTTCAAGAGAGATTAAAGATGAGAAGATATTAATTCAGAAACTCCAATATGGCTTCTTGTTCATTTAGCTCCAATCAAGAATGACAAAGACAATGTAGTTTTATATTTATGTCAATTCAAAGACATTACTCCCCTTAAACAGCCATTGGATGATGAAAATAATAAAGGTTGTGGGTATCATAGCATTGTGATTGTTTATCTGGGCTTTTAGGACTGTCTCGAATTCTTCAAATTGCACGAATCGCCAAATCAAAGCAACAGTTCAATCAGATAGAGACAAAGGATCTTCATAAGTCATCAGCTCCAGCTTCTTCAAACTTCAATCAGGTTATCAAGGTTCTAGTAATTACCCTGTTCCTTTTTACCAAAAACAAACAGAGCTTTCGAAAACAATCATTTTCTTCTTTTTATTAATTCGCTTTTGAGTTTCTGTTCCTTTTTTGGGGGACAATTACCTAACAGACCAAATCGCATGATCGGTTCTTATTTTTTCCAAATTTCATTTTAGTTTTTATAATCTAAAGATTGCTGTGAGATACGTTCACTTGTGCATGTAGTTAACCATATAATCACTTTTCATATGCGTTTAGCTTTTCAAAACTGACGAGTATTAAGGAATATATAGACTTTGGTTTCTGAATAATTTTAAAAATGAAATAAGAAAACTCTAATGAAAGCTGGCGGACGGGGATATGTTTAGATTATCTTTTCATTCATCGTTCCAACATAATGAAACCATAAAATATATTTTTTTTAAAGTTCAAAAATGATATAATACTTTTCTTTTTAGTTGGACGAGTCCGTTGGTCGTTCCGTAAGTTTAGAGCTCTATATGATAAAAACAAATTTTCGTTACGTAGACTCAATGAAACCTCATAAGCTTCTGGCATTCTTTCACAATTTGAGAAAATACAAAACAAAACACTTTAAATGTATATAAAAACTGTTTTTTCTTATGGAAAAGGGAGTTCTTCGTCCTTAGGGTCATACATGGCTGTTCAGCACACTTTTGCATCAAACTTCAAGCTCAAACTAGATTAGCATTCAACACCTTTCGGTTATATGCATGAAATACTCTTTAATACTAAGTTTTCGAATGATTACTTTATCTTTTCAATCACTTAACGAAAGCATGCTCTACACTATCACACAGACACGCTGTTACTTCTTTCTGTATTATTTTGAACAGAAACAATGAACATGTGAAGAATTTGGGGAAGAATGAGCTATATTATATATTTAAAATTCAAAAAGATTCAACTATCAACCAGCTTTCTTCCACAATCCCTCACCTAATCACTAGTTATTGAAATGTTTTCGATGTATACTCGGAAATTATCTAAATGCTATGCCGAAGATAGAAATATGATTGTTGAAGAAAGACAATTTTTGATACAAAAACAGTTACCTCTCTGCCCATCTTCATGCAAGACAATATGAGTTTGTCTTCAGACATATCAGCTGTGTCTGTATTTCCTTCTACTTCTATTTCATTCACATAAAGCTAAACGCAACTTAATCTATCCTTTTTCTAGGTAATGAACCTTGGTGGAGATATGTTACCACAATATCGGCAAGAGACACCTAAAACATCACCTCATATCATTCTTCATTACTCCACATTCAAAACAATATGGGATTGGTCTATATTGGCACTTACCTTCTACACAGCTTTCATGGTTCCTTTCAATATTGCCTTCAAAAATAGGTTTCGTTCATACATCCATCCAATCTAACTCACATCTTACTTCTGTTTCAGCCTTAAACCGTTCTTTATGCATCCATTCAGGTAATGCGGCTTCTCTCCTTTCAGTATCTCAAGATCTACTTTACAGGGATATTCCGGGTTCGGGAATCGATTCAGTTGCACTTATGGATTCCATTGTTGATGTGATATTTTTCGCTGATATTTTACTAAATTTTCATACAACTTTTGTTGGTCCCGGAGGAGAAGTAAGCAGGATTGTATTCCATCTTAACATTTATCTATATTTAGGTTGTTATTGAACCATCTGTTATAAGACATAATTACTTTAAATCTTGGTTTTTAATAGATTTATTATCGTGTCTCCCATATGATATATTCTATATGTTTAAGCGAGACGACGAGGTTATACTGTAATTGGCGTTTGTTTACTTTAATTGTTTCCATTTATAGAGAATAGGAAGCCTTTTTTCTGCCTTGAAAGTTGTTCGACTTCTCCGATTAGGAAGAGTCGCCAGAAAGTTGGATAATTATCTTGAATATGGAGCTGCAACTTTGCTCCTTCTGTTATGTGCATATGTCTTGGTAGCACACTGGTTGGCTTGTATATGGTTCAGTATAGGAGAATATGAAGTTAGATTGAAGGTATGCTCATTCTGGATACTCCTTTCATACAAAAATACATTGCAGATGGACAATCCATTGGTCGCCGACGGATGGTTATTCAAGTTAGCTAATGATTTGAAGTCTCCGTATAACTTAACAGCTTCAAATAAAACGAGATTAGTTGGTGGACCAACAAGAACCAGCTCTTACATTTCATGTGAGTTTTTTTTCGTACTTCCTAACTTCATTTCTTATTTAAGCCTTATACTTCACTATGAGTTGCATGTCCACTGTTGGTTTCGGAAACATTGCCAGCAACACCGACAATGAAAAAGTGAGTGAAGTTTCCTAGAAGAAGGATGTGCAAAGAATTTTCTCTTTAAAATTCTATTATACACACTTTTGAAAAAAAACGAAATCACACAATAGAAAATTAGAGAATGAAGCGTGATACACTAGGATGAACTCACGAAGTATTTGAACTATGATTCGTGACCAGAACTGTCTTCCATGTATCGATCTTTCAGGTGTTCGGAGTATGCATGATGATAATATCAGCTTTACTATACGCTGCCATATTCGGTCATATGACAACAATTATTCAGCAAATGACTTCAGCAACCGTTAGGTGAGTCTCGAAAGAAACACAACGTTATTGAGCCGTATATCCACTTTAGATACCATGATATGATAAGTAATGTGAGAGAATTTATAAAGTTACAAGAGGTTCCGAAAGAGCTGGCTGAGAGGGTTATGGATTATGTTGTTTCAACATGGGCCATGACAAAAGGAATCGATACATCAAAGGTAAAACACTTTTTCAAGAGCATGAGTTCAAGAGTGATATTTAAGGTTCTTGGATATTGCCCGAAAGATATGAAAGCTGATATTTGCGTACATTTGAATCGGAAAGTCTTCAACGAGCACTCCTGTTTCCGTTTAGCTTCTGATGGCTGTTTGCGATCTTTAGCCATGTATTTAGAGGTTCTTGTAATGATTTTATAAAAGTAAATACTTAGATATTTCAAGTCAAACCATGCAGCGCCTGGTGATCTACTCTACCATACAGGAGAGTCAGTAGATGCGCTGTGGTTTGTTGTGAGTGGATCATTAGAAGTTATTCAAGATGAAGAAGTTGTAGCAATATTAGGTATAATACAAGCAAAAAATAAAACATATGTTGAAATTAACAAATTTTAGGCAAAGGTGACGTTTTTGGTGATGAATTTTGGAAGAACAATGGATCAACGGGACAGTCAGCAGCTAATGTCCGTGCTCTAACGTATACTGATTTACATATGATAAAGAAAGATAATCTGATGGAGGTATACATGTTATCATCCTTTCTCACAATGACTTTCGAATACTTTGCAGGTTCTCAACTTCTATAAAGCTTTTGCCAATTCATTCGCCAGAAATTTAGTTTTAACCTATAATTTAACACATCGCTTGAAGTTTAGAAAGGTAACATTTCTCGATCCGATGTCATTGCCATCTCTCTGAGCAGTAAAGGAGAAATGAAAGCATCGAGAACTTTTAGTTTCGTGACCTTTTTTTATTGTTTTTCAGGTAGTTGATGTGAAAAGAGAGAAGGAATTGGCAGCAAAACGAAAAAATGAGAAGCTTGAACTTGCACCTGATCATCCTGTGCGGAAACTTCTCTTCCGTATGCGTGAGCGACACGGGCCACGTATTTTCCCAAGCCCAATGTTTGCGGATATTGAAAAGGTATTCAGAACTTTATCTGTTTTTCTCAACATTCCTCTTGTAAATATTTTGCCATTAGTCTTAAAAACTTTTTTCCGTCGCAGTGTTAAGCTTAGTTTAGTGAGCAAATTGTTTATTAAAGATCACAGTTCGCTGTTTGAAGGCAACTATTTCTGGTTGGCTGAGCAATAACTTAAAATTTTTTGGGTTTATAAGTCGAAGAAAAACGAGCCATTGTGCTCTCGAACAAAACTAGAAGGCTTACTGAGCTGCTTTTTCTGAAACCTTCTTCAGATAGTCTTGTTCTGTTCTATCTAGGTCTTTCTTCTGCACCTTTTTTTTAAAAACCCGTATTACTCACTACTTTTTTTTTTACAATGATTCTACTTCAGGGTCTTCGTAAAAATACTGATAGTATGCAAAGAATGCCTTCCTTACACTCAATGGTGGATGAAACAACCGGTGGACTATCCGCTAGCTATCCTTCTCGATCACCTCGAATTGGAGCAAAATCAGCAGGAAAACGACCACCTCTCTTGGTAGGAGGAGAAGCAACAAGTGTAAGCAATACCATCTCGTAAAGGCATGCTGATGTTTCCCCCGATTTGACATATTTGAGATTGAAGTTGTGCCTTTATGGATGCTTTGTCGTGACACTTGAACCTTCAGAATTCAATTTGACTTTCCCTCAACCATTTTTTTACATTATAGAAACGTCAAACTGTCGATGAGGATGCTCTTTCTCGCACAAGCTGGAGTAATGATATGAAAGGAGCCAAAGTTGTAATTTCTACCCATTCTGATATAATTGTTATTTTTGAAGGAATGGAGCTCACTCTCAAATGTTCGAAGCGAAATGAGAACTAAATTCGATTTAATTGGAGAACGTTTGACAACAGTTGATAGTATAAATAATCGTTTACAAAACCTTGAACGATTAATTCTAACTATGGTACAAAATGATCGAGGTTTCATTCTATAGACATTCACCTCATCATTCATTTGGTTGAAGGTGGACATACACCATCGACTATTCCAATGGGTTCAACGATGCAGCTTAATGAAAGTGGAATGTCTCATTTGGAATGTCCTAGTAACGTTGTTTCTCGAAGTGTTTCATGGAGCGAGAACCAAGAAGGATGGCAAAAGTAATTTAAGTAAAAGAATATGTTTAAGTTTAAAAAATGTTTTAGAGCTACATCTGCTCCAGTTCCTCCCTTGCAAGGTCTTCGAAACGCTAATTGGGACGATCAAGACACTTCTCCTCCAAACGTTCCTGCCATAACCATAGAAGATAATGGAACTTCTCGTGGTGAGCCACCATCCAGAACACGAATTTAATGTTTCCCTTATATAATTTTAAAAAATTCTAAAATATAATCAAGGAAATCATCCGACTACTCTTATTATATAACATAAAGCTCCAATCAACTCTGTGATAATGATCTCATAGTTCTTAGTCATTTTGCAGTCATGATCTCATCATACACATCGGTTTATATCAATGTAAAGCAAAGTTTTATGAAAATAACAATTGTATTGTATTTCCTTCAAATATTATTGAACCGTTACTTATCAAAGATGTTAACAATAAATTTATTTGTGATAATAAAACTATTTATAAAACGTGTTCCTTCGAGATCTATTGCGTAGGATATGACGAGTGGCGAAGCATTTTTCCGATGAAAAGAAAGACTTTCATCTGTTTTCATGTTCGAATTACATGTCAATTGAAAATAAAAGATATTTATTATAATTATTATTAAAACTCAATAAGTATAAGCTTAAACTGAGCTGATTGCAGTTGGTGGTTGTAAAAACACAAAACAGGCAAGCTGGAACAATTTTTTGGTTAAATATTATAAAAAAAATTCAATCTAACCTGATCTTTATATCCTTCACAGAATTTTTGTGAGCTCACGACAAAACTGAATTCGCATGGACTGCAAATGACGTTGAAAGATCCTGAAATCTCATGTAGCTGCAAATCCAAAGGCTATTTTTACCTCCAAACTCCTTCTCTGCAGCCTTCTGGATAGCTCTCTTAGAACTTTTGGCGTCGTTTGCCATATGCTTAAATCAAATCAAATTTTTATCCAATGTCGAGGTGTTACCTGAGTTATGATGCTTCTCAACTTAGGGTCATTGCAATTATCCGATTTCACTAAAAATGAAGATAAGTTTTATTACTTCAAAATCAACACCTGCTCTTTTTGGTCTTTCTTTCTTTTCGGATATAACACTGGTCGGGAGAGAAACAGATGAGTCCAACTAAGATATTATTTAATTGAAGAGATAGTAAGACTTACTTGGAACAAACTAGGAGCTCTACTTGACTCGACCTTACTCAGTTTTCCGATCGATTCCTTCATTCTTCTGATAACTTCGTCAATAGCTTTAGATTCCTCCTCATCAGGTAAAGCTCCTTCAAAAAGAAAATCCATGTTTTCCTCTGAACTTTTTGTTGAATCAGTGGGAGCAACCGTTGTAGTTGTGGTTGATTCGACATCTTCTAGTTCGTCAGATAGAGGAATGGGAACAGACGTATCATTCATGTCTTGAGAAATTTCCGGAACTTTAACTGTAGTTGGTTTCATTCTATCGGTATGAATCATCTCAATGGTGTCCATTTCCTGATGGCTTTCGACTTCAGGAGCATCAGAAACCTTATCAGAAGAAATCTTCTCTAAATCTTTTTCCAAGTCTTTCCCCATATCTTCTAACGCAGACACATCTGATGTTAAACCTGAATCAAACAGTTCTAAAATTGTAATATTCGTTCGTTCGCTAAGTCTTCCCACCTCTCATCATACTTATCATTTCCTCGAGTTCAGTTAACATGTTGTCTATTCTTTTGATCGTTAACTTATCAGATTTGTCCTTTGAAAATGAATTTTGAACGTACTAATAATTCATGCTTTACCTTTTTTTGGGGACTGAAGCGGATTTCTAAAGCGGATGTTCTATTCTGACTAAAACTCTTCTCGTTAACAGAATTCCTGATATCACTCACTCTAAGTTTTTCTTTTCAAAGAATTCTTTCATCGCCTCATGAGACACTCGGTCATGAATAGCATAGGGTATCCCTGATTCTGTCAAGAAAGGAGTGAATCCAGGAGAAGCAGCCTTAACAAAGTTGTTTTCAACCATGAAACTAGACTGTTAGGTATTTTACGTCTTCTACTGTCAGAGTTTCATTATCTCTCTTGAGTTCAGCTAGGTCCCACAAACGTTGAAGCTCTGAGTCAATGAAAAATCTTTTACGTTACGACTACAGAATGTACTTACCATCGCAACGGACAACATCTATATCTAAATGCGATCCACAACTTTGTCTAGGAGAACCACAGCTAGTACCTACCGATGGACATGGTTCCTTAAAAACAATAAGCATAAGTATGATAAAATGCATGAATACCTTTGTACATCCACAACAGCATAATGACGTTTTAACAGGACCAGCAGAAACATAATTTAATAATATAATGAAAACAATAAGAATACGCATGATGTTTTCGTAAACTTCTTAAGTATAAGATAATGATTAAACTGAGATAGAAGTTAAGATCGTTATTGTATGACCCAGTTATTTACTTTTAACCCATCCTTTTTATAAGATGAAATTGCCCTGTTTACCTGCTTTTGGGTCAGAAAGTGAAAAGGTGGTAATGTGATCTCATGTTTTTACTTGTAAACTTTGCCTAATCTCACTGACCCCATATTGAGACACACGTTTTCAACTCAACATCTCTATACCCCTTTTCCACGATAAAATTTAAAACCATTTCCTCAGTTTCAATACATGGGAAGCTACACGTACTTTCCACGTGAGCATAATTACACGTATATTCCACGTGAGCATAATTACACGTACATTTTACGTGAGCTTAGTTACATTTCAAAGTCAGATCATGTAGAGCGGTTGCAATATTATTTTTCTCTCAAAGTATGCTCTAGCAGTTCAACATGTAAATTATAAAAAAAATTATTTTATTAAAACATATAAAACATTTAAGTTAAAAAGGAAACCCGCTTATACGCACAACTCCGCATGAGATCAAGTACTTTGGCAAATCAATAATTATGAAAGAAATCGGAGAATAACAACAAAAAAGCAGGTAAATTAAAAAAAAAATGAAGGCATTTGGCACATACAAAGAAAATCATGACTAGAACAAAATTAAAAACTGACATATTAAAACTATATCGCATATGAACCTGTGTTTGTACACATAATACGTTTTAGAAAGTATTAATGTTCCTGCATATTCCACAACCCATAGCGAACTCATCACCTGTTGGAGGATGTTCCATTTTCAATGGACATGGACCTTCGTCCAACTCAATTCCTCTAGGGCCAGCAGGACAACGAGGAAGCTGCGATTTAGGAAGACATACCAAACGCTGGAAATCATCATGACAAGCAGCACAAAAGTGTGTTGTTCCAAAACTGAAATGAGATTTCCAAATAAATTTGAAATGAAAACGAAACACGTACCAGAAATAAACAGCTATGCTGCAGCAATACCGGCATTTGTATTCTAGGTATTCAACGCCATGACGTCCGCAAACCTATAATAAGATGACATGTTGTACGAAATTTAAAACGTTCAAAACCTGTGTTCCAGTTGTGTCGGAGCAACCCCCGCACATCAAGTCTTCGGGATTATATTGGGACGAGTTCAAGGCCTTCAATTGATATATAAAATATTATGTTGAGTTCGCGACTTTGTTACCAATTGACAGCGACTTTCTCCTCCGAAGTAAGCTTTATTGCACTTGCTACAAAGTACATACATATATCTTTCCATAGCGTATTCCTCGGGTTTATTGAAGAATTCACTAAAATGAGAGAATAACGATGTATATTTCCATTAGCATACCTTTTCTCATCTCTTATGGCAGCGCATTCCATTAACCCGTCATAACCAAGACGCATTTTTGCTTTATGCATGACATCTTCTTTTAATTTCAGAATCGGCTCAAGTACATCGCTTAGCCCCGGATGTGAAATCTTGGAAAACACAATAAATAATTTGCAAACTATTTTAACCAACCTGCTGATTGCATAACGGACAGTTAATGAAACGGAAATGGATTCGCGGTCCATTCCAACGTTTTTCAAGAATCGTCTTCAGGCAGTGGAAGTGAAACAAATGCCCACATTCTAACTTAACGGTTGGAGCGGCAGCCAGTCTATCAGTGAAACAAACAACGCATACGTCATCTCCATCTTGTTGATTAGCTAAAGCATGAGATTCGTATTTAGTCTTTCTATGGAAAATATTACCATCATTGTTACACGTTAAGCACGGTAAACAAGTCGTTTCTCCATTAATTCCGGAGCAGAAATGTCCACAAGGTAGAATGGCTTCGCATGCAAGTGGAGCGAGAGCTAGGCAATCTGCATGATCGCAAACCCCAACAAACATCTAAGCAATGAAGCATGTTTGAATGATGAATGTGATGTTGGTACCTGTTTTTGCCCATCTAAAGGATTTCCGCAGAAACGGCAGTTATTACATTGATTCAAAGTGGCTGTCGAACGATACACGATCGGGAAAGCCGAGCTATGTGGGAACAACTCGAGGGAAATCTCAACTAATCCATTGAGAGAGTCTCCATGGAAAAGAACCTGCAAGGTTGAATAGAAACTACTACAGTCTGTAAATGTCATACCAAAAGATGCTGAAGTCGCATACGAGCACATCCTTGATGTATATCAACATCGGCACCATGTGATGGTTGAGTTAGAGCTTCAACTTGATGACTTCTATTCTTTTTGTGCAGATGCATGACAGTAAAGCAGTCACGGCAGAGAGCTATCTCACATACTGTGCAGTATACCTTAATATGGCAATGTGTTTTTGTTGTGATGAAAGATTTTTTACTTGAGCCAGAGTTTGACCATCATCATGATTTTCACATAGAGTTTCAGGCTTTTCTTCTTTTTGGGCTTCGATGGGTCCCCAGTTTTCAGCTGTTGTTAGCCAGCTCCTATCCTTGACCAATGCTAGAGCAGCAACAGATAGCCAAAACCTAACATGATAGTGAACTATTGCCTTCAAAGACTATACTGACCTTTTGGATCCTAAGAAAGAAGTTGAACCTTCTCTGTTTAAACTTTCTCTCGAAGCTGTGCTACATATAGAGGAGGTCAGCTGAACTACGTTCAGAAGAGCTGAAGCTAGCTCATGTCGCACACATTGAGTCCACTCCGGAGAGAACGTTCCGGATCTAAAAGTATGAATGTGACTGTGTTTTCCTATCTCTTCATTTCATACGTTAGTTTGCTCATTAACTGAGTAATCAATTTTCCAATTTCAGGTGAAATGGCTCGATCCACTCTCCATGAAGATGGTGGGTTGATTAGAGAATCCTAAAATATACGAGATTTTCAGTTTTCTGGTTTTGTAGTTACTCACATTCATAATTGCTGTACTCACAGAATGCGAAGCTTTGTCTCTCACTTGCAACGTGATGACCTGAAGAAGGAAAAGATATAAAGATATTGAAGAGGAACACACCTTGGCAACAACAATCAGTATGTTCTTCAAAAACTTTGCTATATCGACTGTTTCAGGGGAGAAAAACGATAGTAGCTTCTCCAGAACATGAATTCCCTGACATTGGACAACCTCAAAAGATGAGAATAAAATTAATATGGTGATGAGACGCCTACTTGAGGAGCGAATATTATGAGTTGGCTGATCGCAATAAGGATCGTATTCCGAGCAGCAAACAGTTCACCTCCTTTTCTACTTGCACATATCCTTTCCAGCATATCAAGTAGTCCACACGCATAAGAATAGTTTCGCTTCGTTTGAGAGCATAGAAGATCCACTTCTCTAAAAAAACAATGATCAGTTTTGAAACAAATAATCCTAACCTTTCTAAAGCGTTCACTACTTGAGTTCCAACATAGTTTTGGAGAGGTTGTAGTTGAACACGACTGCATAGCAAGTCCACAACTCTTTCTCGTAGAGTTCCTTGTTGATCTTCAGACAGTTCAGAGCCAAACGCCTAAACCAACGATGAATCGGATTGTTGGATTAAAAAACCTGAGCCGAAATTGCTTGGAATAATGTGAAAGCATCCAGCTGTGTATTGCTAAAGAATAACTGATGAGATGTCGATGGTCGAATAACATCGTAATCACTACGTGCCGAGAAGCCCAACAATGCTAGCTTAAAAAACAAGAATATGGCGATCTATGAATTTGCTCAAACCTGTCTGATTCTTAGAGCGTTACTCGAACCTTTTAAACTTATCTGCACATGAGCAGTGCCCGCTATACAACAAATGATCCAATTTGAAAAGTTCTGGAAAGAAAGATTTGAGCTACAGTGGAATCTAAGTGAAGAACAGCCGAGTGCGAGGGAAATTGTGGAGAAATAACTTCGAAAACGAATTGAGACCACGTGGAAGTGTATGTAAATATTCAACTTACCAATTCAAGTGTTTTATGCAGAATCTCTTTGCGGCTGCCATCAGAGGTTAATGTTCCTCGGAAAGTGACTTCTTCTGTTCTATAAGCTTCATCCTTTGCATTATCAATGAAGATGCACAGTAGAACTGGTGTTATATTTTCGACATCGCATTTCACAGACAACCATCTTCGTCTTGTTTTATCCTGAGATGATAATATTTTAGAATAATCTGTGTTCAACTCTTACTTCTTCTCCACTCTCCCAAAATGTTTCAGGACTACCATCCTGTAAACAAACAACCATGGCTTGTCTACTACTAGCTTCTATTTGAACTAATGAAGTCAGATCTTTCATCTCCTGCAACAACCCACGTAATCCTCATATTAATTTGACAAACAACCTTCACATCAACATTGTCTTGTTGGAAAGCGGGAGAAGAGTCGGAAATCCAATTCTCAGATGTTGATCCATCCGAAAGGACGCCTCCCACAGTAGCCAGAATATTACAAGTCAAAATGAGTAGCTCCTAAGTATATATTAGTCTTCAGAGTTTCTTATAATTCCTACTTGTTCATGAACAGTGAGTTGAATAGTCCATGCTTTGAAACACAGTGACCGCAACTTCGCATCGACTCCAGAGGATTGCAATATAACAGCGATTGTATACAGGAAAGAATGTAGGTGATGTACTACTTTGACTGCAAAATTAAATTGTATAGAACATCACATTCACGAGCATACCAGCTAATGGTCCAGCCAGATAGCAAAGGCGCCAAGGATGAGGAAGTACTTGGTGTTCGGATGATTGTGAACCGAGTGTCAACCGATTATACGATGATAACGCGGTTAAATACTGGAATATTATATCAGAAACACTTGTCTCGGATGAAACAAGACGCAAAAGCCAATTCCAAACTCGGAACGCATGAGAGAAGCTAACCGCCCTCCTTATAGATAGCTCACATGCATCACGAATCCTGTACAAAAACATATATAGTCAAACAGTAGATTTTAACAAACTTTTTCAAATCATGATGCTCTAGTACAAATGCCATTACTGGGCGTTTTAAAATGGCTGATGTGCTAGGAACGCTGCCCGACAGTAATGTTCGCAAAGCTGCAGATGGAGATTGCAAAACCTGAAATTGAAAAGTCAGAACAAATTAGAGAGAAATAAACAACTTCATTGTTTTCATTGATTGCCTGTTGAGCTCTATATTGGCCTAATGATGAAGTCGGTCCCTGTTGACTTGGAGGAGACATCAAAGGCACTTTCGGTCCCGGGTCTGAGGAATGTCCAGCCCTCATTGAAGAGTGTACCATAAACGAAGATTTCGCTAACTGCGAACTATCGATCTAGAATGAGTATAATAAACATGTAGGTCTCCTTATTCTAATACCTTGCTTCGAACAGCACTTCTAGTAATAGGGCTTGGAGTTTGCGTAGGGAACAAATTAACAGTCCACCCAGAGGATGTCGAGGAGCTCTTCGAATCACAATCGATTGATGAATTTAAATCCAGCAAGAACAGTGCATTTTGTTTTATTATAACTTCAGGACGTGACTCGAAAGAAGTTGCCGATAAACGGAACTCTCTCCAACGTTTAGTTCGCTCCTAAGATTGCATTTCAGTGTAACGTTATGATTTCGAAAAAAACCTGTCTAAATCCTGAAGGTGTCTGTTTCAAATATTTGGCTCGACAAGTAGGACACATAAGGTACCAAGCTGAGCCCGTTCTTCCACCAGAACCGCATTCTCCTGTCCATCCTGTTGTTAACTTCCCTTTAGAGTTATAGCCATATCTGAATGAATACGCGGGTGAGTTCAGCATGTCCGCTACATCTACTCACCCTTGAGAATCACTTCCACATCCAGGATGAGCCATTCTCATGTGAACTGCACTAGGTCCTTTGAAGGATTCTTCACAAAGCTCGCAGTTACCAGCAGAACTCTGAAGCTTTGGTGAAATAGTTGAAAAACAATAAGTCTTCTCATACCGTTCTGACTCTATTACCGTTTTTACAAATAGTTGCTGAGGATGGAGGCATAATCAGATGTTGGTCGATACTTGCTTGAACAGCCTGGCACACTTCTAAAGACAAAAAAAAATAAGAGGACAAAGAAGCGTATCATACCGTTCCATAACCGCACAATGGGCTGTAGAGCAGGAGGAACTGTTAATGATTGTTGCTCGGAAGAAGACCACATCTAGAAATACAGAGTTTTTCAATCTAGCAATGCATTGTATCTACATTATGAAGATGCTGATGGAACTTCAGATATGTCGCGGCTGCCATAGCATCTTTCACTAGATGTTCATGCCATAAGAATGCAGCGAACACGGCTCGGGTACAATCAGCTACCAATGGCCTTAAAGCAGAGAGGGCTACAACTCTGTAATGATTTAATTGTGAAAGGCGAGAGGAAATAAGGAAATGATTACCCAACAGATGTTCTTTTCAAAGGAGAGACTTCTTCTTCTTCATTCCCGTTAGTAGAAAACGATTGAGAATGAATAGAACTTTTACCAACAACACTCTGTAAAGAGAAACATCATTATGATTATATTGAGTAAAGATCCTCACCTCGATCAAAGCGAACCGCTGAGTTCCACTGAGTTTGATCCAAACTCCGAAGCTATTGCTTACCCACCCATCACTAGATATCTCTCTGCGGCCTTCCAATCGATCCCCTTCTAACAGACCTTCTGGAGATGGCCTCGTATAAAGAGGGATGGATTCACCAGCTTCAAGAATGTATATCTAAGAATCCAAGGTATATTTTGATCAACAAATAAACTGTTACTTCATTAGCGTCTATGACAACACTCCTCTGTGAGCTAACATTAGCTGAAATCGGGTAGTCCGTCTGTCTCCGAATAGGAGCTCTATCTATGTCTTTTCCAGTTTCGGTACCAGTTGGTATCAATTCTCTACGTAAAGGGTTACTATACGCCAAGCACCACACCTAAAGTTGGTTATTTCAATACAAGCCGCTAATATAGGAGTACTTGATCATCTGTCAAATTTCCATAAAGTGCCGAAGTATCATCAGTAAGCCGTAACCATTTTCCATCATCGTTTTCCACAACCTCGATATAAGACAATGTTCCTCCACTAAACAGTATTTATTCAACTTTTAATCTTTTTAGTTTCCTTACCGAGGAACTGTTCCTAGACAGGGTGCATTGAGAGAAGGTAATGATCTCATTCTTAAGCTCCTGAAGTCAGATAAAGCAGGAACTGTGACAACTTGAGCCCTGAAACTTTGTTTGTATATTTAACATTCGCTTCATGAATAACCTGCTGAGCTGAGCTGCTCTATGCTCTTTACGTACTCGTGGCTCTTGCTCATTATTATCACGTTGTGAAACATGAAGAGTGTATGTGTGAGATAGTTCGAAACCATCTATTTTACATTCGACTCTGTATGTGCCAGCTACAGTAGGTACCCATTCACCCATATAACTGGAAAAAACAGATTATGAGTACTACAAGATAAAAGAGCATACGTAGAGTTCTTGAAGTGTCGTAGCTTTATAGCCTCTCTGACAGAAACTTCCTTTTCGAGAGCAAGTCGTATTTCCTCATTCGAATAGTTTGAAAAAACGGGCATTGCACAAATGGACATATAACGAGATCGATTTGTCAAAAATGGTTGGAAAGGGTTCTGGAATATAAGATATGGTGGAGCTCTAATGAGCTCGAAACTTACTTTCATTATCACGTCCAACGTTAGATCATTCACAGCACTAATGGTCTCTCCACCATTATTATTATTGTTGTTATTGTTATTGTTGTTGTTTTGTGCGCAGAACGATTTCGTATTCATTGACTTGGACCCCGTGTGCATGGTTACTTCAATTTCAAGTTGAGGACACAAAACTGGTCGATCATACTGATCTTTAATGGACACTCGAATCTAAACGAGTTAGGTTATATATCAGTGATTTTTATGATCTTACCGGAACAGTTTTTCCTACGTTCATCTCAGTTTGAGTTATGGAGAGTTGACATTTAGTAGGATCAACTACTGGTCCGGCAGGTAGCCAATGTGCCAGGAGACCGGATGTCGTTGTTGGATTAGCAGCAACAAACTCCCGGAGAAACAGTATATCTAAGTTTTAATATTAACAAACTAGGAATCACAAAAAACTTACCGGGTGTTTGAGCTGGTGGTGGGATTCCTTTAGTCATGACTTCGTTTAATGTTGGTTGATGTGTTAAGCTCAGTCCTCTTTTCAACAAACTCCCATGTTTTTCCAATAACAACCGAGTATCATCTTCAGTGATCAATAAATTTTCTACAGAAACCGGATCGTTCGGTAACTGAAAGGTATGATGTTTTGAGTTCAGAGGGTTTCTGATACCTGAACTAAGATCCGACAAGCGCTGGCAGAAAGCCATGCAAGTTCTTGCTCGACCAGCAACCCACTTTCTCGAGAAGGAGTAGGATATCCTGTTATAGTGCAATGGAAACCATACATCTGGAAACAATAGGATAGTGAATGGTAACTTTCATGGATTCTTTCAAACCTGATCAACTGGGAGTCCTTCAACTTGTGATTGTGTCTCTAAAACAAACCAAATTGAGTTTCCCGGAAGCATTAGTGGTGTTTTTGGCCAATCACGTGAACCGAAAAATCTGAAGGAAAGTGTTGATAATAATGAAAATCAGGGGAATACTTACTTTCCAACTGGTATGTAGCAATCTTTCTTCACGCCTACATACATCCACAGAGCGTCGTCCATTTGAGCGGTTTGACATGTGGATGAGAATTGAACACACATGAAGTCAACACTACTATCAAATCCAACAACCTGGAAACTATAGTTCAAGCGAGTACTTTCTAGTTGAAACTCACAACTGAATGAATCGAGTTAGGTTTATACGGGTGTGGACTTTCAACAATAATTTGACTTGTCTTAGCTTCACAAACTTCAGAGTCACCATCAAATGATTCACTTATGGTACTGGCTTTCATTGCACCATTCAGACTTGACACCATTGGCATCAGTTGCTCAAGAATTGACATTATCTCAATAGCTTTCTCCGGATGTCTTTCCATAAAAACCATTACATGGCCCGATATCCGAGACATAAGCGATCTGAATAGTAAAATCATTTAGAAAAACTAAACAAAAAATTTGATTACCTGCTGGACAGAGTTATTGCACCATTTGATAAGCTTGCACCAATAGAATTAGAGAGCAAACGAAGTAAAAGGAAGAAGGCTTTATGGGTTTCCTCTCTATCAACCCCTTTATCCACAGTTTCGTTTTCATGAAGTGAATAAAGCAAAAAAGGTATTTGACCTCGTTGAAAAGTGGTTCCGTTTTCTGACAAAGAACTCGTGTTGAAATGGATTCTTCCCCCGTTTTCCAAACGAATTTGAGAGAGCCCTCCTAAGACAAAAAAATTACAGAATTTGTTTGTAAACTCTCTCACCTTCGCCGCAATATGTTCTGATAGAGTTTTCCGATGTCCACACTTTCACACCACATGTATCCTCCGGATTTATACGGATTGGAAACGGAAGACGCAAGATTCCAATAAACTGTTGCGTCGAACATTCCGACGTGATATTGGAAACTGTCATGAGGTTTTCTGATTCTGTTCCCTGCATCTTATAAATCTTTAACAAGAGTTGTAAATTCAAGTCATATAGAACGAACGATCTTACTTCACAGTTCCACATTATTTTGCCTGCTTCTGTTTCAGGTGAAACATAAACAGCGACCCCATGTATCATGATATCCTGGGTGCCTTCTAAGCGGAATAAGATAGCATCTGGTGCACTATTGCACATATTCCATCCTGCTACGGAAGACCTTCTTCGGAACCTGAATTAAAATTATTACTCAAGAAGAACATTATTTTCAAACCTTGATGGTGTACTATAAACAGTAGGTCCCAGAGTAACATGGGTCGTGGGGACAACGAGCTGCTCAGATAAACTGACAATAATGTTTTGCGCCATAACAGAAACATCATATTTTCCATTTCCGTAAGTATTCTGGAACTGACCATATTTGAAGTTCACCAGAAGTCATGTCATACCGATGAATTATAAAAAGATCTATCGTACAGATACCGCAGTATATTGGAAAAGGATGTTAAAGTGTTCACTTCCGAAATGTTCATGTTGAACTTGCTTTCAAGATGAGCTCCGAGTTTAAGAAAAGACTCGTCTTGCTTCTGTCTCAGTAGCAGGTTGACTATCTGGAAAATATAAGATTGATAGGCACAAAAACTGAAAAACTCACGTTTTTCTTTTTCTCAATGCTACCTAGAACGGCACCAATGTACACTTCCCCTACTTGTCCAGACATTATGTCAGCTAAGTGGCAGGCTACCAAATTTCTAGTAGACATGAAAACATGAGAGAGAGAGTGGAATAAGCGGATTGCTTCAGTCAAAATCAAACGATGGTAATAGGTCTGAAACAGAAGTTTGATATCTATTTTTTTGTGGACAATCACCTCAACCATTACAACACCATTAGCGGTTTGAAATAAGCACAACAGGGCATCGTGTAAATCAACCATAGCGGAGGCATAGTCCCATGAAGGTTCAATCTTTCCACTTGGTACATAAACGAACTGCCAGAAATACCCCAGCAACCGGAGCACCATCAATGTCACAACAGCTGAACGTTCTGCTTCCCAAACTTTCTCATCACTATCGCCAGCATGGTTCAACGTGTTTTTGAGACCCCAGTGTAGAACTGAGTTCAAATTAGTGAAAAGTGTTGGGTTAACACTTTCGAGAGATTGAGAAGTGAAAATCTTGGACAAAGACCTTCAAAAGATGAAATGAGTATGAACGTTACAGAAAGTCAAGCTTACAAGTCATCTGAACTGGTCTGCTCCGCGTTTTTCCCTGAATTAGCTTGAGTGTCAATCTTAAAAAATTGAGATTAGCCAAAGTATACAATGTAATGGTTGTACTTGGTAATATAGCTCGGGTATTTGACCAACATTTATATCAGTTCCATTATTTGATACCATCGAGTTTCGGAATTGAAATACGACGTCCTCGCATGAAACAAGGGCTTTGCCAGCTGCACCACAATCCGATGATGGCCCACTTGAACAAACTTAGAATATGATACATGACCGATAACCCACCTAATCTTAGCACTTATGACATGCCATTGATCAGCTTTAATGAGAACTGGCTGAGACAGCATCAAAGAAGCTGTTTCCCTGGGAGAACATTCATAAATTGTTTCATCAGATTCTGTTAGATGCTCGACGTATAGCTCATCCGCATCCATGCCCAGCAGTCGGAGAACTTTGATTCTGAAGATAAAAATGTTGCAACTGTGCACGGTAGGATGCTTACTTAGAAATATACTCTCCACGGCCACCATACAGTCCTATTCCCAGAAGTTTGATATCACGATTAACCATAAACTGAATCGCTTCAACGGAGTGTGCAGAATAACCCCATCCACCACCAGTTCCTTGAAACCGGGAGACTATACTGTAGCCATCAGGTGTAGATAACTCAGATTCGACTGTTGGAGCGGCGAATTGCTGAGTAATACAATTAACAGAAATCTCCTCATTTGATTTACCTTATCTGACCAGAAGTCACTTTTATATATTGTTGTTATAGCGTACAAGTACGAAAGTAAGTTAATTCCTAATTGAGTGGAAGAAAAAGCAGCTGAGAGATCGTTCGGTAGAGCAAACTCTGGGCACCGTAAAAATGAGAGATCTTCCAGTGGATCTAGCGACTGTTGCTATAAATAAAAGTTACAAAATATGTTTCTATTCAATTACTTCGTTAGTTGGTGCGAAATGGGATGTGTGAGCTTGAATTCGCATTTCCGCTGCATTATAAGACCACAAAACATCGAATCGAGGTTCAAGACACCAGGATGTGTACAAGCCTGCGGGCCCCAGTTGGAAGTGGGCAAAAGTTCCTTGTTTCCTCCGTAAGGCAATGTAATCCATTCCGATATGTCGAGGAAACACAAAGAGATCGTTCTGATATTTCAATCATTAGATAAGTTAGGAAGGCACTGTCGCTCACTTTCGTACTGACGATTTGGGCGTCAATCACGTCTTCATTCGTGATGAGCGATTTGTGACTATGAATCAATGTAGCATCTCCTGTAGCTCCCACCCATGAGGCAAAAGCAGCTTGACCTGGACCGAACCCGTCAACTTTACCAGGATAGCAATAAAAACGAGGATCATCAGTTGCTAATCTTCCAAGCTGATTTTGTTTGTATGCTCCAAAAGTGTATACGGAACCACAACTTGTACGGAGAACAGAATGGTTGGCACCCGCTGCTACTTGAACAACTTGAACATCTTTTGGTAGTGATATCTGAACACCAGCGTGAGTTTTGTTTGAGAAATTTCTTTGTATACCTGCACCGGAGTAGAGCGAGGGCGAGTGTCACCAACCCCAAGTTGGCCATGGACATTGGAGCCGAAAGAAAACACTCTACGATCTGCCGCTAATACTAATGTATGAAAGTTACCACAGCTCATAGAGGCTGCCTACAAATAATTGTTAGAGTATTTGCCAATGAATCAACGATACCTTAACGTCGTGTGTTGCCTTTGTTAAGAACAAACGAGACGGCTCCAGAAATGTTCTTGAGGGAGTATTTTGCTCTCCAGCTGAAACTTCTCCCGAAGCTTCAGTGCAAGCCCGACATATTCCACACCGTAGACAAGATGATTCGCCAGTTCCACACACACAAGGTTCTGCAATCCGACAGTTATTTAAAAATTAATTGAAGAAGAAAACGTTAACAACGTTCAGAATAAATGGTCAGTTGATTTTACAAACCTCCTTTTGCAGTTGTAGTTGTACAGGCATTGCCTCGTGCTGAACAATTGCCACATTGTGTACAGATTGATGGAACGTCCTGAAGGTTGTTCAGCTAATTAATTAAGATACTTTGAAAAGTTAATACCACAATGAAGTAATGCTGAGTGCATTCAGATGTTTTAGAATCTTTCTTTCTGCCTTTGTTGGGTGATGAAGTTGGTATTGTTTCGGTTCTTCCGCACTGATTCAAGTTGTTCAATCCCCATGTGTAGATATACCCATGTCGACTAATAGAAACAACATGCGTTTTTCCAATGGCAATTGAGACCATATGAATTCCTTCTAAACCCAGAATATGTCCTGTTTCTGGATGAGTTTTCATGGTGTGTTTTCCGCCCATGAATACTCGACCGTTCTCAGTTACATATGCGAAGGTATCAGAAGAGCAGGCGATTGAGATGGCTTTTCTCCTAAAAAACCAAATTAACTTTTTACTGATTTAATTCAAACCTATTGATAGTTGGTAATCGTTTCAATTTCCCAATCTTCCTATTGTCATCAATGCCAGCTACCCAAATTTGTCCACTACCGGAACGAAATAAAACCCTTTCGAATCCTATGGCCATTTGCACGACCGGGTCTGGTAGGATTAGCTCCATCCATGTATTTACAGTTTCTTGCAGACCAAATCTAGCTCCGTTACCAGCATAAAATATTTTCCCGTTTCTTGACTGAACAAATGCGATATCACCGCCGATATGCAAATCAACGGCTTGACCTATGATGAAAGTAGAAGTTATAATACTATTTTAAATGATACCATGTAAGATGTTAGGTAAGTTTAAAGGTAGCTCATGTGGAACTGGCTTAGTGTCTCCTAGACAATGATATGAAACATCTGTCAGTCTGTACTTCTTTCTCGCTTTACTTTCGGATGACGGAACAAAACTATCATTTAAGGGTATCAACTGTAATGTGCTCATAACGAAAAGTTGCATTTAAATTTCACTTACAATAATGGTTGATTGCTGATTGACAGTTGTACTGTAGAAATAGGAGCCATCAGAAAAGATAGCTGATTGCATCACCGAAGTAGGTAGCATTATCTAAATATGAATGTAAAAGAGTTTCCTTGAAAGTTACTTACTTCACCGATATCTCTAAGAGAGTCTGTGTCTAACACAGAAATACAAGAGGACTGTCCTCTTCTCAAATATAACGAACTATTACAAAATGTTAGCATGGAGTTTTTACTGAAATATATAAACTGATCTGCAAATCGACAAATGAATAAACTGACGTAGCTCTTATAGATCCATTGGCTGCATACAATTTTCCTAATATAGTATCATTCATTCCTGTTCCCAGTTTATACAAGCCGATGTAATTCAGAACGTACAGATATTTTCCTTCAATACATTGATATATAAATGTTTTTTTAAAATTATGCTCACCATCTGAAGCTACAGAACCATGGAGACGCATATCATCATCAGGAGTATCAGTAGGTGAATCTGTAGGCATTTGAGGAATGTCGAAAGCACAAAGTAACCGGTGTTCTTCTAAAGATCTTGTACTCCATGATGGATTGTGAGCACTGAAATTCATATGTGGAATTTCCTAATTCGAAAAGAATGATTTTACTTGGTCTCCTGGGTCGAATAAATTTTCTGTTGCACTTTCAGTCCGAATTTATGTAAGTTCTCAGGTATTTGGATCATATCATAATTGGAATCACAACTCTTAAATGTTTTAAATTATTTTTTTCGTTTCTGAACCATGAAAACCAGTGGCTCTTTCTGCTTTCCCGTTATCAATGCTTCTATTGATGAGACAATATGAGATGGCTGACCAGATGCAACTGCTAGAGCTGTCAAACTTGCTGAAGCTCGAGAACAAACTTGGTTAGAACCTAGAACGCGTGAATATAAGTTTAGAACATTAATAATTTATAAACCTTCTTCTCGCAATTGTTTCAGAACGCTCATCATTGAGGTTACTGTCCCTTGAGGTTCATGTCTCAAACTATCTACTGCCATTGTCTAACATATTTGTTTTTCAAAAGAATGAATATATTGAATTTCCTTACTTGAAGTAAAGAAAAGAGAGAAGATAAGGCTTGTACACATAATTCGGGATCTCGCCTGCTGAGCTGAAGCAAAATGTCAAAAATACTAGAGATTCCGACATGAGATAGTGGATCGAGCTGAAAAGGTTAAACTCGGTGTAATCACAAAGATAGTTTGATTAGAACCTTTGCTACTTCTTTATCTACATTAGGCACTAAATAGGGCCCTTCTTCAATCTCTTCATCTTGGTTGAGCAGCCTTCCATATCTGTATATAGTTCACAAATCAGAAATGTTTTTGAGCTTAATTTATCACTTCTCCAGTAAATATCTAGCTATGGCGACAGTGGCGAAAGAGGAAGGCAAGCCAACAACAGACTGAGCTTCTATTATTTCGCGTGAAACGGATGGATAACGAGTGCCTACTGGAATGATACAGAGATGAAATATTGTTTTTGTTTGAGCATTCTTACGGTTTGTGCAAGATGCAGAATCGTTATGGGCTGGTAACCGAAACCACTCAGCTTGAGTGGAAACTGTATGAAAGACGCGTAGAAGATCAGCATATTTTTCAGAGATTTTAGTATTTAGTCGGGTGCTCCGTTTGCTCGGAGAATTTTCGAAAACATCGCGAGAAATGATTTCGCGTAAAAAATATGACATACTACCGTCTTTTTCGAGGTAACATAACTGCAATTCAAATGTTAAAATGTAACGAAACAGAAGAATTATGTCAAATAGAAATCGATCAGAATAACTGAAACTATAAACAAAGGAATTGTCAAACAGCGTTGGACATCAATCGTTTCAAGCTTCCAATAAGAAGGATTGCAACAATAGAGAGTTATATGATTAAATATGATATTGAGCGGAGTTTTTTGTTTTAGAAGAAGAAATTACAAGCTAATCAGCCGGCACTTTTTTTTTTGAAACTGAGCAAATAGAACGAATTGCAGCTTAGAAGCTTCACCTTCATCGGCAGCAAATGAATGAGTGAGTAGAAAATTTTGTCGAAATAAGAAATTTAGTGAGAAAAAAAATCGGTTAATCGCCGAAAAATGATACAATTCATGTATTAGATCGGAAATCATCACGAGCTCTACTGAATTGAATGTAAATAAAACATAGGATGTTGGTAATGTGAGGTTCGCTAGTTCACGAAAACTACGATGTGAGGAGGGCGCACTCACAGCCAACAAAGATCTGACAGCTTTGATTTTCTTCCCACTTCAAGGATTTAGCAAGTATACTTGAAAGGAAACAGATTGATTTAACGTTCTAAGACAATTTTATGTTTGAAACAAAGGTCCGATAACATGAAGCAGTTTAATGAAGTATCGTTACATGCTGAGCTGAGAAATCTTTGACCGCCGCATGAGCGTGAGTTCAGAAATATTCTAAAATTGATGGCCTTTTAGGGTTCTTTTTCGAGATATTGACTACAATTTACATGTTATCTTCTTTAAAGACCTTGGAAATACATCAATAGTAATGATGACCATCTTAATACGATAGTTATAAATATAGAAAGTAACGGAAGTATGTAAATGGAATGTATCAAGTGATAAGAGTGAGTATTAGAATATTCAATTGATTATGAGGAGATTTATCGAAAAACAGGGTGGTTCCTTTCAAACAAAGACTGAAGCATTAAGAATGTAGAGCCAACTGTTATAATCCGAGAGGTCACATGCGTTATGCAAATACATCATAAAAAGGTTTTCGTAGATTCATGAAAACGATCATCGACTGAACTGGCTGTTCCGACGAACATGTTCAACTCATATGCAAAATATATTTAATAAGAAGTTATAATCGAGGTGACAAAAGTGGTATATTGGTAGCCAAACATGGGAGCGCTACGCACTTGCCGAAAAATCGATAATGGCCGCCATGTGCCCTGAATGGTCAGGACAGATGGACATCTGCTTCTTCTGAACATCATCATCATATATTGCTTAGCTCTATGGTCACTGTATATTTAAATAACATGAATGATGGGTAGCAGAGCCACATGGACTATGACACTGATGCAGGCTCTCTCTCTAGAGGAGGAGCATCCTGATTTCCCCATTTCGGCACATATCACTGGAATACAATGTTGTTCTCATGCTTCTTAAGTTTTTTATGCTAGAATTGTGTTTGAGAGTTGGAACTCTACTGCAGAAAAATTGTAGCAAATCGATGATTTTATGGACGAATGTGAACGATACAGAATACAGTTCCTGATACTCTGCTCTACTCATTTGTATTCTCTAAAACAGAATATATATATACAGCCTTTCATCGAGTAACCAAGCAACAAAAATTCACAGAATCATTCATCATGTGAAGACAAGTGTTTTCCGAACAGTCCCGCAGTTCATTTTACTTAATATTGAACTCATTTTCTTGATTTCCATTTGAACTATTCGTTGGTGTGAGAAAATATTGATACTTTTCTATTTTAATGTTCTACAAAACTAATAATCACGAGGAAAACCTGCCCTTCGTAATACAAAACAAATCGTCCTGTATGAGTAAAACGTATAAAGATATTCGGTGCTAAACGAACTATTTTGTGTCGCTACATCATCCTCGTGTGCATGCTTATGACACAGATGAGACTTCTTTAGTCTCATCTTATTAGATGATTAATGATATCGAAATGGCTTCTATAACCTGAGAGCTGAGCTTTGAGTTTTTACCTCCACGGGGTATTGTACGTAGGTCATCAGCGGTACGAGTATCTCTATTTTCCTTCTCACGTCGATTTTGCCGTAAACGCAATAAAGCTTCTATCTTGAATATGTTAATCTTCCGTTCATAAGAATACATCTTTCATTTCCAGTTAATTTATAATGAAATGGGTTCATTTAACTATATGGATGTCTCTTATTCTTCTCACATTTGTAAATCAATGTCACACAAAGCATGATTCTGTTTTTACGGAAGAAGAAGAACCCGCAGAAGAAGATGAGAAAGTTAGCTCTTTAAGTAAGTTCATGGTATTTGACTGCGTCTATTTTGTTTTTAGGTAAACTGGGAATATCATCAGCTGATATCGAAGATCCAGCGGAGAGAGCTGATAACCCTCCACTACCTCAAATAATCACTCCCGGTGACGAGTACATATCAGAAGCCAATAACAAAGTGTAAGATTGCATTGATCCATATTGGTTTTTCATGCAAACAATATTTAAGCTCTCCTGAATTGAAAAAAGCATATGAAAATGCTATTTTGTACATGGAACGTGGCCGAGGTCATGGCGCCGAGGGCCGAAGAGCCGCATATAAGATTTTGGATCAATTGAGTGAACAGGGTCACAAAGATGCTCAGAAACTTATGGGTATACACATCTTTTGAACATCATCGATAACAATTCACATCAGCATTCGCATATCTTTTTGGAGATAGAGCACGATGGTCAGTTGATGGAGCCAGGAAGTTTTTCACTGATTTGGCCGAAGAAGGATCTCCTGATGCTCAATTAGGTATTCTTTTCTAGTTTATTCAATTAAAGCTCGTTTCCTCAGGATTGGCCTTTATGCATGCTACTGGTATAGGAATGGAAAAATCTGACCAAGCCAGAGCCTTGATTCACTATACGTTCTCAGCTTTAGGAGGAAACCCTTTAGCCCAAATGGCGATGGTGTGTTATACATAAGATATCGATTTTGAACGATGCTATAGGGATATCGATATCATTATGGTGTTGGTGTTACTGCAAGTTGCGAGAGTGCTTTAACTTACTATGAGAAAGTTGCCAAGAAAGTGGTTGATGGAATCAAATTTTCGACTTCCTTATCCGTCAACAGAATACGACTGACTGACGAGAACGTGAGTAGATCATTGTGCTTTTCTTTTCACTTTTTTTCCTCTTTAGGAGCCTACATCAGGCACTAGTAGCAATTATCTGGATCAAAACATGCTAGATTATTATAAATTTTTGGCTGAAAAGGGTGAAAGCTCAGCTCAGGTTTGTCATCATCTTTGAATGTTTCTCATCTTCTTTGATTCAGGTAGGATTGGGTCAGTTGTTCTTGAGTGGAGGACGTGGAGTCGAACAAAACTTCGAATTGGCTTTCAAGTATGCGTTCTTCGTAATACATTCTGAAAAATTTTTTGTAGATACTTCGCTGCTGCTGCTGATAATGGTCATCCCAGCGCTTATGCTCATTTGGGAAAAATGTATTTGGATGGAACTCCGTTCACTCCTCAAAACAACGCTTCAGCATTTAACTTCTTCTTAAGAAGCGCTGAGAAGGTTTTTTTGAAATTTAGTTTCTATTTAATACGGGTGCTCAGGAGAATGCTGTTGGACAAGCTGGTCTTGGACTCATGTATTTACAAGGCAGAGGAACGAAGCATAATTTGGAAAAAGCTTATAAGTTATTCAACTACGCAGCATTGAAAGAAAATGGAGCTGATGGACAGCTTTATCTAGGAGAAATGTATTATAGTATGTATAAGAATGCTTTTACATAATTATATTAAATTAATTCTATAGCTGGTAATGGTGTCAAAAGGGATTTTAAAACTGCTCTGAAATATTTTCAACTTGCTTCTCAAAATGGGAATGTAGTTGCTTATTACAATCTGGCTAGAATGCACTCCACAGGTATGCTAATTTTTCTGTTTTCCATGTTTCTTCTTATTTTTTACGTTTAATGTTGCCCGACCGGTTGTGCTTTTTTGACTTTGTTTTATAATGCTTCATTTTAAGGAATTGGTGTTCCTCGTTCATGTTCTACCGCCGTGGAGTTGTACAAAATAGTCTCGGAGCGTGGTAAATGGAGTGAACGTTTGATAGAAGCTTATTCAGCTTATAAAGTTAGTTATTTTTTCCCTGTTTCCATAAATCTCCATTGTTTCAGCATGGCCGCTCAGACGAAGCAGCAATAAAGTATCTATTCATGGCTGAGTTAGGATATGAACCTGCTCAGACTAACTTTGCCTACATTTTGGATAGAGGTTGTCATTCAAATGTCATCTTCGAATAATGGTGTGCTTCAGGAGAATCAAGTGCTTTATTCAGTGGAGGAAAGCAAGATCTTCTAGAACGTGCTATAGTTCAGTGGCAACGTGCAGCTAATCAAGAATATTGGATGGCTAGAGTGAAGCTAGGAGATTATTATTACTATGGCTGGGGAACAGAAAAGGATTACAACATGGTATAGTCTTTGTTTTTCATTTTTTTGCGAAGTTTTCTCTTCAGGCTGCTCAGCAATATAAACATGCTGCTGATCGGCATATGGCTCCTCAAGCAATGTTCAATTTGGGCTATATGCACGAAAACGGATTAGGGCTTAGTCGAGTATGTGGCATGCTTTATATATTTCAAATGAATAGTGTTCCAGGATTTGCATCTTGCTAAACGTTTTTATGATCAAGCTGCTGATCACAGCGCTGATGCATTCTTGCCGGTCATGTTAGCTTTAACAAAGCTTGGGCTTATATTTATTTTAGACCAATTGAACAAGGTACCTATTTTCATGGTTCAATTTGTTAAAAAAATTTTCTCAGCATCCTCTCGTTCAAGCAATCGAAGGAACCATCGGACCCAACTGGGATATCGCCTTGATGGTCATATCTGTAACTATTCCCGTGGCGATTGTAATACATTATCTTTTGCGCCCACAGGAAAATGTACATTTTCATGAGTGAGTGAAGAATTTCTTGAATTGTTACAATATGATATTCTTTCAGAGACTAACTTAATGTTAGACACGAATAGAAACCTTAACTCTGTTTACTGTGATAACTTTCTCGTCAATTGTCGGGTTCTTGCTCGAATGAATGGATCCTAATTATTTCCAAACGAACTATGTTCCTCTTTGTATTCTGATTATAATAATGTTTGCGTATGAAAACTAGGTATTGTTGTGATTTACTGCTTTCGCCACATTTTATGGGTTTATTTTATTCTGTTATTCTTAATATTAAACTATCTTCCGATTTAATATTTGTTTACTGTTTGACAAGGGTTGCTTTTTGCTCCCTCTTCATTTCTACCTCGTCTAGCAAAATAACTTTAGATGTTCTAACATCTTCAGATCATAGAGAGGAGAGTTAGAACCGGAAACAATGGCGTCGCTCCTACCTTTTACGCAGATTAGGGCAAACTCTGTTAATTTTTTCATGAGAAGTATTTAATAATTTCAATTGTTCGAACAAATCACGTTTCGCTCAGGAAACCAACAAGAGCTATGGAAAACATTAACAAGTGTCTCCAAGTCTGGTCAGAAAAAAGGAAGAAGAAACACTAGGCAGCAAGTTCGCCCTCTTCAAAACTTCTACAGAATTGGATCAAGTCTGGTTTCATTATTTTCATTCATAACTTCCAAGTTACAGGTCCCATGAAAGTTCAATATCCCGGGCTTAACGCTCCTCTAAACGTTACAGTTAGCGAACCTGTGAGTGTTGTAGAGCAGGACGAAGATGAAGCCAAATCTTCTCTAGGACTTATCAGAACAAAATTAGAGGAGAGAAAAGAGTTAGTGGAATCCACTGAAAACTAAATGATTTGATATTCTAGTACCGGAAAACGTCGTAATCGTGAAAAGCTTCACCCACTTGAACGGGGATTCAGTGGAACGCAACTTGTGGGACAGAAGCTTGGTCCCCCACCTCCAATTGATCAGACCAATTTTGATGATTTTGAATCATTCTGTCTTGAGGTTACTTTCTATATCATGACGATATATTCACATTTGTCATGCAGGTTAAAAGAACTTCGAACATGACAAAAGTTTTCGGTAGAGTTCACACAATGTCAGCTTTAGTTATCACAGGTAATGGTAATGGTTTGGCAGGATATGCTGTGGGAAAGGTTTGTGTTTTGAAAAATTTCCAACAACTATTTTTTTAGGCTCCTATTCATCGTACTACCACTGCCATAATCGACGGTATGAATATGGCTTCGAAGAAACTGTTTTTCGTTGATCTACACGAAGGAAGAACTATTTATCAAGTTTTTCTACTTATCATATTCATGTTTTGAATATTTGTTTCAAGGACTTCTACGCTGAGTGTAGGAACACGAGAGTTTTTGCTCAAAGAAGACCTCCAGGTTTTGGACTCACTTGTCACCCACGTTTGATGAAGATTTGCGAAGTTGTCCCCTCTAATGTTATCACAACACAGTTCAAATTTTCTAGGTGATCGGAATCAAGGATATATATGTGAAAGTTGAAGGTTCAACAAAGAATTACCTCGCTCTCACTCATGCATTCATCACTGGACTTTTAAATCAAGAATCTCATCAGAAGTTGGCTGAGAGAAAGGGTAAGCTCTCCACTTTTTTTTCATTTCTCATGTTTTTCTTAAGGCTTACACGTTGTTGAAATGTCGCCCTCAAGGCATTTCTTACCACAAATCGTTGCTTCTCCTATTCTCACTCCTCTCAAAGAAGAAGATGAACTGGACGAACTTGATGTACCCTTTCCAGTATTATTCTCTAATTTATTTGAAACTTTAGCGTTTGAACCTTGATGACTTTTATGGTGAAGGACGTTATCCTCTTCGCAAACCCAAACAGCTCCCCTTCTACGCCAATACTCCTGGTCATTTAGACGCTCAATGGAGGAAACATCCTTTCAGAAACCACGAAGAAGTATATAACTAATTGCACTTACCTTTTTAACAGGATTTACTCAGGTTATGGTTCGTCTGCTAGCTGATGAAGTTGTGCCAAGATGGACTCGAGATGCCCGAAAAAATTGGGCTGCCGATAACCATGAGAAGGGTGTAGTAGGAGTTAAGCCTATTCCTCTCGGTATCGGCTTATCTGGAATCGTAGAGAAAGAAGAGTGATTGGGTCAGATTCAAATCACATCTTATGACTTCGAGTAGGAATTTTAGAGATTGTATAGCATTGTTACAAATCATTGTTATTGTTTGAAATTTCCAAGAAATATTTGCTTCACCTCGGTGGAGTTGTAAAAGATAATAAAAGAAAATCAGTAATAGTTTCTCTCCTATTGTTTTGGTCTTGAAGGCGTTCAGGACTTATAATCACAGACGTATCTATCTCTCAATTAGTTAACCACCAAGGTCGGCTGGCATTTCTTAGGTTTCGTTCCGATTACGTAATCAACCGATTGTTAAAATGTAAATAGGGAGTATACCATCCTTTGACGGAAGCACATACAACCACGCAAGTCGTTCATCAGTTTTGTTCGGTATTGAACTTTCTTTATAGGATATACCTTTCTCGGCTTAGTTCTCAATCTTCGACATCATGAATGGAAACAAATGATGCATCGAGAACTACCTAACTGGCTCAAAGAATTTTTTCAGCAGACATTGTATTTTAGCTATGATCACCATAAAGGTTAGAAGCCTTGCCGTCATCGATGATTGCGGTGATGGGTTAATTCGATCAAATGTGGTGGTAGCAGAGAAGAAAAGATGAAGGAATGGGCGAATGAATGAAAACGGGTTATGGTTAGTGCCGATTGTGGTCGAAAGATGTTGGTGAGAGAGGCAACGGTTGACGGGAACGGAAAACAATACAAGAAGACTGGGCCCAGAGCGTAGTAGCGAATACTCTTTGCTAGATGGACACGCCACTCACCTTTCCACTGTTTCTCTCTCATTCCGCTTCCTCTTCCTTTCCTCTGTATGGTTTCTTCATCACTTCACATTACTGGATCTTTTTGTCTTTTGGCACTTTTTGACTAGTTAGTTTTGCCATTCTTTCCACTTCGAGTGGAATTAGCTAAACTTCAATTACTCCTCCTGACTTCTGATAACTTCTTTTATATACTTATCTTTTGAATGCGAACGACTGTCATAGGCCCCTGTTTATATTCGAATCATTTTTTTTATTTTTGAGTAGTTTCCGAATCAATTTCTTAATCTAGATAAAACAGTGCAATTGTAAGAAAGTAAATTGTGTTTGTCGTCTCTCGCACTTCTTACATGTTTGACGCCTATTATTTTTAAAGTTCAAAGCCTACATCTGATTACACATGAAATATGGAGACAAGAACTCCGCCACTGTTTTTAGATTTCCCATGCCTTTCCTGGTCTTCCCCCGAAATTCAAGAGACCATTTACTTTCTCCAATCAAATAGGCTTTCATACTTACAACTTATAATTATTTGATGAGATCCTGTTCTATTGAAAAATGACGTATTTCCTAAAAAGGCCATTCTGTTTTCGGAAACTATGTAAAGTGACTGTAATTGCCGTTTGCACCTCAGTGATTCTATACTCGAAATGTTTTAAAGATCACCTCTGAAACTGTTGGGAGATGTCTCAACTGCTTCGCTCATTTGAATAGGAAACAATCTACTATTCAGACGTGTTCTGATTCCTTTTTCTGCCACTGAAAAACTGATCTCATCATCCATCTATTCTTCTGAGGATAAGGGAATCCATTCTTGATTTCTTTCCCATAATTCATTTGTATAGAAACACTTATACTAGACTGACTATCATACACTTGACAACTGTTTCTCAGCCCGTACGAGTAAAGAAACTGCCTATGATGGCAATGTACGATAAATAGCCATATCGACCATACCAGCAAAGATATCGCATTCTGCTAAACCTTGAAAACCTTGAAAAGCACCAATACTTTCTTTCATCACAACAGTGAGAGTGTAACGATCAAAAAAAGGCCTTTCTCTCTTTTCTTAGTCAGCTCTCTATGCTGCTCTTTTACTAGGCTGCGATTATAAGCTGTATATCTATAAACCTCATGTTCGGTTTGAATATAAATACCTTGACGACTATCTATCTTACTTTTTCTTTGATCAATCTTGAATTGTTTCATAGTTGTATGTTATATCTTCTTTCTTAAAGTTTTCTACAGCCTAGGTTTTTGTGAGAAACTTAAAAAGGAGAGAAACCAGCGAGACTGGCAGAAACGCTGAGAGGGAGAGAGAGGATAGCCAAGGAATGAGAAAGGGAGAAAAGAATAATTAGTCAAAGTATTTGATGAATTCTCTGACCTGAGCATAGCATTCCTATGCTAGTTTCTGACTTGGAAATGTTCAAGTCAAGACTCTTAGCTGACCTGCGCTATTCGCCTAATAAATTAGTAAAAGTGTCCCTACTCTTCACGTTTTTTTGTGTTTGATTAATGTACGAATCTGCAGATCGTTCGTAGAATAATTCGAAATTCGTTTTGTTATCTGTTGAACCTTTACGGAATCATTGATTGATTATGTTACATCTCCATCCTTCATGATGTAGAAATTCAGAACGAAGGCAGTTCGTTCTCTTACCTCTGCCTATCAGTTTTATCCTTCAAACCGTTCCTTTCTCTCCATTGTCAAATTTTTAGTTTTCTTTTGTTCTATATCATAATTTAGGCTCAGGTATGACCATCTCCTATGATGAGGAGTTCTCCTCATTGATGCTCCGATGGAGAGGATCTCTCTGGAAAGCTGTCCTTAAGGACTTGATTGCTTTCTACATCGCTTACTACATTATCCTAGCTGTTCAAGTGAATTCATTTAAGATGATTTGATTTTGTAAAAAATGATTCAGTGGTACATCTTGGATGAAAAGCAAAAGGAATACTTCACCGGTTGGATTATGTGGTGTGAAATCGGAGCTCAATACATTCCACTTTCGTTCTTGCTCGGTTTCTTCGTTTCTGTCATTGTTGCAAGATGGTAAGTTTCAGGCCACAGTTGAAAGAACATGATTCAATAATATATCTCTGCAAAACACGTTTGTATAATGCAGAAGTGCCCTACTACCATTGTCATCAGAACACTGGTTCCAATGTTAGAGAAAATATGATTTCTTCAAAGCTGAGCCTTGGTAATGTTAACTATTTACAGGTGGGAGCAGTTCAACTGGATTTCATGGCCCGACAAAATGATGATGATGGTATCAGCCTGTCTTCCAGGGAACGAGAATTTGCCGGTTCGTCAAGCTATTGCTAGATGGAGCAGTCTGCAGGTAAAAACATATTGGCATCTATGGTGTTAGAAATGTATCTAGGCTGCCATCGCTTGGTCAGGAATTTCAGTGCGAACACTGAAAAGATTTCCAACTGCTCGCCATTTAGTTGAAGCCGAATTGATGACTGAAGAAGAGTATGATCTTTATATGAACTGCGATGCTCCTCATGGTAAATGGTTTGTTCCAATCATCTGGATCGTCAACATTATCAAGAAGCAATATGCTCAAAAGAAAATTGATACAATCCAAATGGATATGTTGCTGAAACAAGTAGGGAACAGCTCTCTATTTACCTATCAGTCTATTCTTTCTCTTAAGGTATACAGTTATCGTGATGGTTTCGCTATGCTCTTCGTATATGATTGGGTAAAGATCCCACTTGTATATACTCAAGTAGTTGCCATTGCTACCTACGGATACTTCTTCATCTGTCTTATTGGAAGACAGCCAAAACTTGATCAAAAATCCATGGAAAAAGAAATTACGATTCTGTTCCCCATATTCACAACTTTCCAAATGTTGTTCTATTTGGGATGGCTCAAAGTCGGACAGTTCTTGATGAATCCATTTGGGGAAGATGATGATGATTTCGGTTAGCTTAGTGTGCATACCCACAGCATCTTGATTTTTTATTCTTTAAGAGCTGAACTATGTTCTTGACAGAAATACTTGTATCGCACATATGATGGCTACTGAACTGGCCGATATGTGCCCAAGTATTGGTGCTCCAATGAATCCAAACATCCCTCACACCAGAGCATCGTTTAAAATTCAGGTAAATCGTTTAATCATTTTACACGCATTTCATGCATATGCTAATTCCACTTCAAACTCTCTTCATGCGCAGACCGGTTGTATTTTAATTTCATTTGCAGGACGTTATACCGAAATCTCATTTGGCATCATTCAAATTATCAGAAAACGAAATGAAGCTCATTAAGCCCTCAGACATCGAGGAGAGCGAACGCTTATTAGAACAGCGTAAAGCAGCTGCCGGGCAACGGCATCGCTTCTCAACTATTGTTCGATCGGCCATGGATACAAAAAAGTATCTGGTTTATCAAATGATTCGCATACATTTTCTTTTTAGGAATGGTGATATCGACGAACAAGATGAAGACAAATAATTTTTGTGATGGGTTGCTGAACATTTTGAATTTCAATATATCATTTATTAGAAAGGATTCCATACCTACACTTAATAACTCAATAAACCTATTACACTTATGATAGGAACAGTTAGAAAACAACAAGTTAAAACGGCATCAGCAGGAATGTTAGAAAAAGGTAAATCAGAACGATGGGAGTAGAGATTTGAAAGAATCGAAAAATATAAATTATTATAATGATAAACACACGTAACATATAAAAGCATATTACAGATCAAATAGAGTTATTCAAAAACTCGAAACCACAGTTACCATAGAATACTCTCTATACAGAGATTTGTTATAATTATCACATTTTGAATGCTAAACAATCGTAGAATCTTACAGATTCGATGCCTCAATAGGAATTCCTACTTCCTTTTTAGAAATATCGTAGAAATCGAGTACCTGAAAACAGAATAAATGAATGAAAACCTAACAGCGGTTCACCTTGTGGCAAATTTGGTTCACCAAGTCGACTGATAAATTTGCTATTATATCATCCCACCAAACAACTTGGTCTTCTTCTTTCTTCTCACCTCCTATCTTGGCGGCTAAAAAGAGCATACAAACGGCTACAACCTGAACAAGGGTTTTAAAAATGTTGAGGGCTTTGGCTTGTAATATACTTGAGGATCAAAGGATATGCTTATGGTAGTTCTCATACTGTCGTTTATCAACGTCCAAGCTCTGCGACCAATGCCTTTTCCCTGGAATAGCCAGAATTTACAAAACCTATGATGTAAACTAGCTTACATCATGATCGGATAAATTTAACTTTTTCAGAAAAGTAGGGACGTATTTGTATGGTAAAAAGACCTGAAGTCAATCAGCATAGTTAGACAAGCAACCAAATCTTACTTGTAAATCGAATTTGAGAGTTTGTAGAAGAACACGCTCAATACCCATAATCTCCTCCTTCAAATCAAAAACGTTTGCATCCTCATATCAGAAAACAACTAACCAATAGAACCCTATGTCTGTTTTTGTATAGCATTGGGTATTTCTCCAATGCGCTTTTACATATATCTTTGCATTTTTTTGGTGTTTCTTCAACTTTTCCAGCTAGAAACAAACAACCTAGAGATGTCAACTGCAAGAATAGATGATTAACCGACTATATTTATCTCAAACCTCTCTTTGAAACTCTTGAAACTTATGACACATGTAGAATCTGTGAAAGTAGAGAGCCGCAGTAGCCAGGGTGGGATACGGCTTTCTGAAGAAATCGATAAAGGGAGATTGATTGAAAAAGAATTACAAGTTCAAATTAAACCCAACATCCCAAATTATATTGACCCCATCTCTTCGATTCTTTGCTTCTGCTTCTAAAGACATTCCGGCTTTTACTGATGGGGCATTCTGTAAAGGTGAACATGTCCAATCGCAAATCAAACATTGAAACTTACAGCTATTTGATCAGGTGTATAAATCCAATCCATTATAACAAGCTTAAAATCAAAACAATAACAATATAAGATGGACTTGGAGCCGGAGATCAGCCAAGACTATAATTTATTCTCGACGCGTTACGTGAGTTCGCGTGGCCTTTTTTCAGATACGGTAGTATGACCAGAGCGCATTTTTATGGAAACATTGGTTTTTTAGCTATTTTCTGCTTAATGAGCAATAGAAACATAAAGTTTTTCCGTGTTGGATTACCTTTTTTTACGATAATTTTCGGAGGAGCTTACGGTCTTCATTACTTTCAACAAGTTCGCTTTGATTTTAGACGTATAAAACAAGAAGACAATAATCTCAATTCTTTAGTAAGCACATAGTTCGAGTTTTTTGTACATTTATGCTTATAGAAAACTGATTTGAGCCAAGGTGGTTTGAATTTGAAAGAAGACGTGTCAGTGGATACAGTCTACAAGGTATTTTTGATATAATGTGATAATCTCTGATTATCGCTGGCTTAGGAGATCTCTACTATCGATACGGATAACTGGTCCAACATTCGTGGACCCCGAGAATTTGAAGACAACTCTGAATACTTAACAGCGAAGTAATTATATATATATTTTTTGCTTTTATTAAATATAATCTTTCAGAGCGAATCAGCAATCTCGTAGTCTGCAAGAAAAAGAAGAGAAGAAAAGAAGTTTAAATGAATGAGCAAAACCCCAGTGTTGGACGGCTTTCTGAATTGATGTGATTTTTGTTTTTTTTTTAACACTCAAAATATTTTTTCTAGTCTTGAGGCTTCCGAAAACTCTGCTGAACCTGACGATAGAGCTTCTATTCGTGCTGAAAGAGGTTAGCATCAGAGATTTTAGTTTGTTTTATTCTGTTCTAGGATCCCCAACACCTTCTTGCGGAACTATTGACGCTTCACAAGGCTCTCTTCATCCTCAGATCTTCATTTCATCTGAAATTGATGTATTTTCTTCCAACTTTTTATTCATAAATAATTCTCCATTTAAGAGTGCTATTGTCAATTCCAATCCTGTTTCAACTGAGTCAGAACAAATCCCAGTAGAATCATCTGATTTTGAGGTAGTCAACTTTCTAAGATTTTCTTGAAAAGATAATTTTATTCAAGCCTAACCCAGAGCTCTTGGAAAGGCTTTTGGAGCTCGGATTTGACGATCTATCCTCGGTTATCGCTCTAAAGAGAACAAAAAACGCAGGCTTAGAACAAGCTATTGATTGGATTGTTGAAAGATCGAACGAGTCGGATTTGGAAGAGGAAGAAAGTTCTTCCGAGTCTGAAACAGAAGACATGGGAGGTTTAAATAAAATTTTTAGCTTTCCTGGGTAATGCCATTTAAGGAGTTCTAACTAGTCTGAGTGAGGGACCTGTTCTCCAAGATGCTATCAAGGCTGCTCAGGAGATTCAGAAAAGTATCATCGTTTTCATGCCTTAGGATCATTAAGCATTAAGATCGCCGAACTCATAAAATGGTCCTAGTCGCTAACATGGGACTTAAAATGGGAGCTGGAAAGCTTGCTGCTCAAGTAGGACATGCTACTCTTGCAGTTTATCGATTGGTATCGTATCTGAACTATCTACCTTTCTACTCTACGATTATTTGAGGCCGATTCTTCCGAGTTAGGTAAAGCCGGATTAGATTCCTGGTTCAGACACGGCCAAGTTAAAATTGTTGTGAAAGGAAAAGATACTGAAGAACTGATGGATCTTTTCAAGACGGCTAAAGATACTGTATTATTTATTTTATAGTTCATTTTCTGATGTGAACTTTCAGGGTCTCTTCGCTTACATAGTTCAAGACGCAGGTTATACACAAATCCCACAAGGATCTAGAACAGTTCTTGGAGTGTTTGGTGAGAAGGAAAAGGTTGATGCTGTCACTGGCCATCTTCGTCTTCTTTAACACCAATTTTTACTCAGAACTGTGAAACTTGTTAATAAACTGTTTTCTTCGAAGTAACCATGAAGCAACTCACATGAATTTCTCAAATTTGGATGTAAGCGGCTCATCTATTTAGAGAACAATGAAGACTAGTTCAATAATATTCCAATTCAATGTAGTCAGATGTTTTGCTACACTTTGTTTTATGTTATGAATCGCCACGCTTACCATTGTGGTACCAGAAATTCCATGTATGTATGCATAATGTGATCAGCTTAGACGGATTACAGACGAGTTGAAATGGGAAAACTGAGCACTTTCTGGTTAACATACTCACTTTTCGTCATCCAATGAAAGATTGATAACGTTCTGACCATGAATGGTAAATTCTATTTTATTTTTTTCTCGAAGTATTTGTTTTTACATTACAGTTCTTGCTATTAGCAAGCACGGCAAGGCTCTTTCCGATATAAGCAAGTCAACAAGGCCAGCCAATGTTCAATTGGATGAAAAAAAGTTTAATTAGATTTAGAGCTCGTGTTTAGTTCCTTTTCCAGATCCTTTATCTCTCGTCTGCTTTTACTCTGGGTCGGCAATCTGTTGTATAGGGGTTCGGAGAAAACCCTTGTATATGATGATTTAACTCCACTTAAGCAAAAACATAGATCTGTCAATTTATTGCGTAAATGGAAGAAACATGATAAAAGTATGAAAGGAGTATCCTTATCTGTAAACATAACAAATTCCAGACAACAATAGTCATATTGCCTGGAAACTGTTGTGGCATTTCAAGTATGGAGTCATGTGTGCTTTCTCAACACGTGTATTCTCAATGATTTTCGATTACCTCAACCCTGTACTTCTCAAGTAATCTATTTTTCCAGTTACATCTTGAAACAATGAATTCATTATAGAATACTGTTAGATTCAGTTACCATGAACTCTGCTCCCATTATGAAAGGAGTCATAATTTCCATTTTGATGTTGTTAGTTGGAGAAATTAAGTCTTTTGTTTTAGGTTTGTATTTTGAGTTTTCGTAATGTTCTCTCATATCAGTTCGAGTTCCACCTTCCTTAGGGAAGTGAGCTAAACCGCCACGTTTCTGCCACTCCTATTATGCTAATTGAAAATTCAAATTTGTTTTTGGCCGTAATGACTCAATTCTTTACCTTCCTAACCATCCTACATAATGTGAACAGCTTTTCACGTTTTTATTTTTCGATTATATATTTTTTCGAATACTCAAGTTTCATAATCTTTTTACTTCAAGCTGCCCACACTTACATAGCTGCCCGCGATGCGAATTTGTCAGTGGCCATACTAACAAATAGCATAGCGAAGAAGGTTCATTCTCATCCTGATCGCAAAGTTGAGAACATTTTTTATAGAGTTTGAAACTCTCCAGCCGAGCAAGACAGGAATGGCCATCATCTAGGGTTGTTAACCTTATATCTGTCGATCTAGAGTCGCTTTCTGTTGCCGCTCCTTTTTTCCATGCATCATGGTCGTCAGTAGTAGAGGTACGTATTTCTGAAATAATTTTTTTAACTTTGATTTTCAGATATCGATTGCTATGTTGTTCATTTTCCACATCCTTGGCTCTGCTTTCTTTGGAGCTGTAATAGTTATGATAGCCTACATCCCAGTGAATGTTGTGGTGAACATTGTTAGCAAAAGACTTCAGGTATAAGAATATGATAGCTGCATATATCAACAAGTTTTTATTCCAGTCAGCTCAAATGAAAGTCAGAGATAAGCGCATCAAGTTCGTCAAAGAGGTTGATTAGAAACAGAGAGGTTAAAAATGCAAATGTTTGTAGATCCTTTCCGGAATTAAAGTGGTGAAACTGTATGCTTGGGAGGAACCATTCAATGCGGAAATAGATCGTCTGAGACGAGAAGAAATGAAATACTTATCACGTCATACCATATTAGGAAGAGCCTTACAAGGACTTAATTCTGCAGCTCCTTTCGTGGTAAGAACTTAGCACACAGTCTGTCCTTTGAGTGAATGTACTGTGCTTCCGTGGCGCAATAGGCAGCGCGTTCGGCTGTTAACCGAAAGGTTGGTGGTTCGAGCCCACCCGGGAGCGAAATTTTTGCATTTCTTATATTTTATCGATACATATTTCTGAAAAACTTCTAGGTTGCTATCGTTTCGTTAACGTGGTTTGTTTGGACCAATGGAACGAATTCGTTAACACCACAAGTAATAGTGTTCTGTGTAACATATTTAAATTCTTCCGTTCAGGTAGCTTTCGTATCTCTAACTATTTTCAATATGCTTCGTTTGCCTATGGCTATGTTAGCTCCATCATTCCATAACATTACTAAGGTATGTTGTGGAGTATTCTTCTCATTTAGTTTTTTTTGAGGCTATGGTCAGTATGAAGAGAATTAACAACTTTTTGAAATCCAAAGAGCTACAAACTGAGAGACCTTCACCGTCTTCTAATGAAGCCCCTGAAGTTGGAATTCATCTTCATCATGCCACATTTTCATGGGACTTGAAACCTACTGCACTTAGTGATGTAAGTGTTCATCATTTGTGTACAAATGAAAGAATTTTTAGATTTGCTTGGAAGTCGAAGAGAAGAAATTCCATGCTATCATAGGACCAGTTGGTGCTGGAAAGTCTTCACTACTGTCAGCTATTTTAGGTGATTAGTTTTCGAAATACTGAGTTCTTCTCTTAGGTGAATTAACTCTGTTATCCGGACATAAAAAAGTCAACGGGAATGTCGCGTTTGTTCCACAAGTTCCTTGGATTCTAAACACAACCATTCGATCTAATATTTTGTACGGTCAAGACTACGAAAAGCCCAAGTATGAAAAGGTGAGTTAGGAACAAACAAGAGGTTTTATAAATTTATTACAGATTGTTAGAGCATGTGATATGAAAAAAGACTTCTATAACATGCCTCGTTATGATTGTACAGTGATTGGAGAAAATGTTTTGTTTTTTTCAATGATATGCTTGAACTATTATCGTTTAGAAAATACCTCTGTCTGGTGGCCAAATTGCTCGCATAGCACTAGCGCGAGCCCTGTATCAAGTATGTTCTAACTTGTTTGCGGAAAATTGCATAATTTTTTGTATAGAATTGTGATATTTATTTATTGGATGATCCATTTGCTGCTGTAGATAGACAAGTTACTAAAACCATGTTTGATAAGGTCAGTATCTCAGGTTTACCTTATTATTGTCAGTCTTCAGGTGCTTGGTCCAAATGGAATCCTCGCAAAGAAAACAGTGATTTTGGTTACTCATAACATGAATCTAGCAAAAAGCGCTGATGTCGTTCATCTAATGAATGGTAGATGAGGCGAATTGATTCAGTTCATTTAACTTTTCAGATGGTCGAATAATAGATTCAGGCTCTTTCGAAGATGTAGCGCGGAATAACTCTTCTTTGGTTGAGAGCAGTCAAGAAACACAAGAGGATGATCTGGATGATCTATGTAGTGACAATCCGTTATATGGCAACAGAATGTTATTTGTTATAGATGTACGGCCTAAGAAAAAGCCTAGAGCAGTGATGTTCGAACCAGAGAATCAAGAACAGAGAAAAGTGGAGAGTACTGAGCAAGGTCGGGTATGGAGATTATAATCATTTAAAAATTCATATTCAACTTAATCCTCACAGGTTAAGAGCCACGTTTATTTATCTTATATACGTGCGTTCTCTTATAAGTATGCCGGTGTCTTTACCGTCTTATTGTGCTGTCGATATGCATTACAGGTTCACTTTTATTTCTTTAATTTTCTCAACTTACTTTTCTCAGGCTTTGAGTGGAGTATTCTTATCACATTTAACCAATAATACAGACGTTTTACATTCACTGGATTTCAGCTATTACATTTACCTTGGAATTGGAACAGGTATGTGGAAATTAAAATTCACATTCTGGAAGGCTTACAGTTATTCTGAGCGTTATTTCGATGATGTCTTCGACATTTGGAGGAATTCGAGCTTCTATAGTTCTTCATCGTCCATTAGTAGCATCCTTATTACACGCACCGTTATACTTTTTCGAGAAGACTCCTATTGGTGGCATTTTGAACCGATTCACAGTTGTACGTTGATTCAATCTGACATTTTTCCTCCCATCTTTCCAGGATATGGATGCGGTGGATTTTTCTCTACCTATTACCTTACGCTTGGTAGTAGACGCTATCTTAAATGTGGAGTTCCAAAAATTTTTATCAAATAATCATGATGTGTTCAGATAATTATGGTCATGATTGTAATTTCCGCCTCAATACCTGCTTTCATTGTGTTTGTTGTTCCCTTCGCAATAGGATACTTGCTCATTTTGGTTTGATCATTTTTTTGTACTTTTTCAACTTTCATTTTCAGAAAAGATTCTTACCAACATCACGTCAAGTCAAAAGAATTGAGTGTTCTCAAAGATCATCTCTTCTATCTACGTTGACTCAGAATATACAGGGGGCTTCAAGTATACGTGCATTCGGAAGAGTATGATGTTCTAACAGATATTTTTTCCATGTTTCCATTTATAGACCAAAATGACTAATTTACAATTCAAAGACGAAGTAGACTCTTTCCTGCGCTGTCGTTATTTACAACCATCAATCCAACAATGGCTATCACTTCGCCTGGAACTACTTGGCAATTTGATGGTTAGTTCATAGAGGAGAAGTTTCAGTGAAGTCTGGATGGTCTTCCTTTCTCGGTTTTTAACTCAACAGAGCATTGAACCAATCAATTGAACATAGCTATACTTTCTCAGCTCGCTCAGAACGGTTGTTTTAAGTTCGAAAATTCATGTGGGGGCGTCTATTATTAATACATCGAAATCAGCTTAAGTTTTTACTATAAATTATAGATATTTGCATCCGCTATTCTCGCCACTGTTTTCCATCAGCTCGGTTGGGTTAACGCAGGAGCAGTGGGATTATGTGTATCATTTGCATTAACAGTATGTCATTCCTTAAATCGACCAACAAGACATTTTTAGCTTACTCAAGTCATGAACTTTTCGGTGCGCATGATTGGTTTGACTGATAACTACATGGTATCGGTGGAACGTATAAAAGAATATCATCATCTGCCATTAGAAGTATGAAATGTTGTTACTTCCTGCAACATAAGTGTTCTTCAGGCTAACAGGAAGTCAGACTATCCTCTCATTGATGCATGGCCACACACAGGTTCTATCGATTTTCTTGGGTTTGATTTGCTTTTCTCATTTGATTTTCTTGTTCTGTCTCAGTTATAATATGTACTATGACAAAGATGTTCATGCATTGAAAGACATCACGGCTTCCATAAAAGGTGGTGAGAAAATTGCAATTGTGGGCAGAACTGGATCAGGTACTGTCTGGTTTTCGTTAACTCAAATACCCTATTAATTGTAGGCAAATCTTCGCTGGCTGGAGCTCTCCTGCGATTAGTGGAAGCTGATAGTGGTAAGATCAGTATCGATGGAGTTGATATATCCGATCTGGGTTTACACGAGTTGCGCAGCCGGCTTACAATTATTCCTCAGGTTTTTCTGTAACTCGTTTTGTTAATATTTCACAAAGGTCATAGGAACCGATATTGTTTTCTTCAACACTTCGCTTCAATTTGGATCCTTTCAATCAATATGCAGACAGTGATTTGTGGTTAGCAATCGATGCCTGCAGTCTGAAGAGCTTGGTCAGCAGAAACGGTGGAATGCAGTGGTTGATAGAGGAAGGAGGTGCTAACTTGAGGTGGGAATAAAACTACTTCAGTGTCATGAATGTATTTCTGTACAGCATTGGAGAACGTCAGTTGATTTGCCTTTCTCGTGCTCTCTTAAGAGGCGGGCAAATTTTGATTCTCGATGAAGCTACTTCATCCGTTGATCACCAAACCGATAAAATGATATATCAGGTTTATACGAAACATAATAAGCTGATATTCAACTGATTTAAGATTATTAACGATCATTTCAAGCATGCGACCGTGTTATTCATAACTCATCGTTTGAACGCTTTAGAACATTGCCACAGGTTTGCTTATCACACCTGTCATGCAAAGCCATTTTTCAGAGTAATGGTTATGGATAATGGACAAATCGTTGAATTCGACAAGCCTGATGTCCTGTTAGAAAATGATAATTCTTTGTTCAAAGAAATCAGCAAACGATCAAAATAGAGTTAATAAATATTACATTATAAGTTTACTTACAGCATAAGAGTTCAGTAATCTCATTTTTATCATATCGTATTTATTCTCCATTTATCAACAAGTGAGTGACTGCGAGGGTATCGAGGAGATAAACAGTTAACTATCTAGATGTTAATTGAACAGCCTATAAAACAGAAGTTATCAACGGTTTTCACAATGTTCTACTCACTTTAAAAAGTTGTTCCACTGTCCTTGAATGACAGTGATTGCACTTTCATTGAATGATGATGGCAACTATCAATGATACTATCCTCTAAAATGTTTTTGTAACAGATCTGATGTTAAGTTATGTTCGTGACTCACTTTAATGTAATAATACTAATCTTCAATGATTTATGATGCCTATCTTTCAGTTGAATTGAGTGAACACCATATATCTGCTTGTTGTGACATCAAACAATATGCGCTCAGTTGGGCCTGCTGATGATAAACATGAAAAGGTATTAATATAGCTATTATGCATTTCTTACTTTGTTTAAATAAGTTGGATGTCTTGTCCGGAACTATCATTTCTGTAATTCATATCATATTTAAGAAATTAGAGACAAGTGTAATTTCGATGAATGCGAATAAATATGATCTCTATCATCAACATCAGACGGGGGGATGAACTGTTTATTTTCGGTTGTTATCTCCGAAAAAGAATTCCTCCCTTTCAAGTTATGGTCCCTTTTACACTTTAGATATACATGTATGTTTTCATGTTTCATTATTTTTTTGAGCGATTCGACGTCAATTCGAACAATGCTATGATTTGGTCTTGTCGTTCAATGGCTTTCTTCTTTCCTTCATAACATGCACAAAAATGCGCCCACTCACACATGTATTGTTTGATTACGATTAGTTTTCTCTAGAGTTTAGGAGAACTTGATCGATGACTTGCTTATCTTTTTGAATTCTGTCATGTTAGTTTCTGACCTTGCCTATATGCTAAAGGTATTCTGAGATAATACTTCTCGGATATCCTGTTCTACCCACAACGTTCTTCTGATTTCTTCTCTCTTTCTCTCTGTTTTACAACTTCCAATAGCCCATAAGCATGAGCTTCCTGTCAGCTATGCGTGTTGTAATTCGTTGCTAAGGTCCTAGTAGCACCTTTCTCCTAAGGCAACACTTTTTCCAAACATTTATACCAACATTTTTTTAATTATCTGTTGTTTTTTCTCTTCGCTGATTCTTTCATTCAGAAACCTATGTTGAAGACGGGATCTAGAAGCGATCTCTCTAAAAACGGCGCTATCGAAATTCCAGAGCCTCTAGTAGATAGTATCTGAACTGTTGATTTACAAAGTTATTCGTGAAAATTCAGATGCAGTTCAGCCAAATACTGAAAAGGTATGGTTGAAGAGACAGCTTGTCAAGTTATATGCTCTGCAATCGGTCATAGGAGTAATCTCTATAGCAGTTTTGATAGCCATAATAATATTAATATATTCTGTTTATCATGTAGGTTATTCTCATAAATGAACTTACATCATATCATCTCTTCCAGACGACAAATAGCTCTCTGTTTCAATCACAAAATGATACGTTATCAGATAGTTATAAAGTAAGGGCATTTACACTTCTAGAAGTTATTTTTGGAACTTCAGGAACAACTAAATTCAAAAACAGATAACGAGAAAACCTCTGACAGTTATCCATGGTACGACAAGACCTGTGCATCTGTTGGAGTGTGCAAAAGGAAAGGGTAAGATACGATGAGGATACGATAAGCAATTTAGAATCTTCTTTGAGTTATACGCAGCCTCCACTTCTCATAATAAGCTTTGATGGTTTTTCTTACAAATACATGAAGAAAAAAATAATGAAGTCTCTAACCTATTTCTCCAATTGTGGAGTGAAAGCTGAGGTTTTGTTCTTTTGCATTGCTAGTAATCGAAATCTTCATCTCAGAGAGTCATTCCATGTTTCCCATCCAGAACTTTCCCCAATCATTATGCCATTGCGACTGGACTATATCCTGAATCTCATGGAATAGGTTCGCTTACGAATATCTAGTTTTAATTTCTAATATACTTGACAGTTGATAACAACATTTATGATCCAACTATAGCACCCATTCCACAAAGTACAAAAAACACTAAACACGATGAACTTTGGATGGGAACACCAGTGAGTTAATATCGCAATAACCCTGTACTCTTTGCTACTTGAGATATGGAAAGCTTACCATGATCAGACAAACAAGAAAACAGCATGTTTGTTTTGGCCAGGATGCGCTTACAACATTTCTGGTTATTATTTTATGAAAAAAAGCAGATAGAGCTGGTTTTTAGGTTACAAACCTGAGCATTCCCCTACCTATGATAAGTCAGTTGCTCTTGATGACAGATTCGAGCTGGTAACAATCTTAATTGAAGTAATATTCTTACCTTATATTTGCAGGTTCACAAGTGGTTAGCAGAGGAAGATCATCCTGAGCTAGTCCTTGCATATGTTGAACAACCAGACTCTGCAGGACATAATCAGAAGTCAGAAAAAGAAGTATTTTATAACATCTCAATATTTGTTTATATAATCTTAAGGTTGATGATGCGTTGGAGGAGTTGGATCATGTATTGAACAAGTTTTTGACAAATCTTCACAATGACAATCTTCTTGATTGTATCAATATAGCTATTGTTTCTGATCATGGCAAGTATCAACACAAACTTACAGTTTCATTTATAATTTTAGGCATGCAATTGCTCGAAAATCTAGTGTACATCCCGGACTTCGTAGAAACAGAAAGTGTTGTTGCTACTTCGGGTGTTATTGGGCGACTTTTCTCAAGTATCACAAAGCTGAATTTAAATCCTACTGTTGAAATTCAGCTAACTTAACTTCCGATGAACTGTCTGAACCGTTCACTTGTCAGAAGGTAGAAGGAGTTCGTGTTTTCACCAGAGAAACGATGCCTGTTCGCAAACACCATGCCAAAATTCCTCGAGTTGGGGACGTGATTCTCCAAGGTGAACCTGGGACAACTTTTGAGTGAGTGCTCAGCTTTTTCGATGGTTTACCACTGTTTTCAGTATTAAAAAAAGAGGAATGTTGGCTGCTGACCATGGTTATGACATAATCCATGACAATATGCATACTATTTTCTTCGCTAGAGGGCCTTCTTTCAAGAAGAATTTCACTATTTCCCCCTTCCAGCATGTAGAGTATATGAATTTGTGGACAGGTGAAACAAATTTTGCAGCTTTAAATCTCTGTGTTCAGAGCTTTTGAAATTAGAACATGTACCTAATAATGGTTCTAATGGTTTTATGGATGTATTGATGGTTGATCCTCCGATAAGACAAGCCTTACCTACTCTCAGCTTGCAGTAAGCCAATATTAGTTTCCACATAGGGTCACGTTTCAGAGAGTGCGAAAAAACAGGGGAATCTTTAGTGAGTTTCTGTGAGAAATGTGATTCCCGAACGAAGGTAGATTTATGGAAAGGTCTCTTAATCTTGTTTTATTCAGAAGTCTATAACAGAAAGTTTATCTAACTGCGACCAAATAAAAAGCGACTACCTCAGTTTTGAAAGTTCAGCAGGTTCCAGTTGTGTTAGGAACTATTGCAGAAATGCTGTTCTGGGAGCTTCATCAAGTGAGCTATAACAACATCAACCATAACAATGGAATCCTAGAGACACCAGCGGTTTTGGAGGAAATTCATCGGTCTGACCTGTTGAACGCCCCGAGTTGCGGAATAGCAGTTTCGAAATACGAAAGCTCTCCCGTTTGTGCTTCCAGTACAAATACGTACTTGAGCTCAAATATAAAATCTCGTAGGAGTTTCACGCTTTTTCTTCATTGTCAACTATTCAGGTTTTGGGAAAATAAATGAAGCAAATTTCAACGCTACCAGTGGATTTGTAGAAAGTGAGTTTGTACCTACTCAAGCCCATACATATGAATGATTGAAGCTGTTTTGAACCCTCTCAACACTCTTACTTTGAACTATGTAAGAAAATTCGGACTCATTTGGACGATGAGTGGTTTAGCGTTTGACAAAAATATGGATGGGTTAGCTGACGTCGAACAGTTCGCCAGATTTCATTCAACTTCAGACATACGAAATTTTTTAGGGACCAGCCCACCCATTTTTACCGCACACTGTTCTACTGTACTTCCTTAAATAAGGGAGTATGCAAGGACGTGGATATCATATCTTTTATTTTCCCACTTATGAATATAGATGTCAACTGTTTGGTATACCTTCGTTTAGGCCTTGAGACCTAAAGCGTCAATCTTTTCCAGACTACAGAACAACTCTTGATCGAGTACACGGCAAGGCTCAGAGACATAGAAATCATCAGTGGTTATAAATGGAAACCAAATAATTTATCTCATCATCGTTATCATAGTCTAAGAATTCATATCAACTTAGCTATTATTTGAATATCAGAAAAGAGCATATTGTTTGTACATAAAGCTTTACATTCTTGTTAATGAAATTTACGACTGTGTTCGGCAGCCACCTTTTCATCTGTCAAAGAAGTATCTGAGAGAAGATAGGTGAGTATTGCTCATTCAGTTTTTTCATGTAAATTGAAAGAAAGGAATGAAAAACTGTTTCCCTTATTAATTGAAGTTGAAGGATTGTGACTTTTACTGATTGTTTAAATCAGCTGCACACATGTGGTGAGAACCGTTTTGAGATTATTGCAGAGTATCAGTCCTCCATTACTAGTGTAACCTCATCTTACCTACTTTACAAAAACTTGTGATCCATCATGAATCTACACATGCTTTCCAATCGTTACAATTCATTAAGCTTGACACAAAGTCAAACATTTGAAGATTGATATGATTATCTTATTACACAAACAACACATGTGAAAGTGACTATGTTGAAAACCTTCTATTTACTAATTCCTTATATATCTAAGCGAGCGAGGGTGGTCTTCATGAAGTGAACTCTTCTATTACGGCCGGATTAATTTTAAGGTTTACACATGTCGTGCGCATACTTGAACATCTGAATGAATGATCGAATGTTATCTTATAATTGAGATCAACAAACATTCAAGCCCAGATAAGAGATATGATCTATCCAAGATTGTATGCTAAGAAGAGTGGGATTCCTTCGATGATCGATGCATGTTGGATCCTCATTTTCGGGAAGACCATCACATATCTTGTATTGATCATGTGGACTGCTATAATTGAAAAACCTGGAACAGCTTCATCGTTGTGCACATGCTCTTTTTCAATTACCAATATTCCAATCCGTGGTGATAGAACGAATTATCATTGTTTGGGTTACACACGGAGTTTCTAATCGAAGAGCGAGTACATTTAGGGAAGTTAGGAACATTGTCACTATTTTGAGTTATCCGAATACTGAATAAAAAAGTGTAAGAATAATCTTATGAAACCTTATTACTCATTTTTGATGTAATTTTTAACTTGTTTTGTGAAACTCCGATGTCCGGAGCGAGGCTCTCCGAATGTCATCAACTCTATCTGGTCTCCAGGGATTTTCCCTTCTATAAGTTTATTTGTTTGTCAAATATCATCAACACTTCTGTCATTTACGTATTACTGCTCTCATGGCACTGAGAAAGGCTAATGAACCTCCTAACGAATGACCAGTGTAAATAAATTTGTAATCCTAAAATCGTTCTCGACACTGTCTCAACGATACTCCAACCTTGTATTTCGGATCCATGACTATATGCTTCTGATTTTTCCAAAAAGTATCAGAAGCTGAGACATAGTATTGTTTCGTCTGTAATACTCACTAAAAAATTCATTACATTTAATGTTCACCTGGCCTAAGCCAAGGAAGTTTTTGGTCACTGGTAGTGCTTGCATGAGAAGTTGAATCTTGATGAAATGCTTTAGAAGGATATATCGAATTCAGTACGTTTACCACTTGATTAGTGCCTCGGTAGATGAAATAAATGATCTTTGATTCTGGAAAATCGACTAAAAAAGAATAAAGTATTGGAATCTCAAGAGTTCTGGTAAATACCAACTACTGATCGGCATTTCTGATTGAACATGTCACAATCAATATCATTTTGCATAAGTATATTGTACGGTCCCATGTTGAATTCATCCACTATTTTACTGAAATATTCTTCCATTCAAAGCTTCTTCTGTTGGATCTTACGAAATGCAGGGATCCAGCGAATCTCTTGTGGAATATGGGATAGAGACCAATCGGACGTTGATATTAACATCTGTCATGTTTAACTCTTGAGTTGATACCAAAAATGGAAGGTAACAACTGATCAAAAGTATCAGAAACATTTTGATATCTGTAATAGGAAGTTTCATTTTGTGTTACACACCTTAAATACTCAAATTCGGCAACCTCAAAAGTCTATTCGGAAAACAACCTGGCAGGAAGGTGAAAACATGATTAGCAAATCTTTCGGGTGAAGAGGTAAGCTTCTTTCATTCATTTCATTTTTTTGAACAAAATACTCCGAATCCGGTTATTAAATTCTAATCATTACCGTCGGGAGCTTGTTATGACTAGATGTTGCAATAATCATAATCTGCCAACTCGTTTTTTGAACATTTGTAACTTTACAAAGATTATTGCGATTGAACACGATCAAAAAACGACAAACGCACGTGGAGTTTATATTATCAACGGACAGTATGTGTCTGTGTGAGTGTGTGTGTGTGTGTATTTTGGTTTTCCCAAGAAAAACTTGACCTGAATGTTTCCTTTCCGGTGGTAGCAGATGTACTGTGGTTACGAACGATTTCCAATGATTCTGTAAGAAAGTTTCGTGGTTAATATTAACTACATCAAAAGCAAGATAATGATCACTGAATAACAAATTTTTTTGAACTAAAAAGATAAAAACATGTTAATGATAATTTTGAACTGTCGCCAATAAGGTTCGAGATTAGAGAACCAATCACATGGTCTGTATAGCTAATAATATAATAGTATAAGGAAGTATTAGTCCGGAAATGTTTTTGTGTGCTCATATGATTTATTTTTGTTGTCAAACATGTTTTCAGTATGATTTTTTTTGTTTTCGGTTTATTTAGCATGCCCCTAAACTGTATGCTACATCCGGAAGAATTGAAACTCTATTGAAGTTATAATTGAAAAGAGGTGAAATTACTTAGGCTGATGAAATCGAGATCCAGTTCAGTGAGAATTAAGGAAAAGTTAATTAAGAAGTTTATTTTTACTTATTATCGCTGAGAGTTGTACTTTCCAATCCTGCTTCCTGGTTCATTCGAACACTTATAAAGGCTCTGTTGCCTAATTGCCAATGTAGCTGACAACTCTTAGAAAGTTACAGTCTTCTTCTTGATGTTTTCGGTCGAATATCGCTTCCAATGACTTTACCCGCTGCTTAATAGTTTACACTTATATTGTATGAAGTTTCGAGTTAAACTTAGCTCATTTCCAATTATTCAGTTCAAATTCTTTATTAAATTCGAATTTTAAACTTTCTCTCCAGCTATGAGCGTTATTTGGTTGGTGATCCCTGCTTTCATTCCTGTGAACGAGACGGGAGTGACTGTTTGTGTTTAAGGATGAAATCCTTCTACGCAGAACGTGATAGATTTGTTGGCTAAGATAATTCATTTTGAGAGCAGTGCTTGAGAAATCGGTTGTGCTCTTCGATTTCATTTCGTACATTAATATGTTTGACATTGAATTCACATTTCGTGCAGGGAACGTGAAAGGGTTGCAGTGAACTTCATTCTGTGAGCGATACCTGAGGAATTCTCAGTTTCATTTTTCGATTATCTGTTCCCACTTTCCGAAATTTATTCCAAAATAGTGATGGTTAGAGATGTACGATCATTGAAACATCGAGAAAACTGTTTTGTGAAACAGCCTTATGTTATTCCGAGGTGAATATTTATTGATACTTCATGTTGTATCAGAACTGTTTGTCTACAAAGTTAGCTCAGGGTGGGAGGGGGGGATTGTTTCGAGTAGAACAATAGAGCTGCAACAATTATCCTTTTTTTGTAATTGTGTATTTTACCCATCAGCTGGGACTAAACAATGCTATCAGCTTCTGTACATGCTGAGATTCAGTTCATAGACTTATCACAATGTGAAGAGAACACAGTACACCTTGTACATATGTATATAGTCTGAGTTCAATTCAGCAGTTATCTAATGTAGATTAAACCATCGTATTCCAAAATGTCATACGAGTAAGACAAATTGTGCTATATTGATTGCTGGAGATTTGTTTGAAAATAGAAAAAATGTAAAACAAGCATGTTCCTCTAAAGAGTGTGATTTACATAAAAGTTATGAAACGATTCCATTGCGTTAAATTCATGATAATATTTTTAGAGAAATGCTAACTTCAAAGAGAACTTGATCGTACAGAGAGCTAACGATTGAATAGAAGAGTTATCTCTGAGCCAAAAATTGTTTATTTTTTCTATTATCACAACTCCTTCTTTCCCAGATTAAGTTTTCAGACTGCCGATTTTGAGCGTGAAAAGCTTTGAATGTTCAGAAGAGAAAGTGTTTTTCAGAAACAAAAAATGCTTCCGATAATCTTGTTCATTGGTGTACTTCCTTTGTTAGTATTATCGCAAGATCTAAACCTGACAGCAGCTCACATTAACGTCCGATTGGTCGCCAGCAGTTACAACCTTGATGTTTCGGTAAACACCTGCATCTCGTAATATAAAACCAATGAAGCTTGAGAAATTTTGAAGACTTCAGTAAAATAAGTCAAGAATTTGGTATGGGAGATCACAACGTACTGATGGAAGATAGTGTCGTTTGCGACCTTGCACTCGGAATTTGTCGGTCTGTTGTTGGTATGTCTTAGTGAACAAGCAAAGACATGGCTCTAGTCAATTTCAGTCGAGTTCCCCAAATCGAAAACTATTTACTTTATTTACCGTGGTTCGACTCAAATAGTAAAAACATTTTTATCACATCTCTTCATCATTCAAATGATTTTCAGCCCCAAATTGCTTTACAAGGCCCACCTATAACTCAAGACTTTCTAGGTTTGGGACAGGTATCTCGAAAATATGATGAAGTTACAAATTCATGAATGTAACAGGTCAAAAGATATTATGTTAGAGCTTCTCATTTTTTCTGGGAGTTACAAAAGCATATAGTGATGGATTCGAAATACCAGGTAACAGAAAGTTTAGACATGTTTGAGGACAACATTGCAGGATTACAAGTTCGTATACACTGGTCATTCGTTAGGAGGATCATTAGCCTTTCTCAGTGCCATGAGAGCAGTAATACGTAAGATAACAGAAGTATTGATGATGTTTGACAAACAAATAAACTTATAGAAGGGAAAATCCCTGGAGACCAGATAGAGTTGATGACATTCGGAGAGCCTCGCTCCGGACATCGGAATTTCACAAAAAAAATAAAAAATTACATCAAAAATGAGTAATGACGTAGGATTACAGTACTCTAACACATTAATCATTCAGTTTTCGTATAACTCATAGTAACGATAACGCAAAAACATTTCCCGCTTGTCGTTCAATTTTTTCGCTATCCAACAAAAGATTTGAATGTGACCCAGGCTATGATGATTGGTTTTATCACCATGGGATGGAGTACTGGTGATTTGAGAAAAACGCAAGTACGCTTGGTCTATAATAGGCTTTCAGGTTTTCCGATGATAGAAACCCCAGTGATCGTTATAAAAAATGTGATGGCCTTCCTGAGTATGAGGATCCTACATGCCTTGCCCGAAATCCTACTTTGCTTGGTTTGAAAATTTGGTGTGATCATATAGTTTACCTCGGGCTGAATGTTTGTACTACCCCATTTCAAGTTATTTTATTTTGTTTCAGATGCTTCTTTATGGAGTGAGTGGTTGCGAAATTCCAAGAATTGTGTCTAGTATTAGCTGTCCCATCCCAATATGACTAATGATTAACAAGCACTCCAACGCCTTACATAAAAACAGAAATGCTACTATATTTGTTATCATCATCAATCAACAAAACAATGTACAAAAAAAGAAAAAAAAAGTTGTTAAGTACAGCTAACATACAAAGTACAACATGAGCTCGCAGAGCTAGGTTCATTCACAGAAATATCAACAATGTTACAAATGTTAAAATATATAAGTTCTCAAATGTCAATAAAAACAATCTTTATTATAATTTTTGTATTAAGAAGAATGTTCTAGAGTAGTTCTATTGCTTCTGGATAGTTTTCTGGTTATCGGTCGCCATTCCAATAGTTGGTATCGTTAGAATCTAAAAGATAAGATTATTATTGATTTGTAATATTAAAGTTTCACTTACATTGCTTGCTGCTGCTGGTCTAGTTTGTAACCAAGTATTAAACTCTGAAAGCTTGGTGATTTTTCGTGGTTTCAATCCTAAGTCAGTAGGCGGGTCAATTCTTTTTGGGATCGGTGAGGCTGCTGTTCCACAATCAATATCATCTTCGGTCAGTAGAGAGTTGGCAGAGAAAAGAGGTGTTTTGTTGGTTATGACTCTGGCATTTCGGAAAGGAAGAACACGAGGCTGAGGCACATCATCGCTGTCCAAATCATCTGTGGTGTAAGATGGTGAAGTTTCTTCTTGATCAACAAGAGTAGCTTCTGCATCTGACTCTTCATTATTACAGTCGCGAATCGAAGAAAAGTCTTCAACTTCAACTTCATGGGCTACTTCGATTTCATAGTCATTAAGTCTATTCTCGCTTTCTGCAGCTCCAATAGAATCGTTCTCAGATAAATTGCTTCCTTGCTGATTAGAAATCTTCCCAGTATCGAAATCCTTTTTTAATGCATGTGCAATTTTCTCGGCGCAGCTGATGTTCTTCGGTTCCATTTCAAGGTGTTTCTTCAAAGAAATGCTCGTTGTATTGGGATTTCCACGAAAATACTTCAGTAAATCTTTGGAATTTTCTCTCAAAATAGCATCCCAATCTTTAGCTGGTTTATCGGCAAACTTAGCTCGTTGGGCATATGCCCAAGAGCTGAATCTCCTCTTGAAATCATTAAGGCCTTCCTCGAACGTGGTCTCCGTAGTGTTCTTCTCGTATTCAGAAAGTATACGGTAACTTTCGAGATAGAGCGCAGGAAATACTTGTCCGGTTTCCATTATATTGCTGGTATTAGAATTGAATGCGCTGTCTAAAGCAATTCTTCTAATGTACTCGGACATTGATGGGAGAATGGTATTTTCATTATTTTGTATTTCGTCGTACTCCTTCGCTGACATTTTGAATCTTTCGTGACCTTCAGCCTTAATAGGATATTAAAAATGTTTTTTGGTAAATCGGAAACATACCACAATTTCACTACGAATAAAATCTTCTGCTCCTTGCATCACTGCCAATCTCTCAAATAAGATGTATTTCTCATAAGGAACAAGAACTTCGATCTTTTCGTCAATACTCTTCGTGACAGTCTTATAGACGATGCAGGAGGTTTCCGATAATTCGGTGAGCTCGTCGATCAGTTGTATCAAAACTTTCAAGAACCTCAGATTCTTTGATTCCATCTTCGCGGCGAGTACTTCGTAAGAATCTTTTCTTTCGGCACAGAACTCGCACACTTTCATGATTTCGTTGCCTGCCCATGAATAGAACTTCACAAGAGTCAAGCCTTCCTTTTTCAGAATATCCAAGTTCTCATTTTTTTTTGATTCAGTGTGTAGCCTGCATTGAATATCTATAATTTTCAACTGGAAACTATAGATTTGAGCTTTCGAGTGAACGTAGAACTTTTCCATCAAAGATGACTGAAATTAAAACTGTTATGTGTTTTTCCGGAAATTATAAATAAATTGCTGTTTAGTTTCATGTTTATTTGGGATTTTGGATAAAGGACTTTACATGAATTAAAAGAAAAATTAAACAAAAAAATTGATTAGTTGGCGAGAAAAGAAACAAAATATTCTCCTAGAACTTAACTAAACATTTTATCTTTGGTTAGTATCAGATCAGGGGGGGGGAGGCAAGGGGGACAGGAGGCGTTGGACTAAAAATATATCGTGCATTATGCTCTGTATTATTAACACTGCTTGGCTGTACAAACTACAATATGATGGTCTTTTTGCTTACATCTTGGACATGCAGGTGTCCTATCACAATAAATTGCATGAGCTTTTGCTGGCATTAAGCATTTTAAGCACAAACGAACATCCTTACATCTCTCACGTTTCTCTCTACCATCAGCATACTCACTACAGAGGTAAGGATAATGTCTGTCGCCACACAAAAGTGTACATGGAAGAAGTTTACCTGTGCCAGTATCTCTCAAACCTTTTGCTTCTCGCTTATACTTGGGGCTCAGTCTAAAGGGGAAACTATTCTCATACAGTCTACGGTATTTATCGTAACGATTTTCAGTCTTAGAAATATTAGTTTTCTTCTTTCTCTCAGGTGAATTGTTTTTTTTCAATGGGTATTGTGAAGCTAAGGTGACTATGCCCGCGTCAATCAAGCTATTCATATCGGAGCATGACGTTATTTCAACTTCATTGATTTTGCTACTAGAACATTTCGCAGAAATTAAAGTAGATACGTCCAATTTTCGGGGGTTAGTTACATCGATTTCGCGCAAGTATGAACTATCCAACTCCTGTACTAACTGGTGTTTTGAAACGGTTTTAATTATGACATCAATAACCTCAATATCTGAATCATCGTCCTTGGGTAAGCTAGTTTCCACATTTTCCACTGAGTCCGTCTGTTGTTGTTGAGATGTAGAACATTCATTGTTTAGTTGACGGTAAAAAGATGATTTAATTCCAGCAGTGGTCTTAGATTGAATTATGTTAGAGCTGGTATCTGCTGGATTGATTGGAATAGAAGGATTTGTCGGATTTGATAAGTTATAGACTAATTTATCTCCGCTCGAGACGGCTGCCTTCTCTTTTTTTGCAACAGCTGCAAAACTGGCTCCACTGTTCTCAACTATCGCAGTTACGGTAGGTGGGGCGTGCTTTGACATGTCACTCGCTGATTCGTCGGATCGTTTGTGAAAATCAGTTTTGAAACGACCCAGATCATCAGGAATCGAGTAGCTTTTGAAGCTGACGTTTTTCATTTGATTATTAACGTTATTTTCTGCCTGCTTCCATCTCTGGTACGATTTACTTCGAGGATCGAAAAGGCGAGGGGGATTCTCTTCGAGTGGCGAAATAGCTTGAGCAAGGGGCAGACGCTCTGTTGGAATCACTAGCGGTTTTTCTTTTTTCAGCTCAACAACTTTGTTCCTTTTCTTGAGAGGCGAGCTTGAAGTTCTGTGCGAACGACTGTGCTTTTCTGAACAATTATTCTGATTTTAAAAAAAACACAAAGAAAACATTACCTGACGAACGGGAAGATGCTTTAACCTCTTCTGATTTATTCTGGGAGTCACTTATTTTATGTCTTCTGCGTTTTTCTGGGGAGTTTTTGACTGCCTTATTCTTAGAAACTTCTTGTAATGGGACCAGATCTGATGTTTGTGCAACCTTAGTTTTATCTGCAGTTTTTGGAAGCGATATCGCCACTCCACTATTTTTTTTGTTCTCTTGTTCAGCTGATTCTTCATTAAGAGCTTTTGTTCCGACTAGGCTACTAGAAGACACGTTGTTCGAGTTGGTTTGTGAAGTTACTTCATTAGGTTGAGGGCCTGAAAAGAAACACACTTATTGGATAAAATCAAAGATCTTCTTACCCCTCGGACAACTATCGTCGGGACATTCGGTCTTAATATTGCATTCTTCTTTGATGGTAATTGTGTCTGAAGAATCATGCTTGTCATCACTAATCTCGATGTTGTCATCCAATTGTCTGATGATGTCCTTCATTTTGAATAAACGCCTTTGAGCAAGATCGTACTGGTCAACAAGTTTCATGGACCAGTCATTGAACTTCAAATCAATCAGAGTGTTGCGATTGATATCGATCTTTTTGACGTTGTGGTCGACTTCTTCAAGCAGGATGATTAGTTGACGTTTGTTGCGTAGCAATTCTTGAGTGGGGGTGGTAGCAGATACTTTCCCAGCTACAGTTCGAAAAGTAGAAATCGATGCAGTTATTCTAGAAAAAGCTGCATGGATTTCAGCTTGGAGCATATCAACTATTTGCATCTTCCTAGAATCTGGATTGTTCATTAGTATAATTTGTCAATAGGACGACAGTTCAAAGATGTATCAGGAAAAAGAGCGTTATCCGCACCGATGAGAATAGACGAGCAGTATGAAAATGTAACGAAATAAGAATAAGAGTGTTGATAAGCCATAGTTCTAATCTCCTAATGAAATTAGTGACGAGTGAATCCTCACAAATTAATAAAGTTGCGTAACGTGAACATTACAGCCATATGCTAAGATGTATCATAGACAGTCCGATGCCTTTCATAGGCACATAATCGTAAGGACCAATCCATTATAGTCGGTAGAACAAGTACCGCTAACTCTTAAACGGCTTACCGCCTTGATAGATTGCTTTATCCTTTCATTCATACAAATCACATTGACCGGCCGCTTTTAATTCCAATGGATTAATAAAGCACGTAGTAATAATATGTAGATCATAAACAGAATAACTTCGAAAGTGGAGACGTAATTCGTTTGAACGAACGAAGAGTGAATGAAAAATCTTCTAAGTTGTAATTCATCGTTCTTTTATGCTGGTATAACAAAAAACGAAAGAGACTCGTTTATGAAACGCACGCTTTGTTGAGAATTCAATCGATCAGAGTCCTATTCTTGCTACTCGACTAGTCTTCTAGTAAGTACATGAGCAGGAAAAAGGAAAAAACGAATACGACATTAGTCCTTTTGGAAGGCATTTATCTGACGCATTTCTTAAGCAGCCGGGTGAGAAGGAATAGAAAGCAGTGGGTGAAGACTGAAGTGGGAAGAGACGAATTGGAAAAGTGTTCACTGCTCACGTGACTCTATTGAACATCGATTGGAAACATACGACGCCGCCTTCTGCTACTAACAGAGGTTTTATGAAAATGAGAGGATTTAAACGGGCTGTACTTAGTAGTAGCCCGCTACTTTCAATTTCAACTCAACCTTTCAAAAATGATATCATTTGCAGTACTTTTACTATATTCTACTATCAAAAAAATAAAACTAAACATACAATCATCATACGTCGCGGATTACCACAAATAGGATAAATTTATAGAATAACTTCGTATATGAAGTAGATTTGCTAACAGCGGAGTGTTTGGAGGAATAAACTTAGAAGAAGCGTTCGGTTGACGTTAGTCAACTACTGATTGATAAAAATAGTTGAGATAAATGCAAAAGAATAACCACCGAATATGGCACTGAATATAGAAGAATACAGCTTACATCAACTGAATGAATGCCCAAGAGAGCGAAACTTTCGCTCTTTGGTCATTTTTCTATCTTTTCCCTCTCGATACTCTACATACTCTTCTAAAAATACTTTGTCTCTCTGTCGTTGGCTGATTTACATGCTCCGGGCTTCTATCTAATATGACTCGAGGAAAATATGAAAGAAAAATGTCCAGATAAAGAACACATGAATGATAGCGGTAAAGAGATTGACGAAGACGCTGAAATGCCGATGGTGAAGGCGAATGTTATCGTCAGTCCTAAGATGAAAACAATAGAACATCGAAAGCAAATATCGTCCTTTTCAACGTCTGATATATATCAGTTAGGATCTCTGATGTGAACATTGTTGAATTCAAAAAGTGAAGAAAAAACAATCTCATGAACTCAAATGTTAATGCCAATTAATTGTTCTCAAATCATTCCCTCTAATCTAACCATGTTGAGAAATTGGAGATACAAACTTTGGAGACTCAAAAAGAAATCTGTTCCGAAATGTTTCGATAATTAAACTTATTGGAGTTTGTATCCCAAAATTTGTTAAGATTATGTTTGTGCAGAACAAATAAGAACTGAAATAAAAAGAGTAAACTCCAATTTCTCAATCAGTTGGCACGGTGACTTGAGTCAGAATGCTGTCTGAATTATTCCAACTCTTATTCTGTATTAATTCTGTATATGCTCTTTATACTATCTCGCAAGGATATAATGAAACCGAAGCTAAATACTTATTGAAACTGTCGGCTGGAGCTTATGGTCAGCCAGAAGATATCAATGCTTGTCTCAAGTGATGAGTTGCCTGCCAACATATATCTATGTGGATGTTTTAGTTCTCAACCTGCCAATGGAGGTATCCGCACAATTCTCGATGTGAACAAAGAAAACTGTGATGCCTTGGATAATCCTTGTGAAGGATACATAGGTTTGAACTTTTTATCTCTCGATAAGTATTATGAGTGTGGTTTCTCATTATTATCTTCTGTCGAAGTTTCTTATTTCTTTTTATACACTTTACAGCGGTCACAGATTCTGAAAAACTGCTGCATGCTGTATTCCGAGGAACACGGACAAATGTGACTCATTCATCAATTACCAGATGATTTTCAATATAATGTTTACAGTCACAGCTGCTATTGGAAGGAATCGCAACAACGGTGCCAGGAGAAGACTTTTTTGGAATGGGAGAGGTAGGAACAGTTAAATGATTTTACAATATCAATTATGTATGCAATTAAATCGTCAAAGTTCAAAGAGTTCATCTTTGCGTGAAGAAAAAACGAGTTTCAAACTTGGATTCTATTCAATATTGACAACTAAGTCATAATTATACTTTTCATCTGAAAAATTGCAAAACCAGTTGTGTTGTTTGATCAAAAAAGGGAAACAGAAAAAATAACAAAGAAACTTCTTCTATATTACAGGTTAACAAGTATTTCTTGAGGGGCCATAATTTACTCTGGCCAGACTTAGAAACTATTCTACGAGACCCGAGGTATAGTGATTACACAATTGTTTTCACTGGGCATTCATTGGGTGGAGCGCTAGCAGCTCTAGCAGCTGCTCGAACAGCTCGAGAAGGTGCAGCCAATTTTTCTAACAGATAACAAATATTTGTTTGAGGCATTCGTTCTTCAAACCGAATCAAATTAGTGACATTTGGTGAGCCACGTGTAGGGACCAGGACATTCGCTATGAACTTTGATAACATAGTCACAAATAGGTAAGAGAGTTGAGAAGAATAAAAACAGCAACTTGACATAACACTTTGAAGTTATCGCGTAGTTTATCGCAAAGACATTGTTCCTCACTCTCCTGGATGTACAAAAGATCGTTCAAATCCAAATTTGACAGATAAGGATAGTTTACCTTGTGAACCACTTGACCTCAATGGACCTTACCATCATGGAGTAGAGATATGGTGAGTGAGAAATAGAAACAAAACAAATGTCATAAATTAATAATGTTACAGGTATCCGGAATCAATGACAAACAATTCATTTTACATAGAATGCTTGGGACAGCCAATTCATGAAGATTTCGGCTGCTCCAATCAGTTTAAATATAATATAAAGTACTTTTCAGATTACGTATATGATCATAGACATTACTTCGGAGTGAAAGTAAGATAAGAATGCAAAGACCTAATATGATTGACATTGCACTTTTCAGGTGCCAGAATATGGAAAGACGGGATGCAACAACAATTTCCCAGAAGGCTACTAATGTTTCAATGTATATAAAACATGATCTCAAAACACTTACATTGAAGAATAATAAAACATAAAACATTTTTGTACGCGTTAAAGAGAATCAATTTGACTCCATCACTTTCTTCGATCCTTGTTTTTTCTTCTTTTCTAACTGTGCCAGCTGTTTCTTCAATGACTTTTTTTGTTCTTTAGCCTTTCGGTACTGTAGTCGTCTGAAACAATGATATATACACCACTGCTGTCTTTATTAAGACTTGAAAACAATGCCAAAGTCAATTGTCGTCACTTACAGCATACACTCTTCATCCACACTTTTTCTTTTCGTTATCGGCTTTCTGAATGAAATTGTTTTTTCCAACTCGTGCCTTTCAATCCATCGATCAACAATCAATTGAAGTTCATTTTTGGTAGCAAGCAGTAATGAGGTCTTTCCATCATCAGTCGTTGGAATATCCTATTAATATAATTATAAGTAATATATGTTATCTCTAGTTATCTTGAAGTATACATGATTATTTTGATATAATGGGAGAACTATCCATTCATCAAGTGTCGTTTGTTCCGGCCTCGTGCTTGACAAATAGCGAATCGAAATGTTCTTTATCAGCTTTGTGAAATCTATTGGGCCCGACTGAGGGACTCTCAATGGCTGGAAAGCATTTTTATCAAGTTTCTATCACTTTCATATAACAAATACCTCATACACCATTTGAAGTAGGCAATCACAAGCACCTTGATTACAATGACGCACACACTCTATACCTCATCTCATTAGCATAAATTGTAGCGTCTTATTGAAATTTAGCATATGACTTTTATTGATTTTTTGAGATGAAAAGAAAGTTTACCGCTGCTACCACAACCGGATGACACGTGAGCAATTTGTAAAATGGTGATAAATGACTATTACTGTAAGGATTAGGAGAACATTGTAATCACATTTTGGAATTTATTAGAAATCTTTACACACATTTGTTCTTTAATATTCTCATTACATTCTCAATGAATGTATAGGCAAGCTTTTCTTCCTTCGAACTCTCTTTTTGGCGGAGTCTTCTTTGACATCTCCATCTTCTATGGCTTTTTGATCTTCAATGCTATCGGCATCATATGGTGTGCCATAAACGAGCATATATCTGAAATTTACAATAACAAGCGTTGACGTCAATCTGTCAAACATACTTTCCATCTATCTCCAATTTGCACACTAAATCACCAGCAAAATGAACAGTTTGGGCAAAATCACCCAAAGCCACTACGCTCTCGAAGGGATGCTCAAACATTTCTTCGCTCTTAGCCTTAATTGATAAAACATATGTGAATCAGTTGTTCAGTAATTAGTGAACCTGAATCATATTAGCAATTTTTCCAATATTACACATATTGAAGTCAGGATCTGCTTTAACTTCCTCGACCGACTCTTCTACCAGATTATTAAGCATCAAGTTACAGCATACATATCCTACAGTTATAACATTTCGAAAGTGTCTTGGTCTTTTTACTCACCTGATGGATTGTGGAAGCAAGTGGGTAAGGGTACTTCTGACTTTGGTGGATAGTAGAACTTTGATGGCTTTTGGTCACTGTAAGGAGTTTTAACGTTGCGATCAATCTGGAAAATATTTTGTAACAAAGATATCATGATTGAGTAGAATTACATGAGACTTTTCACCAGGCTCTGATTTCTCGAGCAGCGGAGGAGGAGTTTCAAAGTCTTCTTTCTCTCTTAACTCTATCTCCTCTGAATCCTCTTCATTTGAGAACTATAAAACTTTGATTAAGTTTATAATTACTCGAATATATCAAACTTCATCATCAATGTCGTCGTCATCGGTGATTATATGTCTCGGGGAATCGTCAGGTTCTTCCTCTTCCTCAGCTGCTGGACCACCTTTTTTCTTCTTAGGTTTTTCTTTTTTCTCTGGCTTCTCTTTTTTATCCTTCTTATCTTTTTTATCCTTTAGCTCCTTCTTATTTTTTTTATCCTTCTTATCCTTTTTTTTCGTCTTGTCGGAATTCTTTTCTTTCTTTCCCTTCTTATTGGCATCATTCGGCTTTATCTTCTTGATTTTTAGAGCTTTTCCTAACTTCTTATCTTTCTTTCCTTTTCTACGGGATGGTTGTTCAACGGAATTTTCTTCTTCTTCTTTGTCTTCGTCTTCGTCATCATCAAGGTCTTCCTTTTCTTCTTCATCATCATCGCCGATTTCTTCTTCCACATCCTCCACATCTTCTACATATTCATCTTCTTCAACTTGTTCTTCATCTTCATTTTCTCCCTTTAACTTCTTCTGTTTTTTTCTTCCTTTCAGCTTCTCCTTCTTTTTTCCTTTCTTCTTCTCTGGATGCTTCTTTTTCTCTTTCTTTCCTTTGGCTTTTCCTTTTTTACTCAGAGCAGGAGTTTTCTCGTCTTCGGCTCCATCATAATCCTCTAAATCCAATCCGTCCCCCAAATCATCAGGGTCAATGTTTTCGTAGTCTTCTTCTGTTTCTCCGGCTTTGTTTGTTTTTTTCTTTTCAGCTTTTGGCTTTGGGGTCGTTTTCTAGAAAGAAAGTTTTCTCAAGTTTTGAAACTGACAAACCTTTTTGCCGTTCGTCAAGAAACCTTTAGTCTTCTTTAGTTTTTTTTTGATCTCTGGCTAAAATATGAATTGAAAGGCGGAATAGACGAAAGTAGGCTCACATCTGGTTCTTCTGGCGCTTCGGCATAGGCATCCTCATTGTCCTCATCGTATTCTGGGGGCTGCGTTGGGTATAAGTCATCAGTAGGTGGACCTTCGGGATAAGGGTTTTCGGAAGAGGGACGAGAAAGGTATGAGTTTTCAGAAGAAGGACGGGAAGGGTAAGTGTTTCCCGGAGAGGGCCGAGAGGGATAAGCATTTCCAGGAGGTGGACGGGAAGGATAAGTGTTTACGGGAGGTGGGCCGGAGTTATAACTGTTTGCTGGAGGAGGGCGAGGAATAGGAAGGATTTTGTTTTTTAAATTCTTATTTTTTCGGCCTACATCTTTAGGCTCAACGCCGTATTCTTCGTTAGATCTGCTGGTGTATTGATCCTCTTCATATTCTTCGTCGTCATCATCGTCGTTGTCGCTGTCGTCTTCGTCATTGTCGTCGTCGTCATCGTCGTCGTCGTCATCGTCGTCGTCGTCGTCTTCTACTCGTTTGCGTTTCTTACTTCTTCTTTTATCACTGGTATCTCGCGAGGAAACTTCTTCTTTTTCTAAATTTCCTCCTAAGTCAGTATCAATCGAATCGGGTTTCCCACTTATCTCATTAACCGATTCTGCTACGTACCTCTGCAAGATTTTACTTCAATATAAAAACTGGAGAGGTTCAACATACCGTTTCTCCTTTCCCAGCAAAGTCAATTACTCGTGTCTTGTCTGCTTCTCCTTGCATCACCCTATCCAGTATTTTTTGGGACTTTGGTGAAATTGTAGCATAACTATTGAGAGTAGCGTTGTTGGGTGGTAGAACGTACTCATTGGTAAGTCGCGTTGTTGTGATAGGCGGAGCAGTGTTTGCAGAAAAAGGTGCTACAGCATATTTTGAGGTAGGGTATGCCGGTGGAAATCTTCTCGTCGTAACTGCTGCCACCCATGTTGGTCTCGGTGTTGTTGGAGGTGTGAGGTGCATTGTTGTTGTTGTTCTGATAGGAACTGAAGGAGCTACAACTATAGGCGGAGGAGGCCGTGGAGGTGGAACTGGATGATGGGCTGGAGCATAAATTCCATTAGGCTGTACGGGTAAAGGGTTAACAGGAGGTGAATTGAACTTGGCATGCAACGGCGGAGTATGAGACGGATACGGAAGAATAGCCTGTCGAGTCTGCTTTGCTATAGATGCAGGCAATGGAATACTAGCGGGTGGAACCTGCCTTTGACGTGGTTGTGCAGCCTATATTCAATATACTTATATTTTAGAGAAATATATTTTCCTTACCGGCAATGGTTCAGGAAAAGCTCTTCTTAGATTTTTTCTCTGAACTTCTGTTTCCTGAAAAAAATAATTATTGAGAACGTTGATGTGAACGTACAGCTGTGAAAGATAATGCTGGGAGAGTTTCAAACTCGTCCCCAACAACAGCTCTCTCGAAAGAATCTATCGGATCTAAGTTGTATTCCTAAGAAACAACATTTTTCAAACAGCAATAATATGATCTTACCAATGTTTTTGATCCTTTTGCTACCGCTTTCCCTCTTTTGAGCTCACTATCGACAATCTTCTGAAAGTTCGAAGTACATCTTATATCCGTTTAGTGCTGCCTTTCTTACCGATCGTGTCGACTTAGTTGTTGTTTCTGCTTCCTCACTCGGAGGAATGTAATGTAATTTCGAATCAGAAGTTTGTTTTCGACGCAGATCGAATCCGTTCAACAGGTACTGCATCTGAAAAAATTTGAGTTAGTCAAGTTCGAATATATGAAAAGACATGGACTAAAGACCATGGGTTGCACATTGACTCCTCTGATTTGGAACTGATCTTCTTTCACCTTCACGCAGGAGCCATCAACTTTCCCTTTAGAATGCACGCAGTGAGAAATTTCTCTATGAGCAATTTGAAAATACCTGGATCACAAACTGAATAAGACTCCACAACAAGAGTGGATAAGATCAACAGAATGTACAAAACCATTGAATTCTGGAAGATTTTATCAAATATTAAGAGATTTTCTTGAAAAAAATGTGAACGAGGCATGAAACGACGGATAAAATGAATATGAGGCGATGTGAAAGTGGACATAGCAACTGTGATGACAGCGATGTACATGACAAGATCGTTGTCAACTTTCTACTGACCTGCCGATCTATGAACTGGTTACCTAAAAACTACGAGTTGAATTAGAAATAAGAATATAACAGACAGATTATATTGGTTAATTTGGACAGATAGTTTTGAATAAGAGCCGTCATATCATTGGCTACTTAATTGGTTACTTGTTTTTCTCTCTGAAGCTTTAACTGATCAGTAACATGACCTTAATAGGAGACAACTGAACCTTTTTTATGAAATCATCAGCACTTTTTCTTTAATTTCATCAAACATTTCTTAGTAACTAGTACATGTAGATAGAAATGATTTCCTTTTCTCAACCTTTTACCGACCCAGTATTGACGAGGATCTAGGATCTAGGAAGACATCCTATTAAAATCCTTAAATCTAATTATAATTGTTGTTCAAATCAAAAATTTTTCGTGTTCCATTGATTAGTCAGCCATCAATAATCAGTATATTCTGGTTATTTTCAACTTTCACTCTCAGAAAAATAATAGAATGAGAAAGATTTTTTATTATATGTATATCTCTATCTATGAAGATGATTTTCTTACAAGTCACATAATGTAGTTCTAAAGTTCTTTTTGAGAAATTGGTTTGTAGTCCTGGAACTCAACGTGATCAATCTTTGATACAATCTGAATGAAAATCATTATTGGATAAAAGCAATATGTTCCTCACTCTGGTAATGAAGTCATAATCTCCAGGTGTCTCGAAGTAATCTCCATCAGCAAACAACTCAGAATCACGAACTTGGTTCCAAACTTTCAATCTGAGGATGAGACCTGTAAAAGTATTAAAAATTGCTTAATCTTTGATAGCTGCTTCAAACCAGTGATAGCTCCAGACACGATGGCTCCAACAAGAACGATTCCGAGTCCAATAAGTTGGTGAAGAGCCTGAGTGGAAACGTCGAATCCATTCTCGTTACTGCTACTTTTGAGTCCAGGGTAGATAGAGTTCAAGCTTTAAAAAACATGTACTTCGTCGTAACTAAGAGAGATTACCTTCTTCCATAGGAGGCAGGATCATAATAAAGAACGAAGACGGCGGAGAAGAGACCAGCAAGAACTCCTGGCATTCCATGGAGGTTATGGACACCACAGGTATCGTGGAATCCTTTACCATTAAGGAAGGGCTGTAACATATTGTCTATGAGAGACAGAGATGAAGAAAAAGAGTCTTACAGTGAAAAATCTATATCCAAGAACGGAAATAGCTCCAGCAATGACTCCAACAATCATTGCGTGAACAGGACTAAGAACTACATTAGCTGTGGTTCCAATGGCAACTCCTCCAGCGAGGGTTGAGTTAGCAATGTGAACCATGTCGAATTTTTTCTTTAAAACCAATGTTTACTTTACATAAATCAGTTGATATACTTACGTGATGTTCGGTAGCTTGCGAAACAAGGAAGGTTGTGATGGTACAGGCAACCAATGAGAGGAAAGTATTGGCGACAGCTCTTTGACGAGCATCAGCGGGATCGGCAACAGCAGCATTGAATGAAGGCCAGAACACCCAGAGGAAAATAGCTCCTATAATGCATATATAGAACATCGTTTTGTTTTCTGTATTTCTACCAATCATAGCGAAAATATCGGTGTGATAAACAGATCCTTCGTTTTCACTTTCAAGATGGGCTTTCTTGCCAAAAGCTTTGGAGCAAGCGAGACCAAAGTAAGCTCCGAAAGCGTGAACGATGATGGACCCTCCAACATCATTAACCTAACATATAAGATACTCAATGAAAAGTCCTTTCTAGCAGTTCCTTACATGGAAGCTATGAACCACGTGATGTTCAATGAAGAGAGCGACTGGGGTTTCGATGAAGGCCATAAGAAGATATTGGACGGGAGAAAGTTTTCCTAGCATTGCACCCATTGAGATAAGAACAACGGCAGCAGCGAAATCAGCAGTTAGAAGTCTTCAAATGCTTTTTTTTTCACGTGTACTGCTCAAAACGATCTTACTGTTCGAGCCCAATAGAGAATTTTCCATCATGTTGGAATTCATGGCTGAGGAATCCTCTAACCAACATTCCCCATTCGATGGTGAAACAGGCCAAGAGAAGATTAACCGACACAGCTGAGAATCCGTAACGCTGAAAGAACATACCATTGTTTATTGAGTATCATTTTTGTTTGTTTTACTTTAAGGAAAGTCATCAAAAATCCGAAACCAATGAAAATCATAACATGAACATCTTGGAACACTGAAAAGATTTGATGTAATTGAGTTTGTTTTCTCGTCTATTGTGTGCTCTTTCAGTTTTCCAAAGATCAGAGTGTTGCACGTAAAACCGAAAGATGATTCTAGAGATTATTTCAACGAGGAACAAAAACGAGGGCTCTCTTGTTTGTTTTGTTTCCAAATAACTGACTTGGATATTGACTGTTCATCTTTGGTTGGACTTCAGGACCGTTTGGCATTGTATTTTCATCATACTTGGCAAAGAGTCCGAATAACACCATAAACGCCACCTAAGATAACTTCGATGAAAGCCTAACTTTCAGTGAATCAAGTACCTGGAACAATACCACCAGGACGGTAAATTGATTCTTCTGGAAAGCAGAAGACATCCTGACGTCCCTGAAAAAGAAATGAAGTGAGCTACATTTAAAGAAGAAGTAAAAAAAGGCAATGAAACTGAGTAGTCCTCGGTATGAATAAAAGAACGCAACAACTGGTTCGATAATCACAAACTGAATTTTGAAACGGAGGAGAGTCAACCAGAGAATCGAAAGGAAAAAAGAAGCAATGAAAAGTTGGTTGTAACATAGCGATATCATTTGAATTCTCTTTACGGTAATTTACAAGTCGTGAATGTAACTGAGAGAGAGATAGTTTAGAATGAGAAAAAAAGGAAAAAATAATAAACTGTTGCACGATTTATGCCGCTAGATAATGTCCGTCAGTAAAACTGTCCTTCTCGCAACAGTTCTAAAATTGAAAGAGAGGGAATGTGAGAAGAAGAGAGAGAATGAGAAGCCTGAAAAGCCTTTAAATTCTTTTCTTCACTTATGCTATCTTATCAGTCTTCAAAATAAAAAAAGTAAGAATCTTCGAAGATATTTGAAGAAGAATGTCTTTCGCTAGAAAGAGAGGGTCGAAACAGTAGTCACTTGAGGATGTTCTTTCAGTTATTATTAAAACTGAAAGGCAATTTCTATTGATAAAACCAGAAGAATAAGCCTCACGTTTTCTTATCAAGCAGCCGTTAAATTTCTCAGATTAACAACTAAACATTTGCTTTGAAGGTTTTATAAACGGTTATTGGATTGATAAGTTTTGCTGATTTTGTTGGAAAAGAAATAAACTTTACAATGATCAAGAAGTGGGTTTAGAGCCTGGCTGATGACAATGCAACGATCACAACATTCTGATCAAGGATGAATGTCTGAGTGAGAATCAGGAGGTGTTAAGTTTCTTAAGATTATCACTTATTGAGAAGATTATCAAAAGCTTTTTATGATCAGTAATATATAAATCAAAAGTTCAAATAGCCCCAAATACAATCGTGACTATTCTTATGGAAATATGCGTTTTATCATTTCTGCTCAACAGACGATCACATAATATTCTCAAAAATTACACTGAATTCACAGAAAAGACAATTAAAAGGTTTTTTTGTAATCCTTCAGGCACCTAGAGGAGATATGCAAAAGATATTTCAGTTTTTTTCCCCTCACATTGAAAGCTCATTCGCTGTACACAATATGTAGAACTTTTAAAAACGCTTGTTCTGATGCCATCAAGCAGTTCGTCAGAGTTCAAACGGAAATCACGTTTTTTTCCTCTTAATTCGAAGAGAAGTATCTTCATTCTCGGAGTCAATCTCTCGTTGGTATTGTTTGGTCACTCGCAGAAAGCCTCCTGTACGAAAATTCGCCTTCGAAACGTCGCTCATGTCCTGCTTTTTCTATTTCCAAGATCGGAAAGTCAAGCAAGATGACAAATGGCGACAATCAAAGTTATCGACAGGTCACATTGTGTAATTTTCTGTTTCTTTTTTTCTCTTTAATTGTACGACAAGAGTATATGAAAGTAAAATGCATAAATCTTCAAGTTTTCCATCTTTCTCTCTTTGTGATCTTTTCAATATCTTAACTTTTTCATATTATAGACACTTCACCTGTCTCATTCTCAAACATTTCAGGCTTCTTGCCTTCTAGAATGCAAAAAAAAAACTGAAGGATAGAGAGTGTGTTCAAACCATCAAAAGTATAATTAACCAAACATCATCGCAGTCATAATATTCTGATTTGATGATGGAAAAGGAAAGAAGAAAGTGATTGCAATCAGACAGCAGAAAGAGAGATCGTTGAAGTTGAAGACATGTTGACATATATGCCATAGGTGTCAAACATGTGGTTGTAAAAAAATCTATTTCTTTGTTACTCACTTTTTATGACACTTCTTTTGTATGGAGGACCATCTTGTAAATAAGAGTAAATCCTTCCCTTGCTCACATAAAATTTCAAGAAAACTTTCCACAATTTGGGTGGAAACTAAAAAAAACTTTCGTCTTTGATTAATGATGGGATTTGGTTCGCTTAGCGCAAAAAAAAAGTTCACACAATTCAGTTTTTTTCAGAGTCACATGTTTGTCTTGACTACTTTTTGATCTCTTAGATCAAAATGAAACAATTGAGAATGACTACTTACGGGGTTGGATTATACTTAGCTATACCATTCTTTAGTTCAAACTGTTCAACTCCATTCTTGATGAAGACACCATTTCGCTCTGCAATTGCTTCTAGTTTTCTAAATCTTTCAAATTGTTAACATACCACCGAGAGAGTTACTGCGTTGTTGAAGCTCACTGTTGTCCTGAGATTTGGGATTCAAATGAATTTCAACACGATGATCACGAGAAGAGAATGATGAGTCCGTCATTTAACTAGAAAGAGAAAAAAGGTGGCACATTTTCAACAGAATTGTTAATTAAGAAAGGTCATGAAACACAGAGAGCTAGTTGATCTTTGCGAGCATTCAACCTATTGAAACAACAAGTTGGAAACAAATGTGAAACAGAATCGTATTTGAAATCATTATTTACATTAACTAGCTCTCCTCATATCAATTTAATTTTGTTGAAACTTATCAAATATATACCAAACGGTTTTTCGTTAAAGAAAGTTACGTAGAAATCACAATTGAACGCCAAAAATCTACTCGAAGTAATTGAAAAACAGACTGAACTTAAGTATTCCAAATAGGGATAAAGTTGAAAGTTCTCAAACAGGAATGTGAAACAACTTGTTTCTTATTTTTTTTGTAAAGATTGTAATCCCTCATGAATACTACTTAGACTGTTTATACTTGAACCATCCTCAGCACGTAGCAAAGTATCTTTCCAAAATGAACAATATGCGAACACATTTCAATCGAACATCTTACAAGCGCATACTATACAGGGAAACAATATTTTTTGAAAGAATTTCTAAAGGTTAAGAATGAACTCGAACAATTCTTTCAGTTAAGAGAACGATTGCTGATGTTACAATACTGAGTACTTCTTCGAAATTTACGATTCTACGCAATTTTACTGTCACCTTAATTATGGTATCTCTTTCTTCCATCTTCATCAATTATGGTCATCACACTTCACGATTTGTGTTTTAAACTTTTTTTTTCTATTATTTTAACATTCCTTTCAGATCAAAAAATCATAAAGCTATAGAGACGGTTATTATCATTGTTCGTTTATAATTCAGATGAGTTGTTCCATCATATTCCTTCCCCTGTCACATGAAACAATTAATGACTCTAATTTAATTACAGCAAGTTATATTCATTTGGTAATTTAACAGAAAACAAAAATTTCAATTATGGCCAAAGCAAGGTAATAGCTGTCGCGAATCGTATACATACATTCTTACAAGTATAATTAAATTATCAACTTTTCACCAATCTCCTCCTCCATAATCATCTCCGCCGCCAAAGTCACCTCCTCCGAAGTCACCTCCTCCATAGTCGCCACCGCCATAGTCGTCGCCACCACCACCATATCCATCATAGTCATTATTAGCATATGAGCTATATGGATCGTATCCTATAATTTTACATTTTAGACACGAACGCGAATGATTCGAAATCAGTTGTTGAACACCACAGCACCACACAACGACAATTTTTTTAGATTTCACACAATTTTTCACAAGCACAAGAACACAACTCATTGCCGCTAATTATTACCAGAATAATCTCCAACAGGTTCACCCCCGTTATCATTATTGTCTTGATAATCATAGTTTTGATCGTCATAATTCTGATCATCGCCGTATCTCTCTCCGTCGCCCTCGTAATCTCCAGCTAAAAATATAGTTTGAAAGTCCTCACTCCCTCATCGAATGTCATGAAAAAAACCAAACGAATTTCTCACCTCCATTGTTGGAATTTGAATACTGATTATCGTCGTAGGCATTATAATTGTCATTGGTATGTGTATCCTATAATACTAACATGATAAAATCGCAGCTAATCAAAACCGAAGTTAGCAACCGATCTTTAGATTCACAAATTCGAAAATGAGAAATACTGTTTCACGAGTTATCGTGAAAACATATACGCTATTCAAATCAGAAAAACATACCTGAGTGTCAGTGGCTGTTTCCGCGGCTGGTTGCGCGGGCTCTACGGCAGGCGTCGTTGTGCTCGTAGTATCTCTGTTTTCTGTGGTTGTTGTACTACTTGGATTATTCGGATCGTTATTATAGTAATAATTATTTGTGACATTAGTGTCATTATCCTAAATGCAACAACTAATTAAATATTTCAAGTTATAATTTTACCGAGTAGTAACCTCCACCCGAAGGGTAGCCACCGCCATACGATGAACCGAAATGACTTCCAAAACCGCCACCACCACCGAATAAACTACTATGGCCGCCCCACATGGAGCCCATGCCGTATCCAAGAAGAGATCCTGCTAGTAAGCCTGTACCGAAGCCAGGACCACTGGAACTACTGCCGCCTCCATAACCACCTCCTCCACCGTATCCTCCGCCTGATGAATATTGATAAGTACACATTCAATTGAAATTAAAATCACCTCCTCGATCAACAATAACTGTGGTATGAGGCGTAGGCCCTTGGTATCCACCTTGATAGCCGCCTTGGTATCCTCCATTATATCCGCCACTGGGATATCCACCACCTCCACTGGGATATCCACCACCTCCACTAGGATATCCACCATATCCAGCAGGCTGAGGATGAGGATGAGGTTGAGGTTGGGGTTGAGGCCTTGGATAGGAAGGTTGAGGCTGCGGTTGACCACCTCCAGGACCACTAGGGTATGGTGGAGGCCCTTGTCCTCCGTGGGGATTTTGATCGTCTTCTTTCGCGGGGGGGACTGAGAAAAAAAATTGGAACAGCAAGAAAAAATAAAGTACCGAAAGATCCATCGGATGGAGCTGAAGGTTGCGCAGGTTGAGGAGGTGGATTAGGTTTTGGTAAAGTTTTGGTAATTTCTAAGAACCAGGACCTGAAAACAGCATAATAACAGAATAACTGAAAAATACTTACTCAATGTCAGAGTCAGAGGAAAACAAAATCCAATACACGTTATCAGCTCTCGGGTCAGTGCCTATTCCTACAAGATGATGCACGGAAGAACCATGGGGTAAGTTAGGTCTTTTCACTGAGAACACAAAAATTGAAAAAAAAAAACACTGCGATGGCTACCTGGCATTCGATCAGTCATAAGTCCGACACAAATATAAGGTACAACATCTCTGAGAAGGACAGAGCCCTTAGGTTTATTGCTTCCCTAAAGATAAAGAAAAATAAAGAGAACATAAGAGTACAAACCTTCTCTTCATACCAACAAAACCGACTATCTGAGAACAAAACTCCATGAAACTTCTTCCATTTACTAGTTAGTCCGAGAAATCCACTCGAATATTTGAGAATTTCTCCCTCTTTAAGCTTTCTTATATCCATTGCTAGAATACATATCGATTAGGGAAACATATGCTTAGAAAAAAACGGCAACCAAACGCTCAATTGAAAACCTATTTCTAACCAACATACAAGTACCCAGCAAAAATAGTTTTAATGACCAAGCATACATAACATCAATAAGACTACATTGAATGCAAAACTATTAATTCGGAGTCAATGCTATGAATGGTAAGTATGAGAATTGAAAACGAATATCATGATATTTGGCATCAAGCAACGAGAGCAATGGGTGAAAAATCAATTGGCTTTATTGGATTGAGTTATTTTCGACACAGTAAAATGCAAAACAGCAAACTTCATTTGAACTTGATGTGGTGAGTCATAGGTTACAACTGATATTGTGATTTAAACAATGAAAAACAGTGAGAAGTTCTTTAGAAATGATTCGCGGGTGAAATCAATGTGAGTCAGTCTTTGAGAGAAGCAGCAAAATTGACAGAACAATAACACGTGATGTCAAACCCTATTCACACGTGACTATAGTGAGTGCATGTAAGAGAATCCTCATTTTTTAAGTTAACCCACCGACGGCATTTCCTGATGGCCCACAATCACAAAACATATCCAAAAATGGTGGGGATTCCACAAGCACAAATGATTAAAAAGGAGATTTTGTGAGCAAGTTGGAGAAGGTGTGTTGTTGCTAAGCAACTATACAACATGAGCTTTCGTTTCCTATTTTTCAGCTTTTCATACAGACCCACATTGAATCTCCATAGACCTCATCATGTTGTTACATCGATTGAACAAGAAAACAAATAGAAGGAAATGTGTTTAAAGAAGAGCATTGTAAGCAGAATAACATAGAGAATCATTCAATAACGATGGGTTTTAGAACATTGGAGACAAAAGTTGTTTATTGAAATACTATATATGAAATTAGTCTATTATCGCCAATATTTAAAACTGGAGGAGAAAAATCGATGATGAAACAACATTGTCTATACGATGCTGTTGGCTAGGGGGGGGAGGCAGGGTTGGGCTAATAGCGAGGGGATGAATCAGAGAAACAGAGCCAAAACATATAAACACATGAAATGGCACACAGTGTCTCTGATATGGATGGATACCATTCTCTGCGGATCAAATCCTTCAATAGAGGAAATTTCAGATTTCTATCTGAAGCAATGAAAGACAATGAGAAACGAAATGAGTTCTGAAGATTGCATGAAGCTTCAACTTCCTAAGAGTTTAGTGAAACAGACAAAGGACATCTGCAAATAATAAGTTTCCTTGAATGCTGGATACTATTGATTTCTTCATTCGTTACGGAATGGAACTGGAGATTTGGTTTTCAGAGATAAGATTACGCATTCTCATGAACTCTTTTGTCTATTTATCAATTCGTTTCTTTGAAGTGAACTGTTCGAGTGTTTCCCAACAAATTTTTCAAAGCCTTGTTTTTCTCATCCAAAAACCGATGATAAAGTACCATCAATATGAGATTCGACCTGAAACGATTCAGACTTCTGAAGTTTTTGCAAAGGAAACATACGTCGTGAAGACTGCAAAGAAAATAACAATCGTTAAAGACATCCACATAAACTTAGCACCAGTTATACTGAGTAAAGTAATAGAAAAACTCATTAAAACATATACGCCTATGTGGAGAGCAAGAACAACCATCTGAGGAATGATTAAACACATCTTTGTAACCTAAATGTAATGGTTTATTCAATTCAAAAAAATCTGTAAACAACCTGAACTCCAAAAATTGTCATGATTATAGAAGCTAGATGAATGAAGTGAAAGATACACCAGGCTGATGCAGCTATTCGGTAGCATAACCAGTACAGAGTAGGGTTAGCTCTTCGCAAGTACTGAAAGAAATTGATCAGGAAACTTGAACTGGAACAAGCTTACTGTCAGAAACTGCCTATACAGTACGGATTGCTCATGCCAATCTATATATAAAAGCAGCAGTATACCTACAGCAATTCCGAGCAAGCAGATTAGCATGCTTATCGTACAATGGATGTAAATCCATGTCTATAAAGCTGAAATATTAAACAAAGTGAATAGTTTAGTCACCTGAATGTGTAGTTTGCAATACCTATGTGATTTCTCCGTCTCTATGATATTCGAGAAAGGGGGTTGAAACATTTGATACTTAAAATTCCAAGAAAACAATCATAAAAACCTATTTGTTGAAATATTGAGTAAAGGAGCGGATATATAGCAAACTTAGTTCCCAAGTCTGAAGATGTGACAGCGAACAGCTGACCTATTCTCAGAGAATGAATTTTATTATTTGCATCCTTGTCTTATGATTGCTGTTAAAGAAAGTTCCTATCCTCAACAGTTCATATTCGGATGATAGTTTCAACTTCCTCTACATTTAACTGATGCTTTTGAGTTCGTAAGCACACTTAGAAGCAGCGACGGTTCATGATAATTTAAGATGAACGAGACAGGATACAACCGTTCCTCACTAAGAACACGTGAAAATGAGAATAGACGCCCATGGCAAAGTGGAAACTTATTCATGCTAGTAGAGAACATCCTATAGAATGACCATTGAATCTAGACAGAGAATTGAAAAAAAAATGTTTTATTTCAAAAAACAGGTGTAACATTGAATATTCATAGAATGTCAAACATGTATCTGTCATACAATTAAACTGCTTACCAGAATTAAAAAATTAAGTTTCACAATGATTACTCTTATAATGGGGCTAACAGGGACATACAGGGTTTTTAACTTAAAACAGGCACAATTCGATCACTCCCCTAAGAAGTACGGTATTCTTTTGGATACGCAACTGCGTAGCTTTGAATATTCCCGAAGATTCAAGAGAAGGCGCATTTCATACTTGCTCCTGCTTCTATTCATCTTTTTTTAGAGGTTCTATTTTTTCATCATGGCTAAGTGGGGAGAAGGTGATCCACGATGGATTGTCGAGGAAAGAGCGGATGCTACAAACGTTAATAACTGGCATTGGTACGTTTCTCCCGATCATGTATTCTTCATTTTTCTAATTCAGGACCGAGAAAAACGCAACTGGTTGGTCCAAAAATCGCCTCAAGGAACTACTCCATGAATTGAAAATTGAGGTACACTCTAATTTTGTTTCTATTGATGTTTCGATGTTTAGGATGGTCCTGTTGTTGTTACTTTGGGTGAGATAACAAAATGCGAAGGAGAAGCTACTGCTAACAATAGAAAAGCTAAGCTAATTTTCCTGTTCGAGTGGGAAATGAAAATTGATTTTGTTGGTTTGTTGATCATCCGTAGATTTTGTCTCATAAGATGTTTCAGCTAGAATCAGTGGTTCCGAAATCGAATACAAAGGAAATGCTGAGATTCCTAATCTCAGTGACGAGAATGAAGCTCATGAAGTTGATGTATGTTTTCATAAATTAGGCTGTTCATAACCTATTCTAGGTTAATTTCTCAATCACCACAAAGGGTCCCCACGATGCTCAAATTAGAACCTTCCTTCACAAATTTGGAGTTCCCAGAATGCAGGAGAAGCTAGGAGAATATATTAAAGAACTGAAGCAAGAGTACAGCAAGGGTATTATTCTTCCCACAGATCAAGTTAAACCACAGGTATGTAATAAAGTGATAAACGAGGTGTGAATTTTTTTGAAGATTGTAACAAAGGGTAGAACTACTACTGTTGATAAAAAGTCTTTCCAAAATACTGTAGTCGTTGAGAAGAAGGAGGAGAAATCCAGTAAGCCTCTCCAAATTGCATTTTCGTTTACGATTGTTACGATATTGCAGATGAGATATTCGATGTTAAGAATGTTTCTGTACAGGATTCTTTCAAGATTCCACCTGAACGTTTGTTCGAATGCTTGTCTCAGCCTGAGGTATGTACTTCTTATGGTCATTTGTATGAGTTCTTTGCAGCTTGTGCGTGTATGGGCCAATGGAAACGTTGACTGGGATTTCAAGGAAGGAGGTAACTTCGCTCTTTTCGGAGGAAATGTTACTGGGTCTTTCAACAAAATCGTGAGTCGTTTTTTCTTTCACAAGAGGCAACAAGTTATTCAGGAAACCAACAAATTGATTGACGTGAAATGGAGACTAAAGTCCTATCCATCCGGACATTATGCTAACATTAAGTTCATACTAGCAGATGAGGTATTTTCATAAAATGAAATGCATTATTACTTTATGCTCCAGGGAGATGCCTCTAAGCTTACTTTACAAGCTACTGGTGTTCCTTCTCATCTCTCAGATGACACAGAAAACGGGCTTCAAAGGTGAGACAAGTTGAGTCATGTGTAACTGATCGTTTCTTGTAGATATTATTTGCAAAGTATTGCTAGGACTTTCGGTTTTGGAGCTCGCATTTGTTGAGGAAGCAAGCTAATATCCTTCTGTTCCTCTTCAGGACCTTTGGTTCCTATGATTCTTGATCAAGCTTTTCAAGGATGACGTTCTCGAATGATTTTCCTATTTGTTTTCCTGATTGTTAATGTTTTTCATTCAAACTCTGATCTGCTAAAGAGACAATAATTGTTGTTTCAACTTTTTTTAGTAATAAATAGTTTTTCTCTCTCGTGTTATCGTTTGTTAGAGACAACTGTAGAAGCGGAGGAGCGGGGCGTGGTTGCACGATGTTTACAAGCGTCAACTGATCATCTTCGGAGACAAAAATTGAACACTCGAGCTTACTGGTGATCAGCTGATTTCTGGCATGCTTCTTAAAAGCATACAAACTATCGCTTGTTCTTTATTTTCTGATGTTTTTAACTCTTGAATTATGTCAACGTATACCTCTATCGATTTCCCATGCCATGTTTTGCTTAACATACTTTTTTCTCAGAGGATTGAAGGAGTTACATGAGAGCCAATAGTGCTTCCTCATTTGGCTCCTCTTCGTCATTCAAATTAGATGACGATGGTACTAAATCTCCACTAGAGGATCATGAAGACTTACAGGATTATAAAAATAATTTAATAAAATATGGGAAAAGTTTCTCAACAAGATTAATTCAGGTAAATTGATATATAGATCATTGGTTCGAGACGGTCCCTATATATTCTTTATAATCAGGTGCTTGTTCAATCACGAACCGCTGAACGATATTCTCACTCCTGCTCTGTGGAAGGTCCACTACAATGGTTCAACTTACATCTCGACGAGTTAGGAGAAGTCACTGCATTTATAAAGAGTTTGAAGATTACGTAAGTTTGCTGCTCTGTGCTGTTCACCTTTTTTTTTCAAGTGATTTTCCGCCTGCTGTACCACAATTATCAATTGATTTTTTTCTGTATACATGTGACCACGAGACATTACCGTTAGAAACATGGTTAGTGCATTTGTGTGACTGATGATACTATTAATCGTTTTGTAGGTCTTTTCTGGTTGATGGGAATGATCCTAAGAATGGTACACCTCAGTGTCCGGTTAACACTCATCATTCAGCTTTTTATCATCAGCTGAGTACTCTTTTACGAAGTGCAATGGTAGCTGCACGAATGACGCCCTTACATCGGTTTGTTGGTGTCAGTCCTTTCAATTCTATGAATCGATTTGCAGTTATTACGTTAAGAAGCAAAGCGCTGAAACATTTGTTGTATTGTATAGAATTGTCAGTGGCCCTTCCACGATTGATATTGGGAGGGATGCAAAGAAAATTCGTCTGGGCAATCTGAGTTCTTACATTGGATCATGGAAGCTCGATTTATCATATAGGTATAATGTTGAAGAAGGCTTCACAACAGTTGTTAGTTCAGGACTCGAATGGAAATTGAACCTTCCAATAGTCATGTTATGGACGGAGCAGATTCTTTTCAAAGAGTTCGAAAATGACAAGTTCCATTTTTAATATTTGCGTTCAGATTGGTTCTCCTGGTAGCACACCTGAATCGTTCAAAATGCAAATTGGTTCTCCATCATCGTTCGGTGGCATAAGTCATTTTAGCACAAGTCCTGTATGTTTTTCACACTCATTGTTGAATTGTGTTCCGTACTTTAGTCCACAAGTTCTCCGATCGAGTTCTCCCCTATACAAGATAATATCATACAGTCAAGGATGCAAGCTTCTAATTCCACTCCGACTGTTAAGCCAACAAGGTTGAATTTAGATATACAGTTTTTTGAATTTTTTATCGATTTAAGATCGCGTTCAACATCCCTGGCAAGCGATTCTGAAGAAATAGCTAGTGAAAGTCCTCACGAAATGCGTCGAAGCGTGGTATTTTCTTTCGTTCCTCTTTTTAATCCCGTTGTTCATACAGACTATTCCTAAGAATATGCCATTTGCCAACTTATTGATTTTATCATATTCCGGAACCCTTTTCCCTCTTATGGAAGGCACAAACGAGCAAGGTAAAGAGTAAATTGTTTTTGTAAAGTCATAAATGTGTTTTGTAGATGACGATAACGCCACTGCGTTGAATACTTCCAACAGAACTGTCGTTGGTAAATCTTCTCTACTGGATGACGACATGGAGAACTCATTGGAAGATAGATCGCGGAAAAATACGATAGGTATTATAAACTTGCTTTTCCATTTGAATATATTATTTTACAGTGGAGATGAAGCGGCCTAAAGATCTTAATCTGAAAAATCTCCATACACCAAAGAAGAGTGAAGATGTTGATGAGGACGCGAAATTGGCATTAGACAAAACAGATGAACATAACACCAATGCCGTGGAGAAAGAGAGAGAATCAGATTCAGATTCTTTGGAAGAAACGTGTTCAACACCGACATTGAACTCTCAAGTCGAAGAGAGATTAGCTCGAAAAGAAACTGATGTACCTTCCAACGAGGCGCAAGAAGATGAACCTTCAAGTGAAGAGAACGTAGACAATACAACTCCCACGCCATCAGCTGTTATATTGAATCTGAAAACTGAGCTTTCACCAGATGATGCTCTTCAAGACGTAGTTTTCAAAATGGGTTCGTCTTGTTGTTTGAAAAACTCAACCGAAGGAGAGGAACAAGGGAACGCCTTGGCTGGAAATAAAAAACGGGTCACTGTTAAGCTTGAGCCTGAACATTTTGAGAAGGATGAACAGTCTGAAGAAGCAAGCGGTGAAGATGTGGACGAAGATGATTCGTTCGTTAAGGTAAACTATTCTGAACTGAACGTTAATCATATCATCCTTCAGATACCTCCATTCCATATGCAATTCAATCGTGATGAAGACAATCTGGCTTCGCTTCTTGTAGACTGCAAAGAGCCACCGAGTTTATCTTCTTTCGAACCAGTAGATTTTTCACAAATTAAAGAAGAAGTAAGTGCAAAGGAACCAATTTCTAAACCTTCTTCCAATTTCAGTTGGATTTTTTGTCATTAAATCAGGGATTATTTGACCGATTCATATCTGAAATACGGGAAGGAAATATGGATGAGAGCCCTTAAACTGTATAAACGTATTCTTTCTACCTCTAAGCTTTTCAGCTTCTAGTATTAGCTCAATAGGTTTTACCAATTTGTATGTACTGTACATAAAACTCTTAGGCGTCTTGCCAAGTTTAGACTGTTTTCCTGTCACTTCTTCAATTTTAAATTAATGAATATGGGTATGCATTTGTTCAAAGTACCTTGGCGTATATTTCGCTATATTTTGTCTTTTTTTGTGTATGTGGTCATTGTAATTAAAGCTTTCAGAATGAACTCTTTACGATTTTTTAAACGTTTCGCTTCTCAGTTTGCAGGGGCTAGTGAAAAAGCCAAATATGTACCTCGCAGGTCTCTCTTGTATGTTCCTGCTAGTAACCAAAAAATGCTTGACAAGCTCCCAGCTTTGAAGGTGCGATATGCAATTAGAATTTTATATTAAGTGTATATTCCTAAAAAAAAAGATGGTTGGAAAATTTCAATATGTTATTCTTTATGTTACCAGACGGTTTACCAAACATAACATATCTTTAAGGCCGACTCAGTTGTCATTGAGTTAGAAGATGGTGTGGCGCTCACAGCAAAGGCGAAAGCTCGACAAAATGCAGTAATAGCCCTAGATAATCTTGAAGGCAAAAATTTATCAGCTTTCGAGCTAGGTCTCAGAGTAAACTCTGTTTCGAGTGGGTTGTTGGAAGACGACGTCAAAGTTAGTTCCTCTTAAATTCTAGTTGTGAGCTTTTGTTTTAAGATTCTATCAACGGCGAAAGCTCTTCCGCAGGCTTTCATGGTTCCTAAAATAGACTCCCCAGAGGATCTAGCTTCAGTATATGATATTTTCAAAACACATTATGGTTCTGACAGAATTCATAATACGGTTAGTAGTTTGTGTAGCGCTTACAAGTTGTCCACTGTATCCTTTTAGAATACCCGTTTGGTGATTTGGATTGAATCAGCCAGGGCCATGCTCGATATGCCAAGAATTTTGTCTTCAGCTTTGAACCTTTACCGAAACTCTGGTTTTTTCAAACTAGATGCTGTTGTGTTTGGCTCAGATGATTATTGTGCTGACATTGGAGCAACAAGAACTGCTGAGGGTAGAGAAGTTCTTTGGGCTCGACAAAAATTCGTTGCTTGCTGTAAAGCCTTTCATTTGCAAGCAATAGATAGGTGAGATTAGATATGTTGAAAGGAAAACATTTTATGTTTTCATAGTGTTTATATTGATATAAAAGATTTGGAGGGGCTCAAGGTGTTTTCTGAAGAAGGTAACAATAGCCAAAATTCAGAAAAATAAATGCCTTTTTAGGAAGATCGTGGGGGTTCACTGGAAAACAAACCATACATCCTAGTCAAGTATGGTCATAGCGATAATTCCTAGATATGGTTCTTCATTTTAGGTAGAAATAGTCAACAATGCTTTCATGCCATCAGTAGAGAGAGTTGAATGGGCGACGGAATTAGTACACGCTTTCAGTCAACACCAACAAGAGGGCAAAGGAGCATTCCAGGTGTTTCCCATTTTTTCTTCTCTTGATTAACCAGCTAGTTCAGTTCCGAGGACAAATGATTGACCGGCCTCTACTTCTACAAGCGTTGAACATAATTCAGTTAGTGGAAAGAGTTTCCAAATGATTCAAATTAAATAGGAAAATTATTTTATGACTGTATTTAAATATAAAATTTATTTTAACTTGTTTTCTTCCTGATCAAGATTTTTCATTTCTAACACTCGGGATCGATTCAGTACCGCAAGATAAATAAGTGTAAGCTTCATTTCCGAGGCAAGTCCTGAAATTATTGGAAAAAAAATTAAACCCGTGCTTACAACATGTACAGTGACACGTTTTCACGTGTCGCGTTTTCACGTACGTGACCTTTCATTTACACTTACTTACTCATCGATGTTGGCTGTTCTTTCAACGATATGCCTGATTTTAGGAGGACTACTTCTGTGCGCAAAAAACAACATTGGAAAACGTAATGACTTGCAGAATCTAGAATCCTCACCAATAATCTTTGCAGATAAGTGTGACTTAATATCTGGATCAGTGTCAGACAAAGTAACCGACTTTTCGAATGTTCAAAGCAGTGCCACAGCTCCAACACCTTCCTCCGCTACTAACAATTCTCAGTTTGAGTATTCCGGAATAGCGGATCGGAGCTCGAAAAAAGAGAAAACTAATTTACGATCCGATGTTGACCATAATAATAATGAAAAGCATTCAAGCGTACGAAAAGTCTTTTCCGATGAAGGTGGTCGTCAGTATGGCAGTAATGCAAATGCTCCTTCCATTTCAGATACTCCAATAATGAAAGTTGATAATTCCCGAAAATCTATAGAGTCATCTAAGCATGAAAACGTTATACAAATAGCTTTAGGTAATATATAGCTTCGTAAAATTTCACAATTGTTTTCAGCAGCAGTGCCTGAGGTTAATTTTGTTGAGAATGCAGATGATGAGGTTGAATTGTTTATGTTGTGTTCATGTTGAGATCTATGTTTTACAGGAAGAAACAGACGACACTATGTTTGATGTGGCTTCTATCAAAACGGATCCTCCAACTCCTTTACTTACTCCATTAGGGGGTGAAAAATATGATCTCGCTAACCCCAGTAATAACTTAGATGAGACGATGTGTTAAAAAACGCAGTAAGCTGAAATAAAATTCGAATTTTCATTTCAAATTGTTATGGAAAAAAAGAAATTGTTATCAATTCTCTAGAAATAGTTAAGGCTGTTTAATCGCTTACATATGGTTATACACCCTTTAACTATGAGATAACAATTCCAAGAGGTGTGCTTGGGTTTCAAACTCCTAAAATCTAAAATAATAAAACTATAAAAATCAATTGCAGAGTCCATCTGTCTCGCATCATCATATAGTTTGAATCTTTCGTATTAAATAATAATTACCACGTACTTTAACCATTTGATAGCTACAGTTAATTATAAAATATATTCTTACCAAAACCAACCTGATAAGATATATTTATTGATGACTATAAATTTACAAGCGCACAATTCTCTATCACTAATAGAGTCTCTTCGGATTTAGCTCATAAGCTCTCACATTCTAGTAAACGAACAAGATGAAGAACGCCCAACAAAACAAAACTTTACTGTTCTCAAACATTGACATCCTAAACAAAAAATGACATCAGTATCCAAAGCTAATCACTCCTATAGTTTTTAGGAAAGATGACTCATTTGTGATTTATTGTATAATTATAATTACAGTCTGCTGATTTCACATAATGGGGTGATTAGTCTGCATAGTTACCTTATCAGTTTCATATCAACTAAAATTCAATTATAAAAGCAAGAATGATTACGACGAAATCAAGAAGTGATATCTCTCACTTTTCTTTTCAAGTTGCAATCTTGAAAAAGTCTTTCAATCATGCAACAGCTCATCGTTTTCCTCGCATTAGTAGCAGTTGCCTTCTGCGCTCCAACTGAGTTGCCTAAGCATGGTGAGATTTTGGATTCCAGCTGTCCATTCCCCAATGGCACAGACAAGGCCATTTACTCCTACATGTGTTCAAGCCGTAAGTCTGCATGATAAACTCAGAATAAATTAAATATAATTTCTGCAGATGAACAGTTCAGAATCGACAACATCACTGTTACTGACATGAAGGGTAAACCAATCTACCCTATTGATCCCACCAAGGAATTCATTCTTAACCTTTATTCATACAACAATGGACCACAAGTAAGGGATGACTCCGAAGGCATCTTACACAATTTATAGATTGACGATAACAAGGTTAACGTCACTCTCTACCAGTACACTAAGGGATGGGTAGGAAACTCATGCAACTGGAACATGCTCCCCACTTACGGACTTCTGTAAGTCATTACCTAAATTAGAAAGTCGTATCTTTCACTTCAATTCCATCTCTAGCCTTATCAGTTGCATATTATTAATATAGTATATAGCTACTTGATAAGAGTGTACAGGAGCTTGTTTCAATGAGAAAAAAATTATGAAGGATATTCATTTGAGTGATCATATTTACAGTGATGGAATCGATGGATGCGAATTCGCTCACAACTGCCCCCTCACATCAGGACCCTTAGTTCTTCAGCTCCCCATGGATCTCAGTCAATTCTCTGTGATTATCAACATGCTTGCTGCATACGTAAGTTTTTAAAGTGTGAAATCAAAAACGGAAATTTGTACTATTACAGAAGCCTTATCAATTAGAAATCCGTCTTTTCGACTACAACGCCGGATCAAAACACGAAGAAATCGCTTGTGTTATGGCTCAAGTTGAGCTTAGCTAAATATCCTTCTGCTTTAAAACTTCATTAATTTGTTATGTTATTATGAGGCATATAAGCTGAATCACTGGTATTGTATATAAGCTTAATAATCCCATTCAGATGAAATTTGGTTTCATTTCTATTTATGTTTGCATCTGCGAAATGTAGATAATGAATTTCTGCAGCAAAAACTTTATACTATGCTTCCTTAACAATCATACCGTACACAAGAGAATTATTTTGGAAATCACAATGATTCAAATTCAAAAGGTCAGACATTTAATGTATAGAAATGACAACAAATTGAGGACAATACTATCCTTATTTGTATCCATTTAAGAACATATGTGTACACATACAACAGTTTTACACGACATTATCATTTATAAACCACCACCACCCCCTTACCATATCCGAACAATCTTAAATAACCTCGCATATCCACTCTTACACAACCGTCCTCATCAACGTCAATAATCGAAATGAAAGAAAAATGTTTTTTCCCGCGTTGCTGTATTCACTCCACGTGACTTTGCCGCAAAATGGCTCTAAATCAAAGTTCGACTAATTGAATGAGAAAATCATATTTTAATTTTTCTTTCTCTTTGTCCTTTGATACGTTGAGAGCATGAGGGCATAAGGAGGTTTTTGAAAAGATGTGTCATATACCTTTTGTTTGTCTTCAGTGTTTGCCTTTCTCTTCCTTATCCCCCCAAGATAGGCGGCTTTGTCTAATCTGATGAACAGACGTGTCGATGATATTTTCGAAAGAGGAAAACAATTCTACCTTGTTTTTGCTCAATTTACGATATTTCTTAAGATTTCGTTCGTTCTCATTTTAAGATTTCAATGAGAAAGTTGTTGAGAAGAGAGAATATGGAGCTAAACATTGTATTCATAAGACATCGTAGACAAACAGATGAAGATATGTCTTTCACAGACATTTTTTTCATTGTCTTCTCTTTGTTATTTCTTTTGCGAACTGTTTTAATCAAAGTATGCTCATGAGGAATGTTTCTTTTGGTCTTCGTCGTCGTCGTGTATTGTCTTTGGCGCATTGAAAGTGGCAGTTTGATCATTCGCTCAGAATTGGCATTGGGTCATATTTGAACACTCGTCTGTCTCGTTCAACGTTTATTCGTCAACTATAATAAGCCATTAAAGAAGAAAAAGGACATGTGGCCCATTTAGCTTTCAGACTTTGATGTTTTAGTTTCTTTTTTGGTACTCAGACATTTATGCTATATTACTTATAAGAATCATAACTGTAAATATCAAACTTCACATATCTATTGACCATTTTCTCCATTCAATCCCATCTCTGAATTGATTCTTCATTCTTCTTCCGTTCTTTACAAACAATATCCAAACAGATGTATCGACACTTGTTACCAAGGCAATTCATTAGCCATCTCACTGACCCTCCCCACTCGCTATTTGTTACCTCTCAAGTACTTTAACTTGTTCAATGTTCGATCTTGTCTATCCTTATAAGGAGATGTGAGATGTTTGAATTAGAAACGCAAATCGAGTCAGACCATCTGGCCTGTTAATTCCTTATTTTCAATCTCTTCATACTCACTTTTCAAACACGATCCCAAAGGAGAAGTTCTTATGCTTCTTTTTTTCTTCCACTTTCATCAACTCTTTTCCTCTTTCTCCCTCTTATACTACTATGATGTTCAATACATCTTCAAAACAGTTCAATTCCATACTCATCCAGATATGAATGTACTCTAAACGGAAGCCATCTTGATGACATACAAATCTTCTCATTTTTACAATTGTTGTCATGCAATCAGAAGGCTTTTGCTTTAGATATCGATTATGAACTTATAAATTCTTTCCATGGTTCTCATTTTTCTTCTTCTTTCTCTCTTTTCTTTTCGACACTTTTCCATCGTCTTTCACTCTTTGCTCATTCTTGTTCTTCTCTCTTCTCATCAAAACTTTTCTTAATCTTCCCTCTCTTTCATTATTTTTTGCAGGCTTCTCCCATTCTCAGCTAATTCTTTTTTCAATCAACTTTCACTTATGTTTTGAACTTGTGAACGATTTCAAGCAATTAACAGCTTCCTCCCTTTTACTATTATGCGAATTGACCAAATATTTGTAGTTTTACTATCTCCCATCAATCGACTTCAGTCGTCACCATCATTTGCCCAGATTTAGACGAGAATGAGAAAAGGAATATGTCTGCTCATTTTCATTTGAATGCTAATGTCTATTCTGCAGTTCAACAAAAAAAAATTTACGACTGCTTTTTTCCTGTTTTTTTTTAAAGTTCGCCGTTCCGATTCAAAAATATTTGCACCTTACGTGAATGTCCTTTTCCAGTAACAACTGCAACATACAATTATATTTTTCCGAATAAGTTGGTCATTCATGTAGAATAACTTATCTTTTCTACTCCCACCCCTCCCTCCTCCTTCATTTTCTTAAAAGCTTAAAGAACTTTTAACGATATTAAGGACGAATTCTCACTGAGTTTCTTCGAAGAGCCAAATAAGATTTAATGAGTAGGCTATGCTCCAAGATACTCTGAATAGAGAAAGAGATTTAGCATCCTGACAACTGAGGCAAATTGAATCAGTTCGTGGATTGAGGGCAAGTAATGCCCGTGGATCGGCCTCTGACACTACTATTGCCTCATACTAAAGCTAACTGTTAACAATTCACGTTTCTCATTCGTTTTTGAATTATAATGTCGTCGGGAACGTGGGGCTATGATTGATTCATTTTTAGCTCTTCTCCTCTCTCATCTTTTCTACATTGGCTTATTTTCTGCAATAAAAAGCTAATTGTTTGAATTTTTCACATATCGACGTGAAAATTATTTTTTTCCGTTTCGACACGGCGTTAAACGGTTGCTCTATCCTCCGAATCTCTTTCAGTATTCGGACATCTTCTGATTAGTATGATTGACAGCTACATTCGTTTTCTTAATATTATTTGTAAAGTTGTTGTGAGTGAGTGAGCGAGTTAGTGAGCGTAGATGTGTGTATCCAGGTTATATGATACATAATATTTAATTTATTCCATTATAATTATATATATATATAGATTGATGTTCTAAACATATCATATAATTGCAAATCATTAGCTGCATGCAATCCCCTATTTCGTCTCCGTTTTTTCTGTCGTTTAATAGCAATTTCACTGGCTTTATGTCTTTGTGCAGCTGAAAAATATGCTTTTATACTCCAATTCGTGTCGGATGAACGAAATAATCTTTTTTTATTTTATTTTATTTTTATTTTAAAAAAGACTATTTTCATTTGAATTCTCCTCTCTTCCTCTTTATCTCAATCTCTCTCTCTCTTCCCTTTTTTTGATATAAAATTAATGCAGATGTGTAATGATATTTCAAATGAGATTGAAGCTTAGGCTTTGAGCTTTTGTTCATCTTGTGATAGGTCTTGCTGCTGATATCATGATTTATAGTATTAAGCGATTTATCCAACGAAACCAATTGTGTGTCATAGGCTTATGTTCATCATCATCATGAGCTGCACCAATTTGATTTTTTCATCTATTGTTTGACAAAAATATCTCTAAAAAAAACTGGTTTTCTATGTTTCTGCTTTCAAATTAGTTTTTTGTATTAGCTTCTAACGTTTCTGACTTCATAATCATCATTATTATCCAATCAATGGCCAAGGTCATTCAAATAGGAACACGAAGAGGGTTTTCTATGGAAACAAATTCGCTTTTTATGTGTATTTGTGTGCTTTTTATTATTTCATTTTGAAAGAGAAATGCCAACCTGGAACGTTTCTTTCAGCATTTTCATTTGAAACAAAAATAATTTTTTTTTGATTTGACTTCCTCTCCTCCCCCTCTCTCTCTCTATCTCTTTCTCTCTTTTCCTCTTTTTCTTTCTGTCTTCATCAACGCTGCCGAAGAGAAAAGGAGGCCTGAATATATTTTCTCTCTTAATACCTTTTATAAACAATATATTCCGTTTTTGACAAAGACTAACCAGAATTCTATGATGTTTCCCTCTGTCGTTTCTATCATATGCTCTCATACTCTTTTCTCTTCTCTGCTGGCTTCATTGTGCTTCCGCTCTTGTCAAGCTCTCTCCAGATTTCTTCCACGCTAAACTTTATTGGCCATTAGATTGGCTTATAGCATGACATCAGTAATTCTTTAACTGATAACAATAATTTCGATTCTTACACTCTTAATCATTCATCTCCTACAGGTTCAGCATAACCTCCCGTCCCTGTTCACTATATGCTATTTACAAACTGTCATTTCACTGTCGTCCCATCTGTTCTGAAACAAAACATTAAAAATACACAAAACAGTTATTGTCAAACGCCACCTTTGTCAACATTTCGGCATTTTTATTCTTTTTTTTCTCTTATTTGAGATTAGAAATGAAATTCCATTAGCCATTCGTTGATTTGCAGATTCTTTTTTCTTGGTTGACTACATGAAAGCTTGTTTCTAACTGATGTTTCAGCAAGTCTTTTAAATGCTTTCCTTTCATCCTCTCTTCATTTTCAAATTGTTACTGTCTTCATGATAACATTAGAACTGTGTTTGTCGTTTGCAATTGATTTTATCGTCAAAAATGGAAGAATTCGCACATTTTTTCAGATTTTAAAATTGATCGATTGAGAAGAAGGTTTTACATCAAAAATCTTTTTTTTTCTCTTCTTCTTCTAAGACAGTGGCTGTTTACTTTTTTTAAACTTTGCAACGACTATTATTAGAAGATTAGCTGATGAAAATTGCATTCATCAATTCATTTAAAACATTTTTATTTTGCATTGGAAGGAACTGCTTAAGTAGTTTGATTCTTTTATTCCATCGCGCTCTCTTCTATTCATGGTTTCTTCTTCATTTTGCTCTCTAAATCTCATTTCCCTTTTAAGTTCATCAAAGAAATATAGTGAACTTAAACATCTTGCAATTTAATTATTCATTTGAAAATTCTAAAGACGTGGGAATGGATGAAGAACGATTTACATAATCTACTATTGTTGATTAATCAGTGTATTCAAATGAGCATAGCCTACAGCTCACGCTAGTTTACGTGAAACGTGTCAGTCAGTCTTAAGCCACGTCACACAAATGGTTGCATTCTAACACATCTCTTTAAAACTTTCTTTTTTATTTTCAAATGGACGCCTTAAGCTCAAGGAGTCTCATTGTACATATCTGTTCTTGTCATCAATCATTATCGTATTCCATATCATTAGGTAAATCGGCCCTCTTTTGACATGAAAGGAAACAGTCATAGTAGTACTAAAGAAGAAATCATAATAAAACAAAATAGTTGAAGATATGCCATTTGTTGTTTAAATTCATATTTTTCTTATTCATCTTCAAATATATAGATTGGCTATGATGATTTTATAGATTAATTCGAATTATATAATATATAGTTATCATAACGCTCATATGGTTCAATTGAGAGACAACATGTGAAGGTAATATCTATAAATCGCTTTTCTTTGGTTTTATATCTTCTCTCATATTCTCTGTCTCTCTTTCTCTTTGATTGTTTATGGGTTATTATTTTAATTATTCAAACTTCTGAAAGAACAAAAATGTTTTTGTCTTTCTTTTCATATTACCGCTTTCTCTTCATCAGTTTCATATTCGTCCTTCATATCAAAGAAGAAACACTGAAAACCCTATAATTATACTTTTTTTTTCTTGCTACCTATATATTTTCACATAATTTATTGACTGAACGAATTTGAACAGTTGGTCAACAAATGTCGTGAATTTTTACCTTTTTTTCACATATTAGCTCTTATCGTTTGACCTTTGACAGCTACTGCAACTCCTGCATCATACCAGTATTCTTTACCACCCTCTCTTCTTCTTCGTGTTTCTCTCTTCGTCATTTGTTATCAATTATCTAATCATTTTTATTATTTTCTTATATTTCTAGGTTCATGAGCTCATAAAGGATAAGTAATATGCAAACTGTCAAGCTTAATAAGAAAGCCATGGTGGTATTAGGTGGCTGTGTTATATTTTTCATTATCGCTTTATCATATTTACCATCATCTGAACCATCGCCTATACCACGGGTACCAGTTAGGGCAATTAGACATCAAATTGTTAGTTTTTTTTATTTTTTCCGACTCATTACACAATAGCAATTTCCTTTTCAGAATGAACAACATCCGGTTAAACATAGTTTACCGCTTGATAATAGGATAGAAGATTTTGATGTTGAGCGAGCTGATGAGAAATTAAGGAAAGAAGTAGTAAAGCCTGATTTTTCGGACGAAGTTGATCAAAATGATAACGGTTTTTATCTTGCATTTCATCTTCTTATCAATATTTTATAGCTTATCGTCAGAAGTTTGTGAAAGATATGATGTTACACGCTTGGAATGGCTATAAAAATTATTCTTGGGGTGCTAATGAGGTAAAGTAAAGTCTATGAAACTGTATAATGGTTGTCTAGGTTCGTCCAATCGCGAAATCAGCGAATAGCCAAGCTATATTTGGAGGAAAAGATATGCCAGCAACTATTGTTGATGCAGCTGATACATTATGGATCATGGGACTTAAGAAAGAGTATCAAGATGTGAGTAATATACATGAAAGAGTCATCTAAACAATGTATGATACAGGCTCGCGACTATATAAAGGAGCATATGGATATGGCTAAAGCTACAGGAACGCTATCTGTATTCGAAACGACAATTCGTTTTCTGGGAGGGTTATTGTCATTATATGCATTGACAAAAGAAGAATTTTATATGTATGAAAGAAAAATATTTATTATTTCTTACATTTGAATATTACAGCGATAAAGCTCGAGGTGTGGGAGAAGCTTTGCTACCCGCTTTCAACACTCCAACTGGAATCCCTAAAAGTAATATAGATATGTCCACTAAATATGCTTCAAATTATGCATGGGCTAATGGAGGGTAATAAGACTCATCGCATTGTAGATTGACTAAGCTTTTCCTATTCAGATCTTCTATCCTTGCTGAATATGGATCGTTACATTTGGAATTTGTCTACTTGAGCAAAATAACAAAACAACCAATCTTTGAAAAGAAAGTCAAGAAGATCAGAAACTATTTGGACAAATTGGACAAAGTCAATGGCCTTTACCCCAACTATATCAACCCTGAAACAGGCAAATGGTCTCTTCCATATCATATGTAAGACGAATTGGAATCGCGGTTTCAACAATCATCGTTCAGATCTTTGGGAGCTCTAGGAGATTCTTACTATGAGTATTTGATCAAATCATGGATCCAATCCGGTAAAAAAGATAATCAGGCCAAGAAGATGTACTGGGATACTAGTGATGCCGTGCAAAAACAGTCAGTTCATAGTCTTATCACAAGTTTGATGAAATTCTTTCCAGCATGGTCTTCCGATCAGCCAAATCTAATTTGACATATGTTGCTGAGCTTAGAAGTGGTCAACCAGATCACAAAATGGGCCATTTAGCTTGTTTCTGCGTCGGAATGTTTGCTTTGCAAGCTGTCAATGAACCAACTCAACAATTGAAAGTAAAAAAACATAATTTGCTGCAGTTACCGACCATCTATTTTTTAAGGAAAAAACAATGAGCTTAGCAGAAGAACTCGGAAAAACTTGCCATGAAAGTTACATTAGATCTCAAACCGGAATCGGTCCGGAAATGTTTTATTTTAGTCCAATGGATGAAGCAACGAGCTTGTAAGGATAATGATACTTCCAGTTTTTTTTTAATGAATATTTTAAGGCGTAATGAGAACGGGTATATTCTTCGTCCAGAAGTTCTTGAAGGTTTCTTCTATTTATGGAGACTGACTGGCAAAGAGGTTCGTATATTCTTTAACTCGATCTGACTCCCTATTTCACTTCAGAAATATCGAGATTGGGTTTGGACAGCTATCCAAGCAATGGAGAAGTATTGTAAGAAAGAAGGTGGTTATGCTGGTTTGAGAAATGTTTACAATCCATCTCAGGTGTGTGAAAACGTGAAGTCTTGTAATGAAATGAACTTTAAGGGATCAGACGATGTTCAACAATCCTTCTTCTTAGCTGAAACCTTGAAATATGCATATTTGACTTTCACTGATACTTCTGTTATGGATTTAAATAAGTGGGTATTCAATACTGAAGCTCATGCATTCCCAATTGATGATTCCGCATCTGAATAATGATCAGAACGATGCTCACGCTTTTGAAAATCAAAAAAAAAGCAAAATTTTCTTGCCATTAAAATATATCAGAGAATTATTCAAGAGAGAGATATCATTGTTTTCGGGTAACGAAACTTCAGTTTTTCCCAATTATCTGGGTAAAAACATAGAATAAGCTTGATAGTTTGCAATACTTCCTACCCTAATAGGCAGAAAATTCTTTTTTTTTTCCTCTTTTTTATATTATTTGTACGGGTTTTCATGAATGTTCTTGTCTTGAATCTGTGATCCAACATGCTCAAACAACTGAAATAAATACTTTTTTTCTTTCAATAAAATTCTTTTTTTTGTTGTTCTGAGCATTTGCACAGCCGGTAAATGCACACTTTGAATTAAAAATGATTTGGAGAGGCTATTGGAGATCGTGAATGACGTCAATCACGTCACGACCAACAATAATAAGATCGTGTTAAGAGGTTAAGATTGACAATTCTTCTTATAAGACGAGAGATCACAAGAATCGGCAAAACGGTTGATCTGTCAATAATGACAATTATTGAATGAAAATGAAAATGAAACTAACTTGCAAACCATAAAACATTACATGATCATCTACATCAATGTTTGGCCTCCTACAACTGCGGTCTTCATTATTTGGATAACCATCGCATACTTTTGCTGTTTTTGAACCTTTTTCTGGCAGCCTAAATCTCAGCTATTCATTTGATATCTATAGATTTGATTGTACCAAATCATATTGCCGTGATGATAATAACCAAAGTCAATGTCCTTTGCGCAACCGAGAAATGGGAATCCAATGCACTTAGGCAATCTGGGAAACGGATCTGCTCCAGTAACTATTCGGAAGCTGCAAAAAAAAGGATTTCTGGTTTCTGTATATGTATCTACCGATGTACCTGTACGAAAGCATCTCATCAACATGTTTGGAAAAACCTCTAGTTGTCGATCGGGGCTGACCAAATGTTATCAGATGAACGCGTTCATGAGGAATTCCAGATTCTGATAGATTAAAAATAGAATGATAAACGTAGATAGGAGATCATACCAACTGCACGAATAGCAGCTAAGTATGCTAATACACCACCCATTGAATGTCCGATGAAAACATGCGTAAATTCATTCTAAAATTAGAAATATCACTTTAGTATGCACTACTCTTCTAACTCTATAAGTCGTGTTATGAGCTTCTTTATAAATTTTGTTGCGATCCCAAAGTTTTTCGATCAAATGTGCATAATAAGGGTTTATCTATAAAATAATATGAGATAGTTCTTAATGCATTTCTCACCCCCCAATTTCCATGAAAATTTTTTGGGAGAGCCAAGAAGCTGAGAAGTTGAAGTAGAAATTGACTCTTAACAACGAAATGATGAAAACCCTGAATGCATTGACAATACCGTTGTTGCAGTTCCCCTGTGAATATAATAAATCTTCTTTTGTCTATCGTCTTTCACTGCAAAGAAAATCTGAGATTAGAGTTTCAAGCTGGAGCTTACAAACTATAATTTTGCATCTGTTTCCGTGATAGTCGCATCCATCAACTGTTCTAGACTCGATAATTGATAGTGAGGGCATGCAGAGATCTTTTTCTATTTTTCTTTGAAGGCATAATATTTTGCTACAAAACGAAAAGAACTGAATACCTTGTACACGTTTGAGCTGATTGTTCATTTGTATATACTAGTGATTGGAGAATAGCTGCATATTGACCAATCTCATCCTTATATGGCACTTGTGATAGTTTTCGAGACGAATGGGCTAGTCCCACCAGAATAATAAGGTGAAAGGATAACATGAAGTTGTAGTAATTGGCCGATCAGCTAGAATAGTAATCCCAAAATTGCAGTCGAAAAGCTTTTATATTTGAACGTATGAGAGATAGGAGAATCCTTCATTATAGGTCACATTTTACTTATCATTTACATAAGGAAAAGGTGAAACAAGAAAATCGATATGATGAGGAAAAACACGTCATGAGCAAGTATAAAGCAAACAAAACAAATGAAATCAGATATTAGATTAAAGCTCTAAAGATCAAAAGAAGAAAGAACTTCATTAATGTGCCAAAAGTACTATTTGATGAGGATGTTGGCTTAGGTGCGTTCAGAATTTCCCATGGAACAACCTGTAACGTCCTTTTCATGTATTTTGAACTATGAATCAACAATGATTACCAGTGCATCCTCTGATTTTTCGAGCAAATGATCTTCACAATGAGGTGATGGACTCAAGAAACAAAGCTAAAACAGGCCGTTCATTACCATACTATCAACAGAATGTTCATTTATTTATTTCATTAAAATGATTGTTGTCTTATAAAAAGCATTAGATTTGGCACAATTTCGAAAATTCTCTATACAACAACGAAAGTTCTGCGTCTGTACATATAGTTAGTTAAAGGAAACCTTTCCCTCAATTAAGCACCTCATTCCCCCCACGCCTACCTCGCTCTCTCTCTCTCCCTATTCTACATTTTTTTAGTCTAAACCGATAGTTCTTGTTAATAAGTTAATACGACGCACAACTTGATCAAATACTCCTGGCTTTCCTTCCGGAATTGTAGCGTCACAGCCGGCTTTACCATATTCAGGTACCTTAAAGTACATTTTCCCTTTAAATCTATAACTCATGAATTATAATACTCGAACTCCGAAATAGTGACGATGATCCCAAATATAACTGCTTGTCTGATCATAGCGGAACTTAATACGATCAGAGCACGAAAAATCTTCGTTTTTGGGTAGTCCTGTGCATTCTCTATAGGAAGCACCTATTTCCATAGAATCGGGATACCTGTCAGAACAGTAATAAAACACATAACAAGGTTTTTTCTAACCAAATTTCGGTTCCATGATGGTAAGACTTATCACTGGCATTACTATCACATGGCCTGTTATCGTCATCTAACCCACTTGAGTGTACCTTATGACAGGCAGGCAGATGTGGAACAATATCTCTTCGAAAAACAACTCGGAAGCTTGAATATGATTTTTGCTGATAACTGTATTCTATTCAATCTATACCTATATGGAATCATCATATCGAAGTTAGTGGCATATTCGAGTGATCCAACACGTGGCTGTCCGAATGTTATAATCTTTACTTGTCCTCCCTTTCGAAAGCCTGAAAACAAGTTCCATCATATCATCTAGTTTCTCTCTGGTATTTTTTGAAGAATATTTGAATTATTCAAGCATTGAACCGTTCCACGCCTTCATACTTTTCAAAAATGATTTTCACGTGAATCGCCACGTCAACACCACAACAAGAATCCGAACGAACCTTGTCTGACAGTTCGAGCAGCTGCTAAAGAGGCTAAAGCTCCACCAAGTGAATGACCAGTGAAAACAGTATCATAATCCTGAAATATATTGAAATGCTTGTGTGCTCGCATCCCGTTTCAAACCGCATATGCAGGGTCTTTGAGAATTTGTTCAATTTCTGGCCAAAGAATAAGATGAGCATTGAGAAAATAGCGATTAACCTTCAACACAACTGTTTAAACAACTTGTTTGTCATATTGTAAAGAAACTTTTCCCATTTCAAAAAAGTCCACTCCTGGTTGAATAGAGTCCCATCCTTCCAAGAGAAGTTGAGCCTTAAAGGAAGTAAAAATCATCAAATGATAGAAGACAAAGAGAAAACCTTCGTCTTTGTACCTCGAAAAACAATATTCAATTCCTTTGTTGAGTTTGAAATAACTGAAAGAGAAGAGGAACAAATTGCAATAAAAGTTTAGAAGAAGCTTATACATACCAACATAACTTTCACAAGTATTATCAAGATGGTCACATTGCTTGGCTATTGTTAACAGAACCTGTCGTTCTTCATGAATAGGAAATGTTCTTAATGAAATATGATTGAATAGAAGTTACTTATAAGGTTAACATACTTGTTTAAACAGTTATTATGTTCTTTTCCATAAGCAGCTGCTGCTAGGTTCAACAGTTTACGTGCTTCTACTTCATCGTAAACAGTTTGTTTTCCTGGGAATGGTGCGGCGTTTGTAATGACGACAACAATCAGAAGTAAGAAAATCATAAAAACTGAAAGAAACTAATGAATGAATCATCATAGTTCACTTTTCTTTTTTTTTTAATAATTGCTGCTGAAGTAATCGATACATATAATTTCAAAGAGATGACCTCAATTGCTACTGAAGTCTGTTTGAATCAAGGACGTTTTAAACATCGTTTTTCTATTTGAATATTCAAATTGATTAAATAAACTTATATAAAATAGATTGTTTTTGAAAAGTAAGTCAGAAATCATAACAGATGGAAAAGTAATGAAAACATGAGAATTGATCAACACTGGGGTCGTCAGATGAATCGTTGAAATCAGGTATTTAAAATGTGAAAAAAGAAAACAGATTAAAGCAAAAAAAGAATTGGACGACAAGAGAAGAAAATTTTTGATTTCTTTCATAGATTTCAATCGGAGTATGGAAGTCGAGAAACCTGTTTGCTTATGGATATCTGATAGCTGAAAACTACAAAATCTATAATAGTTCATCGCTTGCAGGTAAGTTCTCTCTCTGACTGTCGGGATGTCCAAGGAGGAGGCGGATGCTGTCAAATCGCAACCGGTTCCTGCCATATACGAGCAATTGGTCAGATCATTATGAGGCAATACCAAGCCGATTACTGAGTTATACACAGATTTTTTGAAAAAAAAAATAAAACGATTGTGAGTCATGTGTAAAGAGGAGAAAAGGTGAAAGAAAAACGTCCAACGACAAGGTAAAGCTTTAAGTAATATAGTTATAGCTGTTGATTCCATCGAGGAATGCTGTTGTTGACTCGGCCGATCATGAAAGGTTGCTGTTGAATGTGAAATAGATTTTCGGAGCCATGAAGTTGAATTTCCTTTTTCATTTCAATCATCATAACTCAATGATAGTTTCATATTTTTGTGTTGTTGAAAGACTACTCATCTTCATCAAACAGTTGAAATATCCAAGGACGTGATGCTTCAGATGGACAAATACAGTTTCCTCACACAGTCATTGGAAAATGTGAAAATAATGAAAAATAATGTTTAAAAGATATGAAATGATTGTTTATTGACGTCACAAAACAATATATGAGATTGATAGTTAAGTATATCAACGAGCACTTTTACTATGAAAGTATAAGTTAGTTTGTTCTTTTGATATGTACGGCAGACTATGTCGTCGTTGTATTGTCATTGCTTCTTCTGATTCTGTGCACTCTGAAGTTTCATCTATAGTTGATTCCAAACGAGCTGTTGTTGCTCTACTTTCTAGTAGACTCAATGAGAATATGGTTGAAGTATCTATATCATATAGTTAATGCAAGCTAATTATTTTAATTACAAAATGCGTACCTTGATCTTCGTACCTTGGCGGAGCCGATATCGGCTTTATGGCATCTTCATAACGAGGAGGAACAGGAGCTAATGATGCTGGCGCTAATAAGCTTGGATCTAAGACATAACCTGAAATAAGCAAAATTAGCATATTTTCAAATATTCATCATGACGTCACACGAGTCACAAAGGAAGTCAAAAGTTTTTATTATTCGTCTTATTTATGATATTGGGATAAGCTGATGACGGTTGACTAATTGTATGAAATTACGTACAAAACTATTAATTACAATGATATTGTTTTTCTGTGTTTAAACTTTGAAAAACATTTTTTTTCTTGTTCCTTATCAGTGTTTTTCCTAATCATTCAATGCTGACGAGTGATTGTAAAGCATTAACAATGATTTTATGCAAATTAAGAGATTTGATATTTCGTGAAAAACGTTTGTGAATATCTTCTATTCAATCTTTAATTCTAGATTGACAAGCTTAATTTTCATAAACATGCCTTTTCTCTCGTTTCGTCCCCTCTCACCCTTCCCTTTCTGCATTTCCATCTCTCTCTCTCTCTCTATCTCTCTTGTTCGTTCACTTTCTTTCTCTCTCTCACAATCTCAATCTTCACTTTCATACTGCTTCCTTCAAAATCGAAATACAAAATTATCATTAAAAATTTTGAGTCTTTGCTAAAAAATTTGAATTTATCATAAGATCTCAAACACCATATCCGTTCGTTGCCATGATTTTCTTTGTTTTTTTTTCTGACTGAACGGAATTGCATGTGCCATTCGTTCACTTCACGTCTGTATCAGATCCTCCTAACGATATGAGATCCGGTTTGTAATCATAACGACTTTCATTCATTCGTTCATTCATACACAGTATTGAAGACTTTTAAACGAAATAAAAAAATTACTTTTTTTCCATCCACATTCACTTCATCCTTCCTTTTTTTGTGTTTCTATCTCTCCCTTTCAATTCACTAATCTCCTTGGTTGGCTAAGAATCTTTCATCTTTGACGCTTGGCAATTTCTCAATGAATTTAAAACAAATTGTTTCATTTTCATTCAGATGTTCATATTAGGAGAAAACAAATTGAAAAATGAATTATAATCTCAATATATCTTCTCTTTTGTTTTGTTTTCCAATAAAAACATCTGTAGATATAGGGGTTAGCTTGCAAAGAACTGTTTGAACTGAAGATAATGGACATCATGAAGCGTTTCTAAGTATGGGCTGAGAT